CCCACGATATGGCGCCAAAACATCAATCAAAGCCAAAGAAAACAAACTGAACCGATCCAAACCGAACCGAAGCGAAGCGATCGCTCGACAACGATTCATTATGTGTGTGTGTGGGTCTAATCCCCCCCCTGTCAGACTCTGCAGTTTATCAGTTTTCACATCAATTAAATTCACAGAAGTCGCAATTGACTTGATCACCCAAAAACCCACCCTCCCAAAAATATTCGCTTAGTAGAATCCGATGCTCCCAAAATGTACACAAATCATTCTCTATTTTCGCGGTTTAGTCGACCACGTGAAGGCATTTCCACGAATATTGCGCGCCAAGTCAGACCCAAAGAGACCCAGAGAACCAGAGACTAAAGCAGACCCGACCCGTCCAGCACAGTTGGAGATTAGATTATGCCAAACGAAGACTGCTGAATATTGCTCGCACCAACACCCTACACCCTACACCCACCCCGTCCGGCCACAAACGGCCACAGTTGGTATCAATATGGAGCCAGTGTTATATGGCCAGTGGTCCCATGTCCCATGTGTCCCCGTGTCTCCGTGTCTCCCCGTGTCCGTCTATCAACCGGCGAGTATCGCTGAGCAAAGAAGATCGCGCGGGGGCAGATAAAGTCCCTCCCCACGGACAGTTTGATTCCGATTTGGGGCTGGCCGCCAGAACACAGAACACAGACCAAAGACCAGAGACAACAGGCACCACCACCACTACTCGTATTCCAATAAAGCACAGGCGGCCCGGCACCACCACTCATAGATACATAGAGATGTAGATTGTGCACGCGTTCCTGCCATTCCCATTCCCATGGGCTGTATCTGTATCTGCATCTGCAACTGTATCTGTGGCAGTATCTGCCCCGTACACACACACACACACACTATGCGGGGGCTAAACATCTGAATACTATGAGCAAACTTGGCTGATATTATCTTATCAGAAATTAATTGGTTGCCATGACAGCGACACAAGGCGCAAAAGGCCCCAAAAGCACCCAAAATGATCGGCCAACGTTGGCGGTTCTGAGCCGCTGCTGCCTGCCTGCCTGCCTTCCTTCCATTGCGGCACTGCGCCTCCGAGAGATGGATAATCCGCTCTTTGTATTAAAATTTAATTTTCTCCTGGCTATTTGTGATTCCATAGCACCTGACCACTCCCACTCCCACTCGCTCTAAGCGCCTTTGCTACGCCTCACTGTACGCGTAGATACAAATGTATCTGGCAGCCCAGCAGACCGTTAGTTTACCCTGAAGCGCACCTTCTGCTGCTGTTGTCGCTGCTGCTGTGGCTGTGGCTGCGGCTGCTGCTGCCTCTGGCTCTGTTGGCTTCAGAATCCGTGCGAGAATTATCATCTGGCAAACAGTTCTTCATAACGGATTAGAGCGGACGTTTTGTCTAGTCTCTGGGGTCGCCTCTGCCAGCCAGCCAGCCAGCCAGCCAGTCAACCGAGTCAACCGAGTCGAGCGGCTCTCCGATTTAAAGTTTCAATTTAAGTTACAATTTTAGTTTCAGCTTTAATTTTCGAATTGAAGTTTGAATTCCAAATTAAATTCGAGTGTGGTGCCGTGAATACTCGTATGCTCTATCCGTAAAGTCTCGTACTCCTCCCGAACTTTTGTGCAACTTGCAGTCTGCTTTTTTTTTTGTTTCTTGCCGTGCCCTAATGAGCCAGTGTAGTAAGTACTTGTGGTTCAGTGTGTGTGTGTCTGTGTGTCTGTGTGCTTGTGTGTGACTCGAACTTTACAAACTTTAAAAGTGGAGTGGAACGTTGGGGAGGGGAGCCTGTTGCTGGCGACGTCAGCAGGCTGTGGGTAGGCGGCTGCTGTTCTCTGCTTTTATCTAAACAATTTATCGATTTTCGTTTAGATTACAACGCGTGTACCGTCCCCTCCTCTCGCTCACTCTCTCTCGCTTTCTCTCTCTCTCTCCCTCTCTCTGGCTACCCTTCGCTCCCCCTGCCGAAAATATAACACAGACGATAAGATACACTCGACCCATTTGAATAAGCGCAAATATTCTGTCCTCCCCCCCATAGCCGGGCTGTGTTGTACATACTCGACTTTTGTATATGGAACTCTCTGTATGTACATGCATACATTCGAGCAGATACTAGATACTCTCTCTCTTTCTCTGGCTATCCGTAGGCCCCTCTTCGACCACTACTTCTTGGGTACTTTCCCCCCGGATAGTTTTTGTTTATGCCTCACATGGCTATTTATATAGCACACATATCATACATATATTCCCATATATATTATACATACATATGTATGTGGGCAGGAGTTCTCGCATGCATGTGGAGCAGTTTATCATTACGCACTAATTGTGCGAAATCAATGCCACAGACAGACAGATAAACGAGCGGATAAACGGAAAGCGCAGAAAAAACAAAACAATTGCACATACATTACGTATACGTAACGAACATAAATGACAATTAACATAATGCCACGAGAATAATCCAAATTTGTGTGTTAGTTCAGTTTGCAAACTACCCAAAAAAAAAAGACAACCAACCAACCACCAAACCAACCAAACAACCAACCATCGAGCGAAAGTCGGCAAAGAAAGGGGTCTAGAACCGCATAAACAATGATAATTTCCAGTCAGCCAAACTTGGCTGGAAGCACGCCTACAACTACAACCACTGCCATTGCCACTGCCACTGCCACCCTCCCAGTGCCAGTGCCAGTACCCGTACCCGTACCCGCCTCGGTCAGTGGCGCCCACACGAGTGAAGAAAGTGTTGAGAGTGTTTCAAGCGGCTGCAATTGTGTGGGGCAAGCGGGTATGAGTGTGGGTGTGCATGTGGATGTGCCAGTGGGCGTGGGGACCAGACAAACGCCAGCCATGGAGGCAATAACAACAACAACAACAGCAACAGTAGAAGGCAGCAGAGATTCATTAACGCGTCCGGCCTCCGAGTCCGAGCTGGCTGTGGGTAAGGCTCCTCCTCTACGGTTGGACACCGGCCCATGCCCTGACCCTCTCATTCTCTCCAGGGGTTAAAGTTGAGGTTGATGATGCGGTTAACAAGCTTGTACCGTACCCAGAGCATGGGGGATCTATGTATTTGCGTGTGTGTGGGTTTTTCGGGGGAAAAGGGGCAGTGGTAGTGGATGTTAGTCTGTGTTTTCCCAGCATAACCCTGAAAAGTTGTGTGTCGAGTTGCCTAAATTTCTACTTCACAAAGTTATTTTGTTGGCAATTAAATATTACGAACGAAATTTGTGCATTGCATTTCAGCAAATGTTGCATAAATTGTTTGAGCGCAATTCCCAGAAATGTTTCCAACTTAAAATTCTGCGCCAATAAATAGTTTTAATTATTACTAAAAAAGCTGCACCACTCCAGAATATATTAGAAATTAGATTCGATTTCTTATGAAATCCTTTTCATAATCAAGTTCAAGCAAACTTCGTAGATTTTTCAGCTGCATATATTTTCATTCTCCAGTTGAATGTTTTGTTGGACTTACCAAAAACATTCCCGTAAATGTTTTGGGGTGAACCTTTTTGGGCCGAAAACATTGTTTTGGCCCAAGTATACAGACAAAAGTTGCAAGGAACCGCAGCATTTTAATTTCCTTTTACTGTCGAAAGAAGTTTAGCTGCAGGAATGCTGAGGATAAATTTGGGGAAGAACTTGAAGAACTTCCCAGTGGAATTTCTTAATGTATTTAAGATACATGACGATGTCAGGGGCATAAAGTAGTCTTAAAGCTGGAGTCCATCTGGAGCTGTTCCCCAAGAGATATCCTTTATTTTGATTGAGTTACAACTATAACTGAAATTCCTAAGAAATTGCATTCCATGTTCTTTTACTCGTTGCGCCTTATGATAAGTTGACTATACATTAGAGAGAGATATTGGCTGGCAAATCATATTCCAGGCGAGGATACTCTGAGCTTGGACCTGAGCAACTTCAGTGCTTGTGTTTCTCATTAAATGGAATACATTTTGTGCGGCTTAGTCCCACTCGGGTTTCTGGCACTTCTCTCGAGCTGCCGTCAGTGACAGATAGAAAAGATAGAAAACCTGCCCGCCCTGACCCCAAAAGGACTCGTACCCTTTGGGGCCTCAGATCTGCCCGTGCGTACGTGTGGCTATGTTAGTGGCTTTGTGTGCGTGTGTGTGTGTGTGTGTCTTACTCCGGTTTATAAAGTGTTTTTGAAATGCCAACGTTTATAATTAAATAAAACGTGCAACAAGAGAAATTAATGGGCGTGCGTGTGGTTGTCACTGTCCCCCGTGTCCCCCTGTCCGGCTGTCTCTGTCTCTGTGTGTGTGTGTGGTGTCCATTCATCTTGATTGTGTGCGTGCGTGTGGGCAGCCCGAAAAGTATGCAGCACTTTCCCTGCCGCCAGAACGCCCCGAAATGTAGCATGCTTCCAAGCGTCTAAACTCTTTTTTTTTGTTCTTTTCTCTTTTTCTTTTCCACCCCACAGGCACCGGCACTGGCACATCGGGCACCAGTTCATCCGGCGGCGGCGGAAACAATCGGCCAGGTCATCGCAAGTCATCGCTCGCCCTCGCCCTCACACCGGAGGATGAGCCAATGGATGTGTATCAGGTGAGTGTCCTCCCATATCCATTTGCACCCTGGGATCTGCATCCGTACAAGAGGGGAGGGTGGGGTTAGGCACCGCATGGGTGTTACGTCTTTTGATAAGATTTTATCTTATCACGGCGGCTCGTTATATGGCAGCGGCGGCGGCAGCGGCGACGGCAGAGACCGAGCAGAGAGAAAAGCGAAGAGCGTGGCAATTGTTGCGCTTTTCGCTTTACATTCCGCTTTAAATAGCCGCTCACCCATACCCCCACCACACTGTGATATGCATAGCTCTATGTGTGCGTATGTGTGTGTGTGTGTTTTGCTTATAAACAATGAGCTACCAGAGAAATCAAATCAATTAACATTGAAGGTGGGAAATCAAAAAGCAAAGAAAGAAAAAAAGATTATACCCCGTCGCCTGTCGATGTTCGATTTCAGTTGGATGTTTGAGCGTCGCCGTGTCGCGTTTCGACCACAAAAAAAAATAAAATAAAACTAAAAAATACGACACGAAACTGTGAATTATTAAGTGCCGCCTAGAATTGATTGAGATTTGGATACAAATATAGACTGAGATACAGACACGCAGATAGACAGCCACACAGGCCACTGCCATTGAGAGTGTAGATATACCAAGCACGATCGAGACTGTCGCATGGAAAATGCCAGGGCCTGTCTCTGTTCGGGCTTATGCAAACAACTTGTTATTGATCTAAGACATTGGACCTCTCAAGTGCTTAGCGTAATTGTCATTGTTATAGTTATTGCCATTGCCATTGCGATTGTGGCACACTGAGTGACTGAATGAGTGAGTGAGTGAGTGTTTGACTCCCCCGCTCCCCCCAGAGTGACTCCGAGTGCCACTGAGTGTAGTTTTATAATTAGCAGAATGCGCAATTGCTTGCCAAAACTCACGAATGTCTTTCGCCGCAAATCCTCCGCGAAATCGTCGGCAACTGGCCCCGGCCATACAAATCATTCGAATGATTGCCACTCCGACAGCGACTCGGAGCAGTACACGGCGGTGGCCATGTCTGGTTCTTTAGCCATTCCGTCGCCACAGTACGATCCGGCCCGCGATAATAATAATGAGAGACCGCATCGAGATGGCGATAGCAGCTATAGCCGGCTGATAAGTGGCCCGTCCAACTTGGAGTCGACGGCGGTGGCGCCAAATGTCCGCAGCCGTGCCGTGGAGGAGAGCTCGTTCACGGAAATGAGAGTGGAAACGATTTCGGGGCAAGCTGCCGGTCCAGCTCGGCTTTCTATTCCAATTCCCGGGCGTAATTCCATTTCGTTGCCATTTGCGGGTCTCAGTTCGAGCAAAACGCCCGAGGAAATGGAACTGGAATATGAGGCGAATGTGAAGGCCGAAGTTGGGGACATTGTGACACCCCTGCGACGCAACAACACCAGCAGCACGAGGCCGCACAGCATGGCCTTCAATGGCGGGGGACGCAGTGCGTCGCTGCAGCCGGAAATAGTCGAGGCCATACGCAATTTAGACGTCCAGGGGCTCTTCCTCAACAATCTCGCCATGGAGGAGGACAGGACGGACATTGAGTCCGACCAGTCGCAGGGCCACGAAGATGCTGTGGTGCTGCGGCGCAAGGTCGCGGGCCTGGAGCGCAAATCCTGCAGCCTCTACGAGCGACGTATGCCCAAGACGCCGAAGCTCCATCTGATGGTTGCAGGAAAAAAGCCGCAACCGCAACCCCAGCAGCAGCAGGCATCAGCAGCAGCAAGACGGCGGCGATGATGATGAGTTCAAAGTTTTTCAGGTAGTTTACAGTCGAAAGAGATACCATCCATGCTCCATACCATTCATGCATCTGTTTGAAGTTGCGGGAAATTTCTGGGAAATGCTGCTCCGTGTACATTTTCATTCCCCTGATTGACATGGAGCTCATCCCGCGTCTCCTGGCAAATCCCTGCCTTTTGCGTATCGTATTAAAAAGCAGCACAAAGCAGACATCTGTACAGCCAGTCACAGCGTTGGAGTCAAAGCCAGCGATTTTATTTTAATTTATCATCATTTAAGCGACACGAGCGTCACACACGCACTGTTCCACGCGTATCTGGCAGATACACAGCATACACAGCATACAAATACACACATTTACACTGACAGATACAGGTACAAATACACATGAAGGTGATGCGGACAGCAGTGGTGGGGTAGTGGTAGGGGAAGGGAATGAAGCGAAGCGAAGCGAAGCCAGGTTAAGCCCTCTTATTTTGATGGAAAATCCAGAGATGCTGTAGATTTTTATTTAATTTTACACGTTGTTTCACCTGTCCTCCCGCCACTCAACTCTCTCTCCCTTTCTGACATCTCTCTGCAGCGAAATCTCATGGACTTGAAATATCCAACCGTGCTACCACCGAATCCTCAACTTAAGGTAAGCGCAAGCTCTACTCCACCCAGCCAGAACTGCCGGACCTGCCCTGCCCGGTTCAATCAATGCAATGGCTCTTGTGGCTCTGTGGCTCTCGTCTACCCTTCTTCTACTACTATATATTCTATATTCTACGTTTTGCAGGCTCTTTTAGTTTTCCACAAATCGGACAGCATCTGTGAGGCGGTCGCCTCCGCCTGCCAGCGCCACCAGCTGGACGTTACGCTGGTTAAGTCAAAGGAGGAGGCCCTCGACACGCTGCACAAGTCGTATGCCACCGCCCAATGCTACCATTTAATCATAATTGATGCGCGCTCCTCGAAAAATCTAGATGCCGAGCATATTGCAAGGTAAGGAAGAGACTTGTATGCGGTTCGGGGACGCAATAATATACATGAGTTGGGTCGCTCGTTTTGGGTCTGAAGTTTATAAGTTTGTGGAAAAGTTTTTCCAACTTTTCCATTTTGATAAACTTTACACTTTGCTATAAAACTTGGTTATCGCTCTCCCTCACTCTTTCACTCTCTCTCTCTCTCTCTCTCGCTACTGCATCAGAACAATACGTCATACACATGGACACCATTTAACGACAATAATTGCCGTCTGCAAGAAGAGGTAAGTGGAAAGAAGCCAGGCCTGTCCTGCCCTGGCAGTTACTCATCATCAACTTTGTCTGGGAGCCACAGTTAACGAACGACTTTTACAGTTTCTTTGAAAAGGATGACGTGCTAATTGCTCTATTGGACGCTGGCGTTAATAGAGTAAGTTTCCCTGTTAATTGGGCCCATCAGCAGCTGCCAAAAGAAACCTAAACCTAAACAGAGGCAGAAACCTACACCCAAGCAAGATGCTCATCGTCTCTTATTCCACAGTGCATAGCCGAGACGACAAACCTGGCCATGTGCAGTGTGGAGCTGAAGCAAATACTGCACTCGATCATACGGCCCCACAATGTCATGTCCACTCAACAGGTAATCAAGTTAATGTCCTTCTCCTTGGGAGGGCTCTCTCGTTGACTCGTCCACGTCCCTTGACGGCGAATGTTCTGTCTCGTTCAGAAATTAATTCAATTAAATAGTCCAAGTGAAATTGTAAACCACAAGCTCAACGTACCGCAGCGCAGCGCCTTCCTCCGTCATCCTCATTGCATACCCTCTAATCGTAGTGTAAAAACAAGAGTATATTGTGCTTACCCCCATCAAGGGGGTCTTCTTACGCGTACAAACCATAGGAACAATACCAGAGTCTGGTGAAACAAGCGCAGATAAAGTTTTATTGAAAAAGTGAAGCATGCCGACCGACCTCCGATTTCGGCAATCGATAGCAGTTTTAAATTTATGGCGCTACTGTTCGATGGTACATACATATATCAAAATATGAGCAAACGATTGACCGAAGATAAACCTAATTGTATAATAATATCAGTCAGAATTGTTCAGATAATGTTAATGATTTAGTAAAAGGGAAGCACAAATAAACCTGAAGTATCCCGAGTATCCCTACTCGCAAAACTTGTCCGCTAACACTGTCCTTTGTATCTCCCACACAGGCACTCTACACGGCGCTGCATCGGCTGAAGGAGGTGGTCCTCATCACGGACGACGTGCTGCGCATACAGTACGCGAACCGTGCCACAGAGCGTCTCCTCAACATGCGGCTGGTGAGTTGGATGGGCTTCGGTTTGGGGTGCCCGGGGCTGGGCCCTCCATTAGGCTATGGTGTGGGCACTGTGCACTCTGTGTGCGCTAGGTGCAATTGAGGCATTAATGGGATTTCCTTGTTTAACAAACAGGATGAAATCATTAGCAAGCCACTGGCGGACATATTCGTGTCCGACCTGTCCACCATCAGCGAGCAGGGCAAGAGCATCAAGGAGTTCGATGGGATACTGACAGTGCGACGCAAGAACCAGGAGGGCATCCCCATGCACGTTCGCGTCGTCCCGGTGGCCTGCATCGGCAGGTAAGTGACGTCCTCCCTTGTCAAGGACTCTCTGGTCACCACCACTCAAAGCTTAATTGGCAATCTCTCGTTTGCATTGGGGACGCTTTTCCTTCTTTTTTTCTCTTGTTATCGCAGTGCACCCACTCACCTGATTTTCAACTTCGATGTGCCCGGCGGACAGATGGACTTCATAGCCACGCTGCCGCAGCCAAAGGAGGCGCCACGCGGCTCCCTGCACTCGGTGCGGCGCTGCAGCTTCGATGTGCGGTCCATTGCCTCGGACGGATTGCGGAGGACCAGCCTGGCCAAGCTCACATCCCTGCCGCTGGAGGCGCCAATCACTAAAGTATGACTCCGCTTTGTGCGCTTTCTGGGAATTGAATTGGTTTATGGCTAAAACACGGGAATGCTTCTTGTGCCTTGTGCCTATTGGAATGCTCTCAAATGTCGTCCGTGCTTCTGTCCGTGTGTGTTTGTGTCTGGTGTGTGTGCACTGTGTGTGTGCTCTGTGTGTGTGGTGTCCTGGTGTCGTAGTGTCCTATCATGCCCTGTGGCGCAGCAGCAGCAGCAGCAGCAAAAGCAATAGCATTAGCAACAATATTTGCACAAGAACACAAACCACACACACGCCGTTCCCCCCACCCCCCATCAACACACAGACACAGGCACCAGCGATCAGAGAGCTGGCCCCTAAATGCATTTTCAGAATTACTCGTAGTTTGTTTGTGCTCTCCGCCCACAAATGTTTGCACTCACTCTGCTTTAATTATCGAATCACTCAATCAATTTACGGCTAATATAGTCAGATGAGAACTAAAACATTCCATTATTTCCCTCTGCCACCACCCTACACAATTTGCATGCTGCAGCAGCAGCAATGTGATGCTCTCGCAAATTATGCGAGCTTGACGTCATTACGGTACAAAATTAGCCTTCGAAAAGAGAGTGAGTGCCAGCAAGCAAACTAAATTATTGCATGGTGAGGGTGGACCCTCTCCCGCGACCGCAGTTGTGCATGCGAAAACGTAATTGAAACCAATTTGTGTGCCGTGAGAGCGTTCTTTGGTGAAGCCTCACCTTTTACTCAAACACTTTGAGATAAGCAGTTACTTTTCGGCTCTCTCTTAGCAACTGCTGCGACACGTGTTTTAGGATTGAGAGAGTGAGAGAGTAAGAGCGCATACGATTTTACTGTAAATGCATTTGCTGGCACCAGCTACTGGAGATAGCAACCATCCATGTTTCATCTCTCTCTCTGAAGCTCCTAATTTAACATCAAATTTCCGCCTACTAATCCCAAAATCAGCGCCAAACCGCAACAAAAAACCTTAATTGCACATCTAAAACGACATTTTTTACATATATTCTCTTTTTATCTCTTATTTGTTATGTTCTCTCTTTTATTTTTATGTTTTGTGTACTCGAACAATGAACCAACTCATAAAAAAACAAATATTAAAACAAAATAATGTACAAACTGTTCGTTCGCACGTTCGCTCGCTCGCTCGATTTGCTCGCTGCGCGTCGCTAACCAAAAACAAAAACCAAAAAATACAATAATAATAAAACAAAAAAAATGAATCTCAAAAACAACACAACAAAATAAAACAAAACAAAACAATATCAAAACCCAACAAAAACGAAAACAACTGCGCAATCACTCGCACATTAGATAATCAATTTACTATCACAAGTACAGGAGAATTGTTCGGCCGATGAGGCGCGGCTCATAGACAAGGTCTTGGAGTTCCTGAAGCGCGAGGGACTCTACAGTCCACAAATGAAGGAGATCCGCACGGATGATCCCATAGCCACCGATCTAATCGGTGCCCTATTAACGGTAAGTCCAGACTAGTCTAGTCTAGTCCAGATCTCGTGGTAATATCTCTTTCGATCTGCAGGGACCGAGCGTTTACTCCTCGCGGCGAAGCTCGAATGACTCCATCATACGCACAGGAAGTTCTACCCGAACTGCCACCATCGTGCCCGCCAAGATGAAGGTAGGCCACTTCAGACGACCACTTTTGGGAATATGTGAATCATTCAGCTATCCCCCGTTAACCTGTTGCAGGCCAATCCCATTATAATGGAACTACTTGAAGAATCTCTCAGCTGGGACTTTGATATTTTCAAATTGGAAGAGATCACCGACTACCATCCGCTGCTCTATCTGGGTATGGAAATGTTCCGTCGCTTCGACGTCTTCGCCACCCTGAACATTGACGAGAACGTGTGCAAGGCCTGGCTGGCCGTTATAGAGGCCCACTACCACAAGTCGAACACCTATCACAACAGCACACATGCCGCCGATGTCATGCAGGTGTGTATGTGTGTGTGTGTGTGTGGCTGGCCTTCTGGCCATCTGGCCCTACTCCAATTATCACTTATCTATGTTTATGCTATCAATTGCTATATCTATCGTTTATCTGCAGGCCACTGGCGCGTTTATCACGCAGCTGACCAACAAGGACATGATGGTCATGGATAGCATGGAGGAGGCCATGGCTCTGATTGCGGCTGCGGCCCACGACATCGATCATCCTGGTCGCTCCTCGGCCTTTCTGTGCAACTCGAACAGCGCTCTGGCCGTACTGTACAATGATCTAACGGTGCTGGAGAACCATCATGCCGCCATCACTTTCAAGCTGACTTTGGGTAAGGGAACCGCCCATCAACGTTATGGGAAGGTAACTCCAATAATCTCTCTCCTGCAGGCGATGATAAGATCAACATATTTAAGAACCTGGACAAGGAGACATACAAGTCGGCGCGTAGCACCATTATTGACATGATTTTGGCCACCGAGATGACGCGACACTTTGAGCACTTGGCCAAGTTTGTGAGCGTCTTTGGGGGCGAGGAGCCGCGCGAAGTAAGTGAATTATCCTCCTAGTATGTGAATCATACGAACTAATGGAATCTATTCTATCGAATCTCTTAGCATAACCCGCAGTCGGATGAGGAGACTGCGATACTCATGCGCCGCATGCTCATCAAGGTGGCCGATGTGAGCAACCCAGCCCGGCCAATGCAATTCTGCATCGAGTGGGCGCGGCGCATTGCCGAGGAGTACTTCATGCAGACGGACGAGGAGAAGCAGCGGCATCTGCCCATCGTAATGCCCATGTTTGATCGGGCCACATGCAGCATACCAAAGAGCCAGATTGGCTTCATCGAATACATCATACAGGACATGATGCATGCCTGGGAGAGTACGTAGCGCCAATTGGATTTATCTGTGTGTCTCTCTGCCTGCCACTTATTGAATGTTCTCTCTCACATCTTCCCATCAGGCTTCATTGACATGCCCCAGCTCATCACCTACATGCAGATCAACTACTCACAGTGGAAGAAGTACGACGAGCAGGGCGTCAACACTTTGGCCGATATCATGGCCAAGCAGCCGCCGATGGGAAAGCTGGCTAATTCCAAATAGCATACGGCCTTCCGGAGATTATTCTCGGGTCTACTGAAGCCACTGCCGGCCCAGGCGCCGGGCACATCCACAATTGGCGAGAATGAATTGGAGGATGTGCTCTAGTGACGGCGCAGACGGGCCCGTGGCCCCATCTGGCGGCGCTGTCACTCTGCATAATCCTCTCATTGTTGTTGTTGTTGTTGCTCCTCCACAACTGGATCCACATCCAGATCCTTTTCGCTCCATCTGTCATACATATCTCGGACTAAAAGGAAGGCGTAGGAAAGGTGCAGTGGCAGGGGCAGTGGTGCAGTGCTGCCACGAAGTCCACAACACAAGTGGTGCCAAGCGGTGTCGCAAAGCAGAAAAACAGAAACAAATACCTAACCTAACTAAAGCAAGTTTAAACAATTATTGGGCTGGACTCAAAATTTAATGTTTAAGAAGCATCACAAAACAAAAAAAAAAAAAAACAAAACAAAAGCGAAATCAATACAGAATCGTAAATGTATATCAACCTATGTAAATGTGAGTCTGTCTACGTGTGCGTGCATGTGTGTGTATGTCCCCCCGTACCACTGTACATGTGTGTGCTTAGGGTAATGAAAACAAAACAAAAATAAAATAAAAAATATTACAAACAAAAAACCACCAAACAGAATCCCACAGAAATTGGATCAACAGCAGAGGAACAATAGGGCGTGCGCTCAAAAAGTACCTTCAAACGGTATAACGATATAGCAGTATAGCAGTAAATAAGAAACATTTATTATCGCCCGCACAGTGGTGAGTGCTAAACACATTTCTTTCCCATCAAGACGACAATCTATGTTAAGTACTGCACTCAAAATTGTGTCTAAATATCATTAGTCGTTGTCCAAATCAGAATCGTGAACGAAAACCTGAACGGAGTTGAAGTTGATGGAAGGAATACTAAATGTACTACTATGCTATATAGAATGGTATAACTGAAAAACAAAAAAAAAGAAACAAAAAACTGAAGAAAACCAATTCGAATCCACACATGAGACATATGAAATTGTATGGGGCCCCTTTTACTACTACCTACTAATTAACTAGTTACCTACTTTCCTAACTAACTAAAAGAAAGAAAACTAAAAAAAAAGAAGCGAAGAAGCAGAACGAGGAGAGAAACTTTCCCAACTAATATTATTAATGTTGTTTAGCTTTCTAAGCATATGGAATGAGAAATCAAACTAAGCCCAAAAATGTTTTACAATTAAGTGAAATCCTTTTTGAAATCTTTTTATCTAATTGACTGAACAAATTACATATATACATACATACATACATATACATATATATAACTGTATAAACCAGATCTATTCGAGTCAATAATATGTTCTTGTTAAAAAACAAAAAAAAAAAAAAACAAAAACGCAAATGAATTGAAAAGCAAAATTATATATAAAATATATACAATTTATACAACTTTTACGAAGCATATTAAAAATATATAGTATATATATATTTATGTGTCCTATCCGGCATTCATTCACACAGTTACAGTTATTTGTATGTGTTACAAAAGTGTTTTATCCTGTGCTTCACGATGTTTTGATAGAAATTATATACATGTATACAAGTCACCCGAACGACCTCCTCTACCAGCAGAGGAAAAAGAACTGTGTAGTTACCGTTACCCCCCTTAGAGCTCCCCCCCCTGTCCACAGGCCGTAGATGATCATAAAACCCCCACTGTTCGAGAGTTGTTATCGCTTTCGTGTCCTCCCACCTCTTTACTGGATCGCAAACAAATACAAAACGTACATACATGCATACATCATACTGAGCGATAAGAGAAAATATATATATGTATATGCATTTGCATATTTAATGTTGTTAATATGTGTGTGTTTAATTGTATGTATTGGCGTAACTCAAGTAAATTACAAACAGAAAATTACAGCATAAATACGAAATACGAAATATTGGAATACCCCAAGAGAAATAATTCGCAAAAATTGCGCATAGACATAAAACGCTAAACAATATATGTGTTATAATAAATATTATATATACATACATACATACATAGATACGATATATGTTTCTAAACACACATACATACATATGATAAATCTTTACATACATACAATTACATATGTATATTTGTTACTACATCTGTTTGCTCCTTGCAGGTTAAGGATTATAAATGTTAAGATTTAGTCAAATTTATTGTAAAAGAAACAAAACAAAACAAAACAACCCAAACATGAATGAAAAACAAACACAAAATGCAAATAATACAAATAAAAATTCAAGAAAAACAAAATAATCGAAAAAAAAAAACAACATCAACGAGGGGGAAATTTCGTGTCAAGGTTGGAACAAGTTTGTAAATTTTAGAGTGGACGGATAGGTGATATATTCTAGCAATAAATTATATACTGAATATTATGAATGCGAGCGCCGCTCATTCATATTTCGTTCATCTAATGATCGATTCCTATGGCACACAGCGACCCACGTCCATGCCATGCATTCAAACAACCTGTTTTGCCCCACCGAAACTCGGTATTCTTCCAATTTAATGGGTGCCCAAAGAAGAGGGGCATAATTTCACTTGCCAGAGCGCCAATCGAAAGGTAAACAAAGCCAAAAAACTTTCTTTGGCTAAACAGAAAGGTGTCCCCACGGCGTCAGGCAGGGCGCGAACAAAGAAAGTCTCTCATTCCGGTCCAGTCTTAGTCTTACAGCACGATCGCTGCATGCAACGCAGCTCGATCGCTGCTGGGAAACGAGTCCGGTTACGCGTGTGGGTACGATTATTGTTGTATTGTGTGTCAACGGAGCGAGGGGCGAATTGCATAATCTTATGGCTAAATTGGAGATGGGAGCGTGATCCGGTGCTCAATGGATCATTTGATCCATGGAGAAGTTGTATCCCAACTCAAGATCGTCTCAGTTTTTTTCACGATCTTTCACACACTCACATTCGTGTCACTTGTCCATCGCTAACGCACTCAAAGGCGAGAAATTCTGCTCCGAACACTTTTGATTTCTCAAGCTGCGCTTAATGCGGCCCCAACTGCCGAGACGTTCAGTTCGATCGATCGTTAAAATCGCGTAATATTACGGGACAGTGTCGCCATGCCCCAGTCAAGCTTCTTTGCCAAGAGCGTGCCCTTCGAGCAGATCGACAAGCTGGCCATCAGTGGCGGCTACTCCTCGATCTATGCCACCCAGGAGCCGGCAGTGCCAGTGGTGGGCCACTGGGAGCATCGCTTCTGCCGCCTGGCGGACACCTTCCAGCCTGTGCTCGATCGTGTCCATGAGTTTGAGGTTCGGGAGGACGATGTGTGGATTGTGACGCTGCCGAAGTGCGGCACCACATGGATGCAGGAGCTCACCTGGCTGGTGATGAACGACTGCGACTTTGAGACGGCCAAAAGCGTGGATCTGACGCTGCGATCCCCCTTCTTGGAGTGAGTTGTGGAAGGCATTCAAATGGAGCTGCCGGAAACTAATCCTTCCCTCCCCGCGCTTTAAGGTTCAATGGTGTTGTGCCCAATGTGCCGCACGACACAATCGAGGCAGCCAATGCCATGCAGTCGCCGCGTCTCATCAAGTCCCACCTGCCAGCCTGGCTGCTGCCCCGCCAAATCTGGACGAAGAGGCCGAAGATCATCTACGTGTACCGCAACCCCAAGGATGCGGCCATCTCGTACTTCCATCACTGGCGCGGCATGGTCGGCTACCAGGGCACCAAGTCCGACTTTATGCACTCCTTCATCGACGGCTACGTGAACTTCACGCCCTGCTGGCCCCACGTCCTCGACTTCTGGCAGCTTCGCCACGAGCCCCACATCTTCTTCACCAGCTACGAGCGCATGAAGGCCCAGCTGGGCGACGTGATCCGTGAGGTGGCGCAGTTCCTGCAACGACCGGTCAGCGGGGAGCAGGTAAAGCAGATGTCCCAGCACCTGTCCTTCGAGAGCATGCGCGACAATCCCGCCTGTAATCATGTGAAGGAGTTTGAGAGCATGAAAGCTGCCGCTGGCCGTCAGGTGGAGGAATTCAGGTGAGTTCGCTGATTGATAAACGAGAGTTGGGCGCAAAGAGATAGAGATTGAGATAGAGTTCCTTCTTACCAGCTCCTCTGCCCACAGATTCGTACGTCGGGGCGTCGTTGGCAGCCACAAGGATGAGCTCACCGCTGACATCATACGGGAGTTTGATCTCTGGTCGGACATCAATCTGCGCGACTACAAATTGAACATGGATGACTTTGCCAACTACAGCAAGTTCGCATCGTCGCTGTAATTACCGAGTTAATCTTTTCGCTGTAATCTATTATTGTATAGCCTCTTTTAATAGTCTGTAAGCTGTGGTGATATATGTATGTATGTTCTTATAAATGATGGCATACTACCCGCTATCTATCTGTCTATCTATTTATCTATCTCTCTACATTCGTGTGTACTTTAATGGATTTCACCAACCAGAAGTCTAGTTGCTTGAAACCTTTTGAGCTCAAGCAGCTGATTTGATGCCCCGACAAAAATTGCCAAAACTTGCGACGACTTCCCCATCCGTTTCAAGGCATTTATGAACTCCTTCGTTGATAAGTCCGAAACTACTTCTACGTGGACGGCTTCACATATTCCTGTTGATAATTACCGCTTTATCGGCCACCGAACGCCTAGGCCCCACTCTCTATCGCCCATTATCTGCTGTAGAGCAGGAGAGGCACGCATCATGGGTTACGTTACTCCAATTACATTGGCGCATAAGCAATAACAACCTTATCAGCCGCTGAATTAGCGATCAACCAGAGAGAACGGGCGCCAAAAAGAGCGTAAACTTTCATTTAAATGTCGCTCAATTATAGATACATACACACACACACACACACATACATATGGTATATACATAGGTTTTTGTTCGCGTTGGAAAGTCAGTTAGTCGCCGCCATGGAACGTGAACGGGTCACGCCCAAGAGTTATCCGACGAGTCTCATTGACAAAGACTGGACCAAGCGGGAATTGTTCTTCAGAGGCAACTCTCAGGGCTATCTGGATAGCGTACATGACTTGGAACTGCGAGACGATGATGTGTGGGTGGTGACGCTGCCAAAGTGTGGCACCACCTGGATGCAGGAGCTCTGCTGGCTGCTGATGAATGATTGCAACTTTGAGGCTGCTCTGGCCAAAGACTTGGAACTTCGCAGTCCGTTCGTCGAGTGAGCTAAGAGATATCAACAGATGGCCGCAAGGTGTTACCTTTATATTTAATTGTAGGTTCAATTTTTTCACACATGGTGATGACGGTAAGCAGTTTGCACCTGTCCAAGATATGGCCTCGCCGCGTCTCATCAAGTCCCACCTGCCGCTGCCCCTGCTGCCCGCACAGCTGTGGCAGCGGAGGCACAAAGTGGTGTACGTATTCCGGAATCCCCTCGATGCCTTGGTCTCTCGGTACTATCACGGCGTGACCTTTGGCCATTGCTACGGCAAGACACTGCCACAGTTTATCGAGGAGAATCTGGCCACTGATGCCACATTCAGAGAGGCCATCGAACACGCGCACGAGTTCTATCAGCTGCGCCACGAGCCCTGGCTCTACTACACGAGCTTCGAGCGCATGAAGAAGGATCTCCGAGCCGTTGTCGAGGACCTGTGCCGCTTTCTGGACAAGCCCATTGCGGACCAGCCCATGGATCAACTGCTCAAGCATCTGTCTTTCGAAGAGATGAAAAGTGAGTGTGAAACTCAGCTAAACTAAAGTCTATGCAAATTCCAAATGTTTCTTTTTGTGTACAGAAAATCCAACAACGAATCATCTGTGGGAGCTTCAGCAAATGACGCACAAAGATGCCGGCAAGGAAAAGCACAAGTAACACAAATATTTTCCTATATTACTTCTTGTTTTATTCTGTATGTGTTCTTGCAGCTTCGTTCGTCGCGGCAAGGTGAATGGCTACAAAGACGAGCTGCCCCCCGAGCAGATAGCGAAGGCAACCGACTACGTGCAGCGGTGTCTAGCAGAGAAGGCTGTAACTCTGGAGGAGCTGCTGCTGCTCAATGATTCGAAGATTCCATCTTAGATAGAGAGAGTTCTTTCTTATTTGTAGTTTTTTGTGGGTTGAATGCACTACCATGCACTACCAAGATTTTCTTTCATATTAATTTGTCGTATAAAAACCCAATATCATAGGGACACATAAATAAATACATAAATACACTAACTATTGTAACTGTCAGACCGGTATAAAAAAGTTCAGCCTGGGCCCTTAGGTCGTTGTGGTTTCCACCTTCTTGGCATTGTCCTCCTTGGAGGAGGGACCAGTCTGTGTGATGAGCACGACGCGCTCAGTCGATGGTGGGGGCAGCTTCTTCATGGGCGCAGTGATGGTCAGTAGACCATCCGAGGAGAGCGAGGAGGTGACATTGTCTGGATTGACATCACCTGCAATATGGGAAAGGGAATTTTCTGGTTAGCACTGAAGTTGTCTGCAGAGTGAAGCAACCAAAAATAACTCACTGGGCAGCTGGTAGCGTCTGGAAAATTGGCGGGAGACATAGCCGTGCTCGTCCTGCTTCTCCTCGTGCTTGCCCTCGACAATGACATACTTGTCGGCGATCTTGACGGTGATCTCGTTGGGGGAGAACTGCTGCACATCCAGAATGACCTCGAACTTCTCGCTGTCGATGTTCAGCGTGGAGCCGGACTCCTGCTTCTGCAGGCTGTTCTTCTGCCAGGGACGCAGATAGCCCGATCGCAGCACTGTGGGGCGGGAGTTCCACACCGACGACATCAGATCGTCGCGCTTCATACCCTGGCCGAAGTGCTGGTCCAAGAGGCGCGAGGTGCGCATTGGAAAGTCAATCTCATCCCACCAGTCGCGGAACATAAGGGGCACAACGGACATCTACGTTGATGGAGAAACGATACGAAGGTGAGTTACACAAATTATCCTCTCTATATATACATATATACCCGATTTGTACCTTTGATTCTTTTCTTAAATATTTCGATTGCCGATCTTTCGATTCGCGCGTCTGCTTTGATTCGCAGTTGAAACGTTTTTGATGGAGCTCCCCGAAAATTCACTCGGTTTTATACCCTCACCAGAATGTTTACAGTTTGTGCTAAAAATATGAAAATTTATTTCTCATCTAATTTTAGGCGAGCGTCACTCATTGCGGTACATATAGAGAACACAGAGCTTTGGTATGGTATATATACCCCACGTATAACGTATACATATATGTAGAAAAGATTCTTTGCGAATATTCCAAAGATCTGAGAGCGGTTTGTTTGGGTTCTGGTGGGCGACACTGACGCTCGTCTGTGACGATGACCTGTGGAATATTCTATAACAAGTTAATCATGAACGTAAGGTTCTAGAGCAAACCCATGTTAATCACTCTTTTAGTTTGACTTTGTTGGCTGATTAATACTTTGTATTTTTATTTGTATCTAAACGATATTAAACAACAGCCCACACGCACACACATTTGGCCATGGAAATTGTTTTCCACAAATGCCAAAATACTTTTGTAGAAAATGCCAGAATGTACGCCCTATAATTGCCATATACATATACTTTTTCGTATGTGTGGGCGTACATATACATATTAAGAGATTTTCATAATTTTCTACCTGTTGGCATCGTTGATTTGACGTGGCCAATATGAAAATACTTTGGCAGCCAAATGAGTTTTCAAACTATTTTGAGCATCTGCCATCGCGGCGGGGATGCTGAGTCATGTCGCGTGCGAGATGACGTCGCGGAAAAATGTTGACAAACAAAAGGAAGGAATTTGATGTCAAGATTTCATCAAAGATGCTTGCTTATAGGGTGCACACACATGCTACCATTCATAAATACAAACAAGTGGAATGGAAGCTTGTCGAATTATTCACCCTGTAAGTGCAGACGAACAGTGGGACGAGAATCCTCCAAAATGCACACCAAAATACACCCACACACACAGTGAGCGAGAGAGAGCGAGAGAGAGAGGAGACTTCTGCATGTGCAGTGTGTGTGTGTGTGTGTGTGTGTCTGTGCGGCACTTTCTAGTGAAAGCTAAAAGCCGACACGACGACGACGACTGGTCGTCCCGATTCCAGCAGTTCACGTTGCAGTTGTTTTGCCGACGCCCCAACCAAGCAGTAGATGCCACGTGACACTCGCCACAGGACATGTAACACGTGAGGAAGTACAGTGAAAGTTATGAGGAAAAGCCAGCATTAAGTGAAACTAAAAACCCAGCAGCCAGCCATACAAAAAAAAACACAGCATCTATAAAAAGTCACCAGCAACCGAAACGATGCGAAAGGTCAGAGGATAATGGAAAAAAGGGAATAAATTGAAAAATATATGTATATAAATGTAATTTTATTATTTTTTTTGCTTTCTTAATTGTGTTAAGGTGGCCACAGGGCTGCGGCTGCGGCTGCCCGTGGCATCACGGCTGTTGCTTCTGGGCTGCTGCCTGCGTTTGTCCCTCCTCCTGGTGCCCGCCGATGCACAAGCGCATCTAACGAAGCGCAGCTACTCGGACCAGAGTGTCCATGGCTATATGACAGAGGTCTGTGGCAGCAGCGGGTGAGTGCAGCTGGAGATTGGCTTAGCTAACCCCTTGGCTTGTTTTTTTCTGATCACATTACAGCGCACCTGCTGGTGGAACGAGGTGTGCAAGGAGGAGTTCCAGAGCATGTTTCGGTGCAAGTGTCCACAGTACTCCTACTGCCGGTGAGTGTTCGACCCCCAGCGGCTCGCTGGCGAGTTCCGTTGATGCACAGCTTGAGTGGTGACTGTTTTTGCAGCTCCCCGGGACGATATTACAATGCGTACTGCTCCATGACGGACACGGGCTATATTTGGACACAGCCCAACTGGGATTGGGGGTCGTAGTGCACCACGGATTACGGCCCTACTCCTCCGCTCTCCGCCCTCCGCCCTCTGCCATCCGCCCACTGCCCAGCACAGCCCCCGCTGTGACGTCAAACACACTGACTGCTGATTGTATGCTACCATCTGCTCTCCAAAGTGGCCTCCAAAACTCCAAATCGATTCTCTGCGCGCAGCACCGTTGATTGTGTGCAATCGAACCGAATTCGGGCGTGCACCTTATAATCGAAACCAATAAAGCTTTACTTTTGGCCTTCACTGTTCGCGTACATTGGAAAATCAATAAACGCTTTCCAATCTGCAGCAGCTTGCGGCAGGGCCACAGTGGGGCAATCTGCCGCACACCTGAATATTTGCCTTGCAAATCAGCATTGCACATCCATTTCCCGGGCGGATGGGCTGGGGCCCAGTGTGCTGGGGTCAGACAGGCGCAGGCGCCGCAATGAAAGCGAAAATCGAAAAGCGTGGGACTATCAGCGTCAGTGCGTGTGTGTGCGGTGAAGAGTGAAGAGTGAAGAGGAGTGAAGTTCGTGTCGAGCTCGTGGTCCAAAGGCAGTTAATCTATTGCCAGCTCAACATATAGACACCGCCAACAGATGTTGGCAGAGCTGAAAATCGAGCGAGCCGAGCAGAAGTAAACTTCTGACCAAGAAAAATTCAATCAGAGGACTTCCAAATGTCGTGCATTCATCTTGTGGCGCTGCTGGCCCTCTGCCTGGGAGCCGTGGCCGTGGCCGCGAGCAGCAACCACCTGCCAGTGGGGGCGAACGTGAACCTCAACGAGCGGTTCTTCAACCAGGTGAGGGCGCTCATCAAGCGCCGCATGCAGGAGAAGAACGTTCAGGTGAGTTGGCTGCACCACCACAAAAGTGTCGTTCATCGCCAGAGTCCACTGGGGATCCTTTGCAGTCGCCACAGCTGCCACTGGTGGACGATGAGGTGGCCCTGCAGAATCAGCGCAGCTACGACAATGTGCCCATTCCGGCGGCCAGTGTGCCCACTCCTGTGCTCGTGGAGAACTGGCCCACCGAGCAGCACAGCTTTGGCCAGGTCACCGCCGTCTCCGTGGACCCGCAGGGCAATCCAGTGATTTTCCATCGCGCCGACCGCTACTGGGACGTTAAGTAGGTCAACAGCTGTCGCCAGCTGCATAGTAACAAGTGTCTACTCTCGCGTGGGCCACACGTATACATATCTGATTTGTGTCCCATCTGCCTGCAGCACCTTCAACGAAAGCAATATCTACTACCTCATCGAGTACGGGCCGATCAAGGAGAAAACCATCTATGTGCTCGACTCCAAGACGGGCGGCATTAAATCTGGCTGGGGCTCGAACATGTTCTACATGCCCCACGGCATGACCATCGATGTTCATGGCAACTATTGGATTACGGACGTGGCCATGCATCAGGCATTCAAGGTACATACTCCTTATACAGAGTGCCTTGGGCTTCAGGGTTCCTACATTTAGTTCTTGTTCAGTTCAAGCCCTTCGGCAGCAAGCCACTTCTGACGATTGGCAAACGCTTCCGGCCTGGTTCCTCCGTCAAACATCTGTGCAAGCCAACATCCATAGCCGTGGCCACCACTGGAGAGGTAAGGCCATCCACCATCCATCAGAGTATCAAGCAAATGTCACCAAACTCCACCCTTGTCCCTTTTGACAGTTCTTTATCGCCGATGGCTACTGCAATAGTCGCATCCTGAAGTTCAATGCCGCCGGCAAGCTGCTCCGTACAATTCCACAGCCACCAGGTGCGCATACTTTTATATATCAGTGTTCAGTGAGCGCAGCTATACGATAACGTATATTCCCCTTGCAGAGTTTCTGTCCCTGCAGGTGCCACATGCCATCACCCTGCTGGAGCACTTGGATCTACTGTGCATCGCCGACCGGGAGAATATGCGCGTCGTCTGTCCCAAGTGAGTACAGTGGTGATCCCCCAAAGTGGCAATTGCCAGATGGCAAAGTGTATCTATCCCTTGCAGAGCTGGCCTGAAGTCTTCCCATGGCGAGGGTGAGCCCGCAGCCACCATACAGGAGCCGGATCTGGGTCGCGTCTTTGGCGTCGCCAGCTACGGCGATATTGTGTTCGCCGTGAATGGACCCACCTCGATGCTGCCCGTGTGCGGCTTCACCATCGATCCGCGCTCGGAGGCCATTATCGGGCACTGGGGCGACTTCAAGAATCCCCATTCCATGGCCGTCAGCGTCAACGGGTCGGCCCTGTATGTCACTGAGATTGGCACCAATCATCAGACAAATCGCGTGTGGAAGTACGTTCTGGCCTAGATCTAGGCGGAGATTCCCAATTCCCATTGAAAGTACCGTTATAGACGCTCTCCAGCATATCCCCATTAGTGCTTATACCCCGCGTACGCAAATAGAAATAGAAACTAGATCAGAATTCAAATAGCTAACAACAGGAGATCAGGATCCAAATCGAATGCAGAGGACTAGCAAGAAGGCACACCAAATATTTAATTGTAATAGTAATTGTTAGAGTAACGTACAGAGCAGGATGTACTCGTAAGTATGTAAATTGCTTGACACATACCACAACAAACATAACCTCAGACTTTATGTTTTTGCACTTGTAATGAGCAAAACGGCCTCAAAGCCCGCATTACAAAGCAGCCTTTTGTCTTTATTGATAGTACATACATGTACATGTACCACTCTCTCACTCGTTTGGGTGTGTATGGCTGTGTACTGTGTACTATTCATTAACATAAACTAGGCACGAGTGTGGGGTGGGCTTTAGACTAACCTAATCCATAGCATAACCAATAACCAATAACCAATTACCAATAACCGGCACAGAGCACACGGAGGAGCGCATAAACACGAAAATACAATACACTATTGTACCATACCATACCATATATAGTAATCTATGTATATCCAGTCGATAAACCTATATATATATATATAGTATATATATACAAATATATCCATGTATGTATATCTTAACGAACTATTATAACCAATGTAAATTATGTATGTAATAAACTGTTGTTGTTGTAACGTATACTACAGCCCCATAAACAAATGATTTAAAGATGGAATACAGGGACTAGGGACTACGAGAAGGCAGCAATGGCGGAATGTTACCGGAATGGCAATGGTCGCTCGCTGGAGCATAAATACAATTTTTTTCTTAGCCTAACTTAACCTATCCCAGCAGCTAATTTACAATTCCCAGAAATATTTTCAATTTAAGACTACAAAATATAAATAGAAAGAAAACAACAACCAAACACACAAATTAAAATGCCTCAAGCACCGTCCAGCCAACGCTTGGCGAAAGCCAGCGCCTCATTCAGATGCAACAGCCACTCGTCCAACTCCGGCTGAGTGTCGGCCGCAAAGAAGAATCCCAAGACTGAGCTCTTTCCCTGTAGAAGGAAACTGCGCGCACGGGCACACAACTCTCGCGGGGCGGCAGCTACCGCAGCTTGTGGGCAGCCCTGCAGCTGCAGTGAGAAGAGAGGCGGCTGCTCACTGAGATCGTCTTCGTGCTGCCACACGGACAGCTCGACACCGTCGAGGGTGCACCAGCGTCGATTCCAGTGGTGTTTCCGCTGCGGATCCTCCACATTCAAATAGCCAGAGTAATGGGACTTGGGCAAACGCACCTCCACACGCCCCGTCACGGATATGCCTGCCGCCAGATTCGTGGACTTTGTGTGTGTCGTCAGTGGCAGCTGCCAGGTTCGCGAGCTCCGCAAGCAAATCCGATCACTAGCCTGCGTCTCGCTGGCCACCAGCTCGAACGGAGCCAAATCCGTGGCACGCAAGCAGAAGGAGGCATGCAGACGAAAGCGAGAGACGATCTGCTCAGCCCCCGAGCTGCCGGAGGAACTGGATGTGGACGAGCCCAGATTGCTGGTGCCGCGTTTCTGCAAGGGTAAAAATGTCAGCCAAGTCCTGGAAGGGAGCACAAGAGAGCCACTTACCATTGTCTTGGCTGGGTCCAGCGACAGCGTGGAGATCTTGCGCAGCCGTAGCATGAATATTTGGCAGCGCAACTCCATCGCCTCCACCTGGCCGGCGCTGTAGAACTCCAGGCCACAGTCCCGGAACAGGGCAGCGCCGTTCTGGCACTCCACCGATTGGGTGGAGCAAATGCGTCCCTCAAACTCGTACGTACAAATGTAATGGTAATTGAAGAACATATCCTGGCTGGCATCTGACCTGACTGGCAGTTGCATGGCGTCGATTAGGACGCACTGCGCCTGCCGCCTGCCATCACTGGACTGGCAGGGATCCACAGGCGACTTTTGTCGCAGCGTTGAGAACAGCAAGAGGCGCTCTGCCTCCACCATTTCATTGGAGATCTCCAGCTCGGGCATTTTGCGGCAAATGCTGACAGCCTGCGCCAGCTGCTCGTTGGTGGTTAGAGACTCATTGAGCAGGCCGTCGAGACTGAAGCTGGCGTAGTAGGTGCTGCTGTCCAGCTCCCCGTCGGTCTGGTTGGACTGATCGCGTGACATATTGAGGCTGTGGGTCAGTCGCTGCTTCTCTGCCAGAAAGAAGTCTTTGCCTTTGCGGTAGGAGCGACGCAGGACATCCTTGAGCAGGCGATAGCGGGCCAGAGCGCTCACCGACATCAGCTGGCTGTCAGTGGGACTGGGCAGCGACTGGACCAGCTCCCCCAGACTGCTGCTGTTGTGGGCCAGCTGGGCGGATGGTTTGGCCGGCTGCTGTGGAGTCGTCGGGCAGCTGTGGCTCAGATTGTGGCCAAATGGACGCGCTGGCGACGGAATCAGTGCGTTCTCGTTGATGTCGATGCTGAGATTGCTCGGAGGCTGGAAAATCAATTAGTGCGCGTGTTAAGATAACAAAAGGAAGCAGCTTACACATATATTTCAAGTGCTTAAGTAGCGAGAGCTGTGTACAGTGTAGTTTTGCATATATACAAGCGGTTGTTACAATGTCCGACATGGTGGCGGCGTGTGAAAGCAGAAAGCCTTAGGCACTAATAGGAGTCAACAAAAATCTCTACCTTAGTTGTATATCGTTGGTTTTGCTTTTTTGGTGTACTCTGGTTCTCCGACGTAGGCGGCGGCGGTTCAATCTGGCACGAACCGTAATCGTTGGTGGCAAAGCTGCTGCCGGCGCTGGCATCCTCAATGCCGTACTCATCGTACAGTCCCTCGGGCATGTCGTAGGACACAGCATCCTCGTTGCTGGCTCTGAGGCAGGTCTGTAATTGGTTGTACAGGGATTAGTATGCTGAAATGGCCTGCTGCTGTGCTGTGTTGCATCTACTCACATTTGGAATCTTTTCCAGGCGGGTGTTGGCCTCCTCCTCCTGATCGAGCACAAGCTCGCTGCGGCAGAGGTTGTCCAGGAAGATCTGGCTGCGCTGCAGCGAGAGCTCGGACCTGGACAGGTTACGGTTCTTCTTGGGCGGCGAGTTCCTCTCGTTGATGTTGTTCAGCGACTGATGCATGGGTGGGGACATCGCTTTTGGCTTGCGAATCACCGACGAATCTGTCGTTTGGCTTGTGGACTCCGAGCAGGAGCATTCGCTGCTGGGCTCGTCTGGCAGTGGCATGAACTTGAAGAAGTTGCCACTCTTCAGGGACTCCTGCAGACACTGCCCCAATGCCACCGGCTGGGCACTCACATTTGCAGCAGGCAGACTCGGCGGAATGGCCTGCACCTTCTTCGGAGTCTTTTGCACCCTGGCATAGAGTAGGGACACGTCAGCAGGCACACTCAAGTCAGAGACAGCCGCAGTCGACTCACTCCCAGTCGCCGTGGAGCTTACAGTTAGCGCGTCGCTCGGCTGCCGTTCCACCGCAGTCCTGACCTCGTACTGCGGACTGCCACGTACACGCAAGCAGTCCTCTTCGATCTCTGAATAAATGGGCTCGCAATCGAGATCACGCTGATGACGAGTAGGCACCACAAATGTCGTGTCACGTGGATATTGAGTAGTTGCAGCAGATGTCGTATCGCGTGGATAGTGCGAAGTTGCCACGGAAGTCGTGTCACGTTGATATTGAGTCGTGGCCGATGTGGCGCCCGAGCTATGCGGCCCGTCAATGCAATCGAAGCTCTCCTTTTGACGCTCAAGTGGCTCAAAGCGTGAACAATCCTGAAAGGATGAACACAGAAGCAGGAACATTAATTAACACAAATCACATCCAGGCATTCGAATTTTTAAATTCAAAATCAACCGCGCATTTTTCAATTTCGATTGAGACGCACATAATCGATATCGATTACGCGCGCAAAGTCAGCCCTGAGAAGAGCAGACAAGAAGCAACAAGCAAACAGCTGACGAACGCGCAGTTTTTTTTTTCTCCCCCCTTTTTGGCTTGGCGCATCCGAAGAATCTGTTGCATTGGAAGGCATGACGACGTACACCGAATGATATGTACAAATTCCTGCTCCGCACCCTGCCACGCCAAGCTTCACTCATTCCCACACTCGGGCACAGCAGCAGCAGCAGCAACAGGAGGAACACAAGCAGCCAGACAGCAAATACTCAGCAAATAGACGCCATGGAAAGATACGACAGAAACCGACAATGGAGGCGCCCGAAGGATGGACAAGGTCACGTGAACAACGACTCCAGCTTTAAAGTAGTTTCGTACAACATACTCGCCCAGGACCTGCTGATAGAACACTTTCATCTGTATGGGCAAAACGGAACCAACTGCCTCAACTGGCGACGCCGCCTCCAGAACATTCAGCGTGAAATACTGACACTAGACCCGGACATTCTCTGTCTCCAGGAGATGCAGTACGACCATATATGCGATCTACTGCGGGGCCTGCGCGTGGGCAATGGCAAGAAACTGGAGTACATCTACAAGAAGAAGACTGGCCACCGCACCGATGGCTGTGCCATCATCTACGACGCATGCAAGTTCCAGTTGCTGGACCAGCGGCCAGTCGAGTTTTACGATGAGAATGTAAAGCTGCTGAATCGCGAAAACGTGGCCCTGCTCGCCAAACTCGCACTGAAAGGGCAGAAGAAGGAGTTCATAGTGGCCACCACACACCTGCTGTACAATCCCAAGCGCGACGACGTGCGCTGTGCCCAGGTGACCCGGCTGCTTGAAGAGCTACAGACATTTTCCGTTGATCCAAAGAGTGGCCAAATTACGCCCATAGTATTAACTGGCGACTTTAACAGCCTCTTAGATTCTCCGGCTATCGAGGTTCTCACTACCCAAGTACCCTGGCACTCGAGTGCCGATAAACCCGAAAAGATGCTCAAATTTGAGGCTGTTCATATGGGACCGCCAGGACCACACCGCGTTGCGTCCACACGTCAAGACGACTGGATCACCGTGGACTACATTCTGCGCTCCCTAAGCGATAAAAGCCAGCACCAGCTGCAGGTGGCTAGCATTTATGGCCTGCCCACGGTCAACATCTGCTACCGCGTTGGACCCATACCCAATCACTATCTGGGATCTGATCACTATGCTCTGGGCGTTGTGTTTAACCTTGTTTAGAAACTAAACTATAAGCTATAAGCCGAAAGATATTCATTCTGACTCGTCAATAAAGATACGAAATTTCTCTGTGAAAAACTCACCCGAAAGGTTCGCATGGCGCGCTCGTCGCTGGCCTCCAGCTTGGCCCGAATGTTGCTCAGCAGATAGCCCATTTTGGTGATGGTCACATCCTGGTCGAGATCCTTGTGAAAGGAGCGATAGGTGGTGGGTGCTTCTGCCTCTGTGTGGAAGTCCAGTTTGCGGGCACGGTTGGCGCGCGGCAACTTCTTGGGCGGCGTCGGAGCTTCGATCTTGCGCTCGAAATCGAAGTACGGCTGGTCGCTGCTCTCCTTGTCCCGCTGCTGCCTGGTGGATGTCGTTGTGGCCGATGGCGTCGACTGCATAGGCGAATGATAGCTGCCCGGTGGGGATTGCGACTGCAGATCCAACTGCGATGCCGATGTCTGAACGCCCACAGTGCAGAGCTTAGGCGTAGGTGTGGGCCGCCTGGCGGGGTTCTCGTCCTCATTTGTCTTTTTTGGCGACACAAAGCGCAGTATCTTGTTCTTTGAGTTGTTGAGAAAGTTCTTGGACTTGGTCTTAAGTGTGGGCTGCTTGGTGGTTGCCTTTAGCGGCGAAAAGTTGCGCCACTGCTCGCCCCAAATGAATTTCTGGCTGGCTTGTCCGCCAGCAGACTTGGTGCCTCGCGGATATTTGATGGGAGTGTGCTTGCGGTCTATGTTGGAGGCCAGATTCTCGCACATGCTGCCATCGACGGTGTCCAACGAGATCTTGGGCACTACCGGCTGTGGCACCTGCCAGCCAATGGCCACTTGGGGCTCTGCCAAAGGTGCTTGGGTCTTGAAATTGGAGCGCCGCTTGTTCTCGTAGTTCAACATGTCGTTGATCTTTGGCTCTGACCAGCCCAGCAGGATCTCCTTCATTGGTTTGTCGGCCACGGCATTCTTCGCCTTGCTGACCTGCTGTATATTCCGGGCGTAATTAGAGCCACGCTTGGACTCCACAACACGTTCAATGTCGCTCAGCGAGGGACAGGTGGGCAGCTGCCTACTGCGCCTGGGTTGTTTCTCCACTTCGGCTGCAATATGAGGGGAGGAGTTAAGAGGCGAAAGAGAAGAGTTTTGGCCTGGGGGACTGGGAAATGAAACCGTAACTCAAATGGTAAGCAACATATCTTTTTTTATTTTGACAACAAAGTGGAGTTTAATTTTATTTGGTTTAGCTAAAAGGGATATTGTTTCTAGTTTGATTTGGTTTCGTTTGGTTTGGTTACGGTTTCATTATTTGGCTTCGGCTAGCACCACTTACCCATCGGATAGGACTTGCGCTTGCTCTTCTTCTCTTTGCGGGGCGAGTTATTGCAGCTGCTGGGCACCCGGACGCCTCGCTGGCGTAGGAACTCGTCCAGCACACGCTCAGCCTCCCGCACCGATGGCGTTGTCGATGTCAGCGAGGACAACGATAATTTCCCATCGAGACTCTGGCAGCTGCGACGCGGCGGCTTCGGTGGAGGCTGTTGGGAATCGCGTGTCTTGAAATTCACCAGACCCTGTGACAAACGCTTCTGCAGGAGACGCCCACCGGCCCCAGAGCTGCGACGCGAACGGGCGCTTTGGCGGGCGGACTGCATACTAGTCGGCTCTGTTGGAGCCGTTTCCGGCTCCTCTTCTACGGCAGACTCGCTGATGTTGGACAAGGCCGGGGCAGTGGGCTTGTATGCAATCGGTTCAAAGGCCTGCACTTTGCAGGTCTTAACAGGCGAGGACCTTGGCTGGCAGTCCGATCCTGTCAGCTTCTGTCGGTTCACGCGCACCTCGGACACCACACAATTGTCGCGCAGCTCCTGAATAATGTGTATGAGCGGAGCATCATCGCCCACGGCACAAATACTGCTTACGGCAGTCAGCGGAATATTTGAGGTCTGTTTGACTTTGGGCGGCTCACTGTGCCGACGCCCCGTCTGCTGCCTCGGACAGTCGAAATGGTTCTGGACCAGCGGCTTGGACACACTGGCCGCCTGGACAAGCACACGTATCATGTGGATGAAAAAACTTTAGGTTACCGATTGATCTGATCTGATAGGATGTGAGTGCTCATACCTTAGTGCTTTCGGAACGCCTGCTGCGTCTGGGCTGGCGCACGTGCGACTCACGTGTCGGCGCTGTGGAGGCACAATCGCCGCTGTCGCTGGTGAAGCAATAGCAGAAACCATTCTTGCATGGCTTGCCCTTGCGCTCCTGGGCCTTGTTGCAGCGATTCTGGTTGATTAGGTCCGCATCGGCGGCTGTGCCTCGAACCCGCTCGGGCTGGTCCTCACCTGGCATGTTGTGGTTGTTGTCGCAGTCGCGACTCTGGGTGGATACGCGTCTAATGCGGCGTGCTCGAAACTCGTTTATGCACTCCTGAAGACTGAACGAGGTGGTCGAGCCCGATTCGGCAGAGTGTTCTTCTTCATCGTCGTCATCATCATCATCCTCCTCTTCCTCCTCCTCCGCCTCCTCGGCTACGACATCAGGCACTACGTGCTTTGAGAACTTTGACGCCCCAAATGCCTACAAACATATGCAAAGAGATGGATGCTGTTTACCAACTGCAGTTGCAATAAAAATAAATGCTTGCTTACTGTGGCCATTTTATGTTTTATAATTCACTGATAAGCCACGCGTCGAGGCCAGCTCTATGTGCTCCACTTAACACACACGTTGCACGCTTTCTATTTCTATGTCGGCTGTCGGTATTTTCCAATCAAAAGAAAAACGACGCGACAAACGCTGCCTGCATTTTTGTTTTCCCTTTTGTGCCGCTTCTTCGCCGTTATCAACTGGTATAGAGAACAACCCTGCTTAGAACACACAAAAAATGACGACTTGGCTCGAAAATTGTTGCCGCCAAAACAAGCTCAGATCAAGCCAATTTACAATAGCAGTACATACATACAGAAAAACTCAAACTTTTTATAATTCATAAAATGCTACAACAAAACAAAATATGATAAGTCTATATATATACAGGAAATATGAGGTAAGGTTGTTATGTATTTATTTACTCTATTAAATCTAGCCAGTTCTCTCAAAGTATGTTAATAGCTAGACCGGCAGCACTGTCCATAGCATAAACAGCTGGGCTGGCAGGTTACGTCGATTTTTGTTACGAAAATTTGAGGAAATTTTGTCCAAGGCGTGCTTGAATTAAAAACAAACACAGAATGTCCAACAGTCATTTGTTTTTAAAGTCTGGCTTCCCACGGGCTCCCCTGCAGAATGGACTGGGACGTTACGTCTGCCAACTGCAGCGAATCACGCTTAAATTCTGCAAGAACAATGGCTCCAGCAAAGGCATGCGGTAAGAATTGTGTTTGAAGTTCAAGGAAATTCTCATCCAGCCATGTCCAAACACTAGAGATTTCATCGAGAACCACCTGGTGGACTTTGCCAAGGAAAATCCCGGAATTGTGGTCTATGTGAAGCCGCGTCGCCACCGCACACCAGTTTTGGTTGGCGAGTATTGTAAGTAGTGGATTAGGGTTTGTCCATAGTTTTGTCACGCGATAACTTTTAATTTCTTGCAGTGAATGGTGATCGCGAGTGGCTGAGCTGCCGCAACAGCAGCCAGGAGGATATAACCAAGTGGGTCGACCTATTAAAGACACAAAACGGCTCCTCCAGCTCATTGCGTCTGCGTAAAATGTGGCACACTGATGTACCATCGATCCAAGGGCCCTGGACGCCGTTCATGTTACGCTCCCCCGAAGCCCTCGGCCAGCAATATCCCAGTGTTGAGGCATCTAAGCCGCTGGATGCGCCACAAACTGCCACCGAGAAGCTCATTGAACTGTTCCGGCAGCAGCAACTGGAGACTGAGGATGTGTTAAGCCAAAAACGTGCAGAGTGAGCAAGGGAGGTGCAGGTGTAGGTGTAGTATTTAAGAATGAAACAAACCTAGTTGATTTTTGGTAATTGTTGCTTTTATTTTCTTACACAACATAATGCTGTTGGTAAAACAATAAATATTTAATATCTAAACGACTAAAATTGTGCTCTCTCAAAATGTAATATCAAACTAACACTTTCTGGACAAAGTCATACAAAAATCAATCAACTTATTGTCCCATTAACATGTGGTTCAGCCCACACGTTACGATATGTCTTGGAGGGGGGGTACATGGAATATCATAGTGAGAGCCGAAGTGGAATATCATAAATAATGCTTTAGGGTGAGTGACCCGACCCCCATGCCTTTGGCTCTGGGGAGGGGCTTGGAATACATACAAAAACAAGTCAATACGTGAAACTGGCTAGCAGACAGGTGTAGGGGTAAACAGGTTCCAGTGTCAACTTAGCATTAATAACTAAATATAGACTAACACTTACAACAAGTAAAAGATGTGATTTCATTCTGTGGTGCTGCTGGTCCCTGCAGGGAAATTGTGGAAAAGCTTTTGGTGGAGATCAGCAACGATTAATTAAGTACGTAAGGGTCTGGATTCAGGCGTAGGGTATAGTATGATAGGTAGACATAGCGAGTAATAGAGTATCAAAACAGAGTATCCATCACAAACAGATACACATACACTTAAAGATACACAGATGCACACACGCACAGATACAGATACAAGCATTTTGCTAGAGTTTACAATTTCCGTTTGGTTAATTCCTTTGGCAAAATGCGTATTGGTAGTTAGTTCTTAAACGTTACGTTACGATAGAGTTTGAGTACACAAATGTTAACATTTTCATTAAATAAATCAATACGGACGTTTTGTTCACTTTTGATATTTGTTGTTGTCAATGATATCACTATCCAAACTAAACTAAACTCTGGCCTAAACATACATATGTCTTTGTCTTTTCGTCGCATCGCTAACGCTGTCCTATACCTAGTTTTGTGTGTTTGGTGTTGGTGGGTGAGCTTGCAAGCGAAGCATTTCCATGTTCCAGCTAGCTATTAGTGTCTCATGCTGTTTTAATGGTTTTTGGTTTCTTTCGATAGGTAGGTAGCCTTTCAATGCACGCAATGAGAGCTCCGACTGTGGCCCCCTCGCTCAGATGTCGCCCGTCTCCATGGCGGAATTGATGTCCGCCACAATCTTGCCCATAATCTCGCGGTAGGGCGAGTCCGGCTTGAAGGCCGTCTCCAAAAGCGTAGCATCGCCAAAGAAATCAAACACCTCATCGATGCGACCCAGCGACTTGTCCGTCAGATGGGGCTGCACAATCGACTTGAGTGCCACCTGCGATTCCGCTATCGACTTTTGCAGATAGGCCAGGTCGAAAGTGTAGTCAACCTCGTAGAATGATATGATGGACAGTTGTGTGTTCTGCAAGGGAAATCAATTAAATCAAGAGCAAAGCTTTCAGGGAGGGAAGGTATAATAGATTACCTGGAACTTGCGCTTAAAGTTGTCGGCCCTTCGCAGCTCCTCGTCGCTGAACTGGTTGTTCCGGTGCAGCACTCCAATCTTGATGACTATTTTGATGATATTCTTGATCAGCTTCTCCGCCTTGGCCTTGTTGCCGGTATGCAGCTTGCACAGCCTGTAGAGGTTATCCAGCAGCGAGGCCGTTGTCCCATCGATGAACGTCTTGGCAATGTTTTTCGTTGCCATGCGTGAGAGGATTTTCTTTTGAGCGCGCAGCCCGATATCTTGCGACTTGAACACATTGTCAGCCATGACTAATGGGGGAAATATGAGAGGGGATTCGAGATATAAATATTATTATCGTTGCATATTCATGTTGAAAGCTTCAACTGAACACACACAATACAGAAATAACTGAAACAACTGAACGAACAACTGAAAACCAAAAGAAAGATACATATGTACATACATACGAGTACGTATACCAATATGCACAATGCAAATCGAAACCACACTTTTACCTTCCAAGTTCCAGTAGTCCACGCTCCATAGGAGCAGGCACTGTCGCAGACCTGCCACCGACATGGTTCGGCTACAGACGCACACACGTCGATCCAGTTGCAAGCATGATGAATTGATAAGGAAAGCACAGGCACAGAGACAGAGACAGATATAATATACATATACAGGTACATGCACGATTAGGCAATGTTAATCATCGTCGTATCTTTAGATAAAGAAACCTACTGCTTCTTCAACTGCGCTTTGTGTCTTTCTGTTTTTCTGTCTTTGTGTATTTCAATCAAAAGAGGTGCCTACCAGATAGAGCCCGGAGGGAGAATAATGGATGGCTGGGCCCGTGGCTGTGTGCGACTCCACTGGAATGTCGACAAGTCAGCGCAATTCACAATCCACATGGGTTATTCATAAGGCTGTTCTAACGGCTTCGCTGCGACGCGGCACGCGCTATTTGTACGTGTCTATGCCGTAAATGGGCGATGCGGTGCGGTGTGGCGCGTGCGGCGGCAGGTTTTCCCAACTGTCCAAAAAAGGAGCCTTGCCTTGCCGCGCCTCAAACCGTTATTCAAGACCAGGGATGGGGAGGGATACCGCTGGGAAATTGTAGGGTCACCAAGGGTCAAACGTGTGGATAGCATAGATAAACCGCTTCCGTTCCCCCAAATTCCCGGACACTCATCACAGCCCAATCGAGCTAGCTGTCGTTGTCCAGCCCTAGTCTTTAATTTAACTAAGTGAATTCCATGTTCTTTCCAGTTCTAGTTCTAAATATATTTCTAGCTAGCACAGCGTACCATGACACGGACAGCACCTCCAAATCGTTAAGGTCACGTCACGCGAAATGCAATATTATGGTCCGAAAAATGGACATAGAAAGGGAGGGAGAGAGAAAGTTAGTGGCGGTCGGAACCCAAGGACAAATGGGCATTTAGTCGGCCCTCCTCCCTGCTCCAAAAGACCAACGCGGAAGTGCCGCTACACACCTACTCCTCGAATCTGGACTTTAGAGGCATTTTCTTTGGTTTTGCATTCAACCCACAATCACTGAAGCGTCCACAAAAAGTCTTAGTGAGCGGAATTTGTAGGCCAACTTATCGCCGTTTCCGACGCTGTCGTGTTCATGCATTTGCGTGTTTGATATGGTCGCCTTCTTATTGTTGTTTCTGTTACTGTTGTGTGTGACGACGTTTGTGGATTTGTACTGTACTGCTGCCTTACGAGTGTTATTGATTGCAACAGGCTCCCCACCCACCCACACCCTTCCTGGCAGGGTGGTGGGGCCGGAAAGAGGGTCAAGTTTGGCGCCCAAGCAAAGCTTACCTGTGTTTTTGTTGCTGTAGTCCTGTGTCGAGTCGAGTATCCTTGGAATTCCGTTCGAGTGCCTTTTGTATGAAGTGGCTCCTGCTAATTTCCTGCTACGCTACATACGAAAATTCCCAATAAAAACTGCATTTACACAAATAATAATTAGAGCGATTCTTTGCTGGTTCTATGCGTATTTTAACTGTTTATAAAAAAGAACTCAGTCAGCGCCAGCGAGCAACAAAACAAAAGGACAGACCCACAATATTTATCAATATTTGTCAAACAATCGAGGGCACTATCGATAGTATCGATATTTTACTGCTAGCCTCTACTATCGACGGTTTTGCGACTATCATGATAGTATCGAGCTACAGTCTTTACGCTTTTGATATGTTTGGATTGGCTGCTATAAAATACGAAGACACATTTTTAAACAAATCGACAGGTGGCATCTAATTTTTAAAATGGACAAGTTCCTAAATGGTTTCTTAATAATTATTTGAGTCCGATACTATTAAGATAGTATCGATTGTTTTTTTCTTTCAAAACATTCACAACTATCGATGGCTCAACTATCAATAGCACCTGCATCGATAGTCTTTGTGCCGCTCCACTTCCATCTCTAAAGTCCAGCTGCGTCGTTGAAAATATGTGCTAGCATCGTTTTTTATTGTTTTATTTTGAATAAAATAGCAATTAGATTAGTGTAAATCGATCCAAACGAGTTGCATTCGAATAGCTGGCGTCACAATGAACATATACAACAAATTGCGCAGCCGAGAGCATGGGTTCTGTGAGTATTTCGAATGGCGGGAGAATTTCACTTTTGGCGGTCGAATTTTCTATGTAAATTTTTGGGATTAATTTCAAAAGGTTGCAATCAAATGCAATGACAATAGGCACTCTAGTGGCAATAAGCCAAGCCAAGGATCAGTCTGTTATCCGGCGATGCCAGGGTAGGGGTCGCCAGGTCTCTTGGCGAAATTGCTGCGCAAGCGAAAAAACTCATTGAAAAACTAGACTGCAGCACAGACAAAGCCGCCACGGGGGTCACAGTTTGAGAGCTGCACTAACTTCTCTCTTTCCCCCACACTCATTGCAGCGAACGAGCAGACCTACGACTTCGCCCTGCGTCGCCTGTGCGTGGCCAAGGAAGACAGCTGGCGGGGAATTGCTCCGGCCAACTACTGCCCCGACTTCAACCCGGAACCGCCCATATTCTCCGCCAAGTTTGCCAACTGCAACGGCTACAGGCACATTCTGGCCATTGCCAATGAGGATGGCAAGATCACACTGCAGGACACCACACAGCGCAACCAGGAGCCGGAGGAGCAGTCGCTGCCGGGACCTCAGTGCCATTACAATGCAGTCTTCGACCTGGAGTGGGCCCCGGGCCAGATGCGATTCGTTTCCGCCTCGGGGGATCACACGGCGCGGCTCTGGGAGGTGGCTGGCTCGGGCATTCGGGGACTCAACTCGTACATTGGCCACACACGATCCGTGAAGTCGGCCGCCTTCAAGCGCACAGATCCGGCCGTCTTTGCCACGGGCGGGCGAGACGGTGCCATTCTCATCTGGGACATACGGGCCAATCTCAACATGGATCTGACCTCTCGCGTGGACAACTGCATCTACAGCGGGCACACAGGGGGACCGGGCACGCCCGTCTCGCAGAGAAAGCAGCGCTCCCGCACGCCCAAGATGTCATCCAGTGCCACCTCGAGCAGCATCACGGGACTGGCCTTCCAGGACGACAATACGCTGATATCCTGCGGCGCTGGCGACGGCGTGATCAAGGTGTGGGATCTGCGACGCAACTACACGGCCTACAGGAAGGAGCCGCTGCCCAGGCACAAGCTGCCGTATGCCGGCCACTCCACCTTCCGGGGATTCACCAACCTAATTGTGGATGCGGCCGGAACGCGACTCTTCGCCAACTGCATGGACAACACGATCTACTGCTACAATCTGGTCTCGTACTCGCCCAAGCCGCTGGCCTGCTACAAGGGTCTGCTGAACTCGACGTTCTACATCAAGTCCTGCCTGAGTCCGGATGGGAAGTACCTGCTCAGCGGCAGCAGTGATGAGAGGGCGTACGTCTGGAACCTGGAGCATGCAGAGGAGCCGCTGGTGGCTCTGTCGGGCCACACGGTAGAGGTGACCTGCGTGGCCTGGGGCTCCTCCCACGACTGTCCCATTGTCACCTGCAGCGACGATGCGCGACACAAGATCTGGCGCATGGGACCCGACCTGGATGGGCTCAGCGAGGCCGAGCGGGCGGAGAGGTATCGCGGCCACGCGAGCTATGTGCGTCAATTCAGCAAAAAGTCGTCGGCCCCGGCCACCGGCAACCATAAGTACAACCTGAGGGATCTGGAGTCGACGCCCCGCTCGCTGAAGCGCCTGATGGACCAGAACGAGCGTACGCCCGGCTCAGTCGAGAAGGTGGCCATGAAGCGTTCATTCCTGGACATGCTGGGCGCGGCCAGCAGCGAGGCAGATGCCGAGCAGCCGCAGAAGCGCTCCAAGCCCCTTGAGTCCCGGGCCAGGCGACTCTTCGGCCCCTCCAGCCAAGAGTCCACCTGTAGGCACATTCAGCTCTCGACGATTGGCGAGGAAGAGGCCTCCTCCTCGCCCAGCAAAAAGCAAAAGGAAAACGCCGCCGAAGACATTTCCCCGGTGGCCAAGCTGCTGAGCCTCAACTCCTCGCCCGTCCACTCGCCACTCAGCGAGAATGTCAACCACATTTACGCCTCACCACCCACCACATCCGCAGCTGCAGCAGCAGCAGCGGCGGCGGCGGCTGCTGCCTCCGAGGGAGCTGGAGTTGGCCAGCCCCTGTCCTCTGTGATCTACTCGCCCACCTCGAACCTGCCCAACTACGTGCTGGACGGTGAGGCTCCGCACCTGGCCATCATGTCGCCCAAGCGCAAGGCCAAGGAGAAGGTGGACTGGCTGACGAACATACGCAAGCAGAAGCTGATGAGCGGCAGGGCGCACGTCTCGCTCAGCGACAAGATCAACGAGGAGCAGCAGGCGAATTCGGCGGATGTATTGGCCTCGCCGCGCCTCCAGTGCCTGCGCCAGTCCGAGTGCAGTCCCCGCCTAAAGGCCTCTCCCCGGCGACGCATCTCGCACACTGATGCCGGTGGTGGGGTGGCTGCAAGCGGATCCCAACCACCACAACCACGCACACCCACCTCCAGTCGACGGAACAGCGAGACGACGCTTCTCCGCTTCTTCAGCGTGCAGCGCAGCAGCAGCGTGGCACCGGACGAGACTGCAACGGCGTTGGAGCCCAGCGAGCTGTCGCCACCTCCATCGGCCACGCCCCTGACAGTGCGAACGCCCACGACAGCGGTGGGGGGCAGCGATTAAGTACGCTCCCCGTATTATTGCACCCGTAGTTTTAAGTGGACATTAATTAAGTTATTTTACGTAGATCCTAGCTTGAATCTTATTTCGTTGGGCGAGTTGGCAACCAATTCCCCGGCACTTTGTACAGCGCCACTACAAAAGACTAAACAAAACAAAAAACACGAATAAAAGTACACATCCATACATACATATGTGAAGCTTCTTCATTTGGTACAAGTACAGTGCGGATCACCGCTGTATGACTAGTTATTGCGCTTTCTTCTGCTGCTGCTGTTGCTGCTGCTGTTTGACTGCAGCATTCAGCCGCATGGTCTGAAAGATCTGACGGGCCACACCCACGAGCAAGACGAGATGACAGAGGTGCAGAGCCGAGCTGGACAGATTCGTGCTGGGATAGGTGTTCCAGCAGTACTCGATGATGCCCAGAATGAGGTAGCGCACGCCCAGGGAGTAGGGTGTGGACCATACCAGATATGGTAGCGAGTGGAAGTACCACACGTAGAACTGGTAGTGCAGGGACCGGGAGCAGGCCACGCCAATGAAGTTGCAGAGGAAGAAGGGCAGCAGGGCCAGCTGCGTGCACCGATCAAAGTGGATGTCATAGCGCTCGGACTCCGCCTTAGCTGGGGCGGCAGCGGGTGCTGTTCCGCCCGATGACTTTTGCAGGCTCTTTTCGAAGGCTTTCAGAAAGGATTTCTGTTCGTTGCTTAGCTGCTCCGTGTCCTTCTGCTTTTTGGCGTCCTTCTTGATCTTCTTCTGGGATTGGACTTCGCTATTCTTCTTTGCAATTTGTGGCTGCAGCTGCTCCTGGACGCTGCGCAGGCGAACGTAGCTCTGGAAGAATGTCCACGTGGGCTTGGCGAACACCAGCAGGAGCAGCAGATGGAGACCCAACAGCGACAGGTGGAACGTGCGATGCTCGAAGAGCTCCCGGCTCAGGAACCTATAGTTCACCGTCCACTTGTGCTCGAAGATGCGGCCCAGGTCGAAGCTACCGCGCAGATACTCCACCGGATGGGACAGCAGAAAGGGGGCGCCCAGCAGCAGCTGAATCACCCCACAAATTGCCAGCTGCAGGAATGTCTTCAGCACTCCCAGATTGGCCAAGTAGAAGAGTAGCAGGGCCGGCGCGAAAAGAAGAATATTCATCTTGACGCCCACGGCCAGGCTGAAGAGAATGCTGCCCCAGGTCCAGCGGCGATCCATGAAGAGATTGAGAGCCGCATAGAGCAGGAGGATGGCCACGGGATCGTTGAACAAGCGCAGCACATAGATCGAGTGGATGCGGTAGGAGGTGAAGGCGCTCAGCACAAGCACATACGGCGGCACCTTGCGACTCTTCGCGTACAGGCGCAGCACCAGGCACAACTGCAGCAGGTAAATTCCGGCAAAGATGTACTGCGCCACCCGTACATTCGCCCCGTGCGACGTTATGTAGTATAGGGCCGAGTAAATGTACACGAAAGCCGCCGGATAGACCAGGGGACCGGTATCACCTGCAATGGAGACAAAGGAAATAGTTTAAATAATGCATTTCACTTGTCTGCCACAGTTACGATTCGAATTTTGAACCAACCATCCGTTAACCCATGCTTGACCAGGGAGGGTAGTTAAATATACCCACAAAAATTATGAAACTTGAAAATTTTTATGGCAGTTCAGGGAAAAATATCGTTGGTAATTTTTTGTTTCAATTAAAGAGGAATGATCGGTCTGCATAGAGAATCTAAAAACAGTAATATTTTCCGAGCTCTACCATAAGTGGTTGACCAGTTTAAACAGAGGGGTGTTAGGTGGGTTAAATTCGTTCACTCACAGATGATTTATATATCGGTATATCATTTTTTGGTATATTACGGTATATTTGATCGATAAGTCACACTGGCATGGATGGAGGTTATTACGGCATGTTTGAGAAATAAAACTTTTATGTAAAAATGATTTCGTGTAAAAATTTGTTCGTACTCCGTGGCCAACTGCCGGTGATCCGCGGCTGCCGCCGGTACCAACAGCCCTTGCGTGCCACGCTGACACCACACAGCTCCAGCTCCTCCTGGCGCGCCATGGCAGCGCGGTGCATACCATCGCACGCATCCACATTGCCACTGCAGTGGCATAGGACACGCGATGATGGGCGACAGACAGTGCGCAGTTTTCACACCTCCAGCCGGATGCTGGCCAAAGACTACTACACCACGCTGGGGGTGGCCAAGAACGCCAGTGGGAAGGACATCAAGAAGGCCTACTATCAGCTGGCCAAGAAGTACCATCCGGACACCAACAAGGAGGATCCGGATGCCGGTCGCAAATTCCAGGAGGTCTCCGAGGCCTACGAGGTGCTCAGCGATGATCAGAAGCGGCGTGAGTACGACACCTACGGCCAGACGGCGGAGAACATGAGCCGCCAGGGTGGCGGATTCGGTGCAGGCGCCGCTGGCGGGGCAGGACCCTTCGGACCCGAAGGCTTCTCACAGAGCTGGCAGTTCCGCTCGACCATCGATCCGGAGGAGCTCTTCCGCAAGATTTTCGGCGAGGGAAACTTCCGCACCAACAGTTTCGACGACTTCGCCGACTCCAAGTTCGGTTTCGGCCAGGCGCAGGAGATGGTGATGGACCTGACCTTCGCCCAGGCAGCTCGCGGCGTCAACAAGGATGTGAATGTCAATGTCGTGGACGAGTGCCTCAAGTGCCGCGGCTCCAAGTGCGAGCCGGGCACAAAGCCGGGTCGCTGCCAGTACTGCAACGGCACTGGCTTCGAGACCATCTCGACGGGGCCCTTCGTCATGCGTTCCACGTGCCGCTACTGCCAGGGCACGCGCCTGTACATCAAGTATCCGTGCAACGAGTGCGAGGGCAAGGGAAAGACGGTTCAGCGCCGCAAGGTGACTGTGCCGGTGCCGGCGGGCATCGAGAACGGACAGACGGTGCGCATGCAGGTGGGCAGCAAGGAGCTGTTTGTGACCTTCCGAGTGGAGCGGAGCGACTACTTCCGCCGTGACGGAGCCGACGTGCACACAGACGTGGCCATCTCGGTATCGCAGTCCGTGCTGGGCGGCACTGTGCGCGTCCAGGGCGTCTACGAGGACCAGTGGATAAACATTGAGCCGGGCACCTCCTCCCACCACAAGCACACGATGCGCGGCAAGGGCCTGAAGCGGGTGAACGCCCACGGCCATGGCGACCACTATGTGCACATAAAAATTGACGTGCCACGGAAGCTGAACAAGGAACAGCGCGCCCTCATCGAGGCCTTTGCCGAGCTGGAGTTGGACACACCCGGCCAGATCAACGGCATCACCCAGCGCAAAAGTGGCAGTAAGAAAGCAACGTAAATACACCCTAGCAGATAGAAAAGCAATCTCAATCTCAAATCCAATGCCCAATGCAACATCTGATGTAATTGGCGCCTTAATTCGTAGTTTAAATATACATGCGTGGGTTACAAGTCCGAACGATACTCAAACGTCAATCTCTGTCTATTGCTCTTTTCCTATAATTGCAGCTCGGGTGCGAGTGAAACTGCCGGAACAGCTGGAGGCGCAGGAGCAGCAGGAACAGCCGCCAAAGGAACCACAACAGCCAGCAAAGAGAGCACAAGCGAAGCAACCGAAGAGCAGGACCAAAAAGAGTCCAAGCCCAGTGGGGGAACAGGGCAAAGCGAAGGCGGAGGAGGCTTCCTAAACAAAATCAAATCGATGTTCAACTGAAAGCCAGTCGATTGTGTTACGTTAATGTTTAAGCAAACAAAGTGTTAATGTTGCTCCTAAGATTACGTTTTGTTTTAAGCATAAGTCTGGGGTAGGAGCAGCAGGACTTATTCCACGTGGAAGACGCGAATAAACCAAATTCACAGTCCAAGCAAAGGAAAGCCATTGCCTCCAATAGGGAGGGAGCAGAACTTTAGGTAGAAGCAGAACCGCAAAAGCCAATGGAATGGGGACACATGGCGGCCGCTGCTGGTGTCCAAAAATAAACCCAACAAAAACCTTGAGCACTCACCGCGCAGCTGGGCATAATTTGTGGTCCCGTTGAGGAAGCCCTCGCACTCCTGCATGTAGGCCACCCAGTCGATCTCCGTATATGGCACGCGCCGAATCACAAACACATTGATGGCTGCCTCCGCCAAAACAATCAGAACACTAATTATGGGCAAGGCGGCCGGCTCGAGCACCAAGTACCTGAGAAAGGCCACATTCAGGTATTTGTCCAGCAGCGTCTGCAACAGGTTGCTGGACTTTTTGCGCCGTGCCGATGGACGGTTGTGGTTGGCTTTCGGTGGGGCCATTTTATGTGATAATTAATAGTCGCAAAATTAACCAAATTAAATCAAAAGAAACGACACGACCAGGGCGGCAACAGCACACGGCAAACAGCTGTTGTGGCGATGACCGATGACACTTTCATCGACCGTTGACTTTGCCGTTAATCGATAAGTAGTCGAATTTGAAAGCTTTTTTAAACGGAAATAATTTTAATAAATGGTTTATTGAATCTTTATCCTGCGTGTTGGAATATTCTCAATCGGCAAGGAAATACTAAATGCCACAGTTTTTAATCTATTTTTTCCAATTCGAGCAGCTTGTAACAGTCTGAACGAATGCCAAGAAATGTAGCATTCCCTGCTCTACTACGAATATCTTCATTCTCCCACACATTTGTACGCTCATAACAGAAGGAAGGTGTACCAAAATGTTTTCGCCTCAAGCGCGCTAATTCACAAACAAATGGTCGTCATTTCAAAAGATAGTCAAAGGCAGAACAAATCGGAGTGACAGACAAATAATTAAAATTATTTACTGACCAGATTGCGGTCTATTTCTCTGCCTACTTTGCCCATAACTGCATTTAGAGTCCAAATTTTAGACTAATTGTAAAGGGAATGTTACGGAGTTTCTCTTTGGGGCATATGCAAAAACATGACATGAATTCTGTTTACCTTGTTTTGAAATGATGAGTCGATGGGTGGGTACATGCAGGTCTGGCAGGGAGTCGGCGGAGAGCGAGATGGAAAATTTCAACTGGAAACAAATGAGCTTAGGGCCAATTTGTGTGGCAGATTAACGGTCACCGTTCCCATCATATATGGATGCATCACGCACACCACGAATCATTCGCGGCAGCAAATGTACCGCTTCCTCCCCTCCTGCACAAGCGCGAAAATCGCCCCAAAGCCAAAGGACCACGCACTGGATATTGGTTCTTTTGGTTTAACGCATCGCTGATACCTATTGACAAAGGTAAATGTTGTAACACCGCCCGGTTAACGGGGTGGAGCAGCGCGCGCCTGCTCATGCATGTAGGGACATGTTGCACATTTACGAAATACGGACAACTGTTGGAGCTTCTACGCCGCCTCCCTTTGCCGCTGACGTGCGGCACATCCTCATCGCTTGCATGGTCCTTCACTGCAGATATCTGAGCAATTAATTGCCAACCTGGGGAGGCTTCGGTTATTTTCTGATTCCGCCCAAGCGTGGCGCGAATGTACATCCATCCATGTACAATGTACATACCCTTTCGCAGAGGTTTTCCATAAAAAGTCACAAAGTTTTGGATGGATCTGCAAAGGGTATACGATATATCGGTCTTCGAAAATATATGATGTTGCACATTAATTGTGTGAACTGCACCATGTTCACCATTATGTATGTATATTCTTACGGCTCAATAGCGTTGACAAGCCCTCTTCCAGGCGCAAAAAAAACTATGCAGGAGTGTAGAGCAGAGCATCCGCATGACATTTTAATAAAATCTCAATGGTATCCGCCCCCATGGTGTAACGGGCATTTATTAAAAAAAGGTTGCAAGTATTTTTTAACTTGTTGCATACAGCATTTCATGTTTGCCAGAATTTTCATTAAAATGTCCGACATTGATTGTGTACATATGTATATGCAGTAGATTCAGCTGCTCCTCTTTAAGGCCACCAATCGGAATAATCAAACTATCCACTTGAATAAAAAATATTTATATATTTAACTAAGTACCATTTCAATTAAAAAAGTGTGAGCGGCCCAAGTGTTCAATTTTAGCTGAAGATGGCCGCGAGAGACTGTCGACTGTCGAAAGAGCTTTCTCCGCTTCCCCCCAATTCCACACTCAAAGTAATATTCATAGATATGTACATATTTATGCATGTACATATGTATGTATTTCAGACACAATTATTTGATGTTTGTCGCCTCCACTTTGTGGGTCAATCGAGTCTAATGTTAGTTATCGCTGTATGAACTATAGAACTAAATCGGTCATTTCTTATCAGTAGCGTCGCCATGTGTGTGTGTGTGTGTGAGTGTTTCCACAGCTCCACAGATAGGGCAGCCGCAGACTGAGAGCTACACATGAATCTATGAGAATTCTAGGTATGAGTGAGAAAATTGTTTATTAATCAACAATCTATAATCTATATAAAAACGTATGTACATACATGTGTATCTGTTCTGTTCTGTTATCATGTTGGCTTGTCTACTGATAAGAGCAAGCTGTTAAATGCAAATCTCACAGCTTCGCCCTATACTAGTTCCCAGCAGACCTTTGCACTCATATTTATGGTTTTTTTGCTTATTCATTGCTTTGCCATTTAATTGTTTCACGAATATTCTTTAAGTGGTGACTGGACGGAATAGAACGGACTTACATACATATGACCATAGTTGGCTTATTACCGAATGCAGGTCCCCAGTATCCATCCCATTTCCACACTGGCTATCCATCGCCGTTGCATATATTGTTTGGTTAGCTTTGACTGAAATTTTCTTTGACCGACGCAGCGCTCTGTGCCTCATGCATCAGTTGCTTTGATAGTGACGCCTCTTTTCATATGATGGTGCCAGCCCTGTATGGGCAAACCAACTGTTGATAATCGAGAAGACGGCAAACAACACTCTCGCATAGTCCTCTGTTTGTGTTCGTTGGACCAGATGACAACGGGTGGGTGGCTGGGTGGGTGTCAAGGGGACTTTGGCCATTTAAGAGTTCAATCATATAAAGCCTTGTCGTTGTCGTTGTCGTTCTCGCGCCGTTGTCAATTTTATAGTTATTGTTGTGGCTGCCTGCTGCTGCTGCTGCTTGCGGTTATTGTTACCCCACACGCCCCGCTCAATACATTGTTTGTGCTTTTTACATGTGCACTTCACACATATGTATGTATGTGCATATTGTATATGTACAAAAATTTACAAGAGGCAACAACAGAAATAACAACTGTAAACTTGGGCTAGGTTGTCATCCGAATGGGCTTCTAGCATTTTGAGCGCAGACAAAAAGGTTTTTTTTTATGTGTTTACTAATCGTCAACAGCCTAGCCCCACTCTTAGGAGCTGCGATTAGTGTAGGGTGTAGAATAGAATGCAGGCAACAGCTAGTCGAGTCCAAGGTGTTTTTATATGGGGTGACGCACCCACCATCTAAGCGTTTCCCAAAAGTAGCATTCGTATACATACGTATGTATGTCTGTATGCTTATGCAAACTGCTCTTCAATGTGATTTTCACATTCTCATAAATTAATGGTATGTATAGAGGCGTCGAATGAGCGCTTCGCATTATTCGTCACCTTCTAAAATTACGCTCTGCGCGAGCGTAGCGTACGATTTTTCATATGCTTATTGGCCCCCTCCCCCCACTCTTCGGACACCCGTTGCTCCGACATTAACAGCTCTGACTGTCTGTCTGCCTGCCTGCCTGTTGCTGCTCCACTCTCACTTCCCGTTCCATCCCCTCCCTGCTCGTGTAAGAAGCTTATTGCATGCGAGAGTGTATGTGTGTTGTTTGCATGCTCTTCGGGTCTCGTTCACGTATGTTGGTGTTGTTTTACGCAAGGTATATGTAGCTATAAGGGGCGGTTGAATATTTTGAGCGCATATGTCTGACGCTTGGGTCGCTAAGAGAAAGAGATGGTTGGCCTTACCTTTGCTTGCTCATACCCTGGTGCTACGAGACAGCTTTTGGCCGAGTGAAAACGATTCTGTTTTCATTTCTGTTTTCGACTTGCCGCGTAACGGTTGTCATCGCTCGCGAGTTAACGGCACACAGCGAGGCTCGCACGCAACAACAGCAGCAGCAGCCCGCACCCTCTCTTCACCCACTTTCTGGAAGATTCAAGACTACACTAAGCTAAGCTTACAAGAGAGTGTTCCGAAATACGGACACAAGTTTTTCCCTTTTTAGTTTGTTTGATTTGTTCGTTTTGTTTATCTGGTAATTTCCCCAAACTATCCTTACTTCATTCTATGTTTAAGTGTGTGTGCTCTCGGTCCGGAAATTGGTGCTGTGTTTGTTGTTCTGTACAGAATTAGTCAAATTTGGAAAGAAACAAGAAAAGAGCGCGCGCGCTCAAGATAATAAGCCGAAAAAAAAGCAGAGAATCATTGTTATTGCATGGAAAATTACTACAGAAATCAACAACAGGCCAAACCGAACACACACAAAAAGAGAATAAAAAAAAATAAAAGAGCAGAAAGAGCAGAAAGAGAAACAACAATAACCAGAGGAAAGCATAAATAAGAATGTGGGGCCCCACAGACGACGAACCGCATAAACAAATTAAGTGATGCTCCCTGCCCACTGCCCACTGCCCCTTGCTTTCCCCACTACTACACGCGCTGTTTTTTTAATTTAAATTTAAATTTAAACTATTATTGCTCTTGATTTGTGTTTGCTTCGCGCCAAATGCAATCGACTCTTACATAATTAATATGGCCAAATCCAAAACTTATTCCTAAATTTATAATTTAAACAACATGGGCCCGAACGCATATCATTTCACACCCGCGCAACTTTAGCGCCATTTTCTAGTTCTTGTTGTTTCCGAGATCTCCAAAATAAATATACATACATATGTACATATCTATAGATTTATTATTAACGCATTATAATGATTTATTCCTCCACAGTGTTTCTTCCCTCGTTCGTATTCTGTGTTGCGGCTGTGAAAGAAAGACATACTGCAATTAGTTACTCTCTTCTGCAACCAACTGTATTTGAGTGTGTGTTTGTGTTATCACCGAAACACACACACATTTAACTCGTAAAGAAATCAACGTGAGTGTGAGTGTCGCTTTATCAGAGAAGCCAGAGCCACAGCAAAAAGAGACCAACCCACGCGACTCGATAAGGCAAAATCAACAAGAAGCAAATTAACGGCGGTCGTCACTCTGCACTTCCCCTGCACTTCTGCCATCGTCAGCAATTAACCTGCATTGAGAGCGCCAGAGAGCGCCAATCAGCTAATCAATCAAATGAAGCAAATGATTCGTTTTACCGACGCTCTCTATGGGTAAGTTTCCTATGATGATGAAAACTAAATTTCATTACTAAGCGCGTCTCTCGTTTCGCCTCTATTGAAAACTAGTTTAAGATTTTCTCTCTTTTCCGAAAAAAAAAAAACAAAAACTGCAATTTGTTTCTCGTATCGATGGCCATATGTACATACATATGTAGTATCCAATGTGCTCTCGCCAGAGGCACCATTTACAGACAAAGACAATTCATTGTGGATGTGCCGCCCTCTGGGAAAGCGGTGCAGTCTGCAGTTCACATTTACATGTCCAGAGTCCCAGCCAGCTTCGGTTTCTTGTTACCCTGTTGGGGAGTATAATGATGTAAAGCAGGTATTCTGCATGCAGTTTATAAATAGGAACGCATTAAGTTGGTTTTTAATAACAAGGGTATCCATACGGAAACTTTGTCGCCCAATGCTAGCCTTTCATGTGTTTTGGTTTTGTTTTTTTGCTTGTATGCCAGACGCATTGCAATGTAAAAGCATTGTGACCACTATACGCCCATCCCAGGGAATAGGAAATGGGAATGGTAATGGGCTGGGATCTGCCAGTTTCGAATGAAACCACTAAAGTCCTTGCCTTGACCAGAAACTGAAACAGAAATCAAAAATCCCCAAAAACTAGAGCAAGGAGTCTGCGCCCAGTCACTAGCCAAAAGGTAAGTCAGTTGATTTGCGGTTTTTCACAAGCATTGATTGACTGAAGGCAAGCATAATTAGTTTTTGGGCCAGAAAGTAGGAAGAAAAGGCTGGAGGTCCTTGAATCGAATGTGAAAGCATTGGAATTGGTCTCTGGCACACATACCATACAAAAAACAATTCTGAGCTGAGGAAATTGGCACATGACCTGACCTACCGCAAGAAAATCTAAATTAGGCACGTTTTGTGCGTTCTCTTTTGCTCACTCTCGCCCCTGTATCTGTACCTTCTCTCATTCTCGTATGCCTGGCGTTTTTTTTATTTGTGAAATTATTCGAAACATTTCTTAACTTTGTTTGCGTCTGCACACCATCATTCCATTGTTTCATTCTGCTTTGTGCTATTCATACACACGTAATACGTACATATGTATGTATGTACAAAACACACTTACGAGTTTTCTGCTCAATTCTTTGCTTCTTAATGCCAGAAATTGTTTGCAGACGAAAGAATACCCAAGAATTTGAAGTTTGTTTCTGGCTATAATGCATCTGTCAGCATAAAGTCTGTAAATTTCGGTATAATTTTGTTGATTTAAGCCAAAAGCTACAGGCTATTGAAGCTTCTCTTCAACCGGAGAAAACTCCATTAAATTTGTAATAATTGGAAATTAAATATGCAGAATATAAAATCAACAATAAAAATGATTGTAATTAAATTGTTCAGAATTAAAATTGCATATTATTTGTAATCTGATGGGTATAAATATTTGTGTGCGATAAAAAAAATGAAAAAATGAGAGATATTTTTCGTACATTGTTAAGGGTTTGGGCAATTGATGATGAACTGCTGTTGGGTTATTGAATGCCAATTATGATATCAACCGTTGCTATGCCGTCGGCACATTCGACTCGCACACTCGCTCGCTCGCTCACTCACTCAATCAGTGATACTCAATCACTCATTGATTCACACACTAACACACTACACTGCACTGCACTGTGCTCTCCAAGCGAACAACTGTTGCTTGAAGACGGACGAACGAGCTGCTTTTGATTGTGATTGTTTCTGTTGTAGTTCGATTCGCTGTTGCTGTTGCCAAGCGCATTATAACAGTTATTTCGGTTCTGTGAGTGTATGAGTGTGCGATGGAAAAGCACTAGAATTCTGCTTGAAGTTCGAGAGATCGAAATGAGTGTATTCTCGTTGAATGTTGCAATAAATTTTGAGGAGCTTTCATGTGGAATCTCCGTTCGTCAGAAGTGTCAGGGTGTAATTCCGTGTGTGGCATTTGAGTAAGGGAGTTATTCGCTTCACATTAAAGAATGATTTCTGCAAACAGCAAAACCCTCGCATTCCATTCAATTCCAGCAACGAATTGTAATTGTCATTGAGTATACGACCTGTCGACCATAGTCGTATGATTTATCAAAACGGGCCGTTTGTCGTCACTTGACGTCGCTTGTGTAATGTATTAGTTAGGCAAATAGCAACAATTGCCACTGGCTGCCACATACAACAGCAGCAGCACCAACAGCAGCTACAACTATCGCACATAGTATGTACTTACAATTACAGGCGTCACTTCTATGGCCGCAAAACGAGGTGACTGAACTTACAACAACAAAAACGGCAACTTCCAGTGCAACACTGCATCAGAGCGGCAGCCGGCAATATGGTTATTTTGTTGCAATTTTCTACTACAATCCATCTCCGGTGGTTAAATCGATCAGGGAGTTTTGTCTTGAAAAACTATACATGCAAAGGGGTGGGGGGGCCCTTGGGTCATAGGTCTTTCCCAATGCTCAACAAAATATAATCTAATAACCTGCCACTAAGGAGAGGATGTCTCTTATTCGTTTTCTTCGGATTTTCAATGGATGAAGCTTGTTTATTTTATCAGAAAGTTTTGCCAAGAGCATCAACTAACTGAGTAGTGGGGAAAAGAGGGACAGTGAGCAGGTAAGAAGATTAATTTCGGCCCTGCGTTCTGGCGGCTTCGCATAAAGTACCAGAAAACTTTGAAAGTTTGCTTTTAATTATACAAACATTCACCTCGAGCTGTACAGTGTACACGGTTTTTGTTTATGGCTTTGACACTGGACTTTGGCGTTCCAGCTTGCACGTTGCACGAAAGTTATTGTTTTAAGTCCATGGACCATATTTTAGGGGCGAAACGAAACCCTGAATGTGATTCAATTAGCAGATGAAAATTCCACTGAAAGTGCTTTGTGTTTGTTTTCCCCCAAAAGTGTAATGCAATTTGTGGTAAAATAATTTTGGATTGGCTGGCAAAAATTCATACACTCTTATGAGACCAAAATCGAATCTAATAAACTTAGTTTATGATCCAAAATGATTGGCAAAGGTGGGAAGCGCCAGAACTCCCCTCTCATGGGCCTAGCAACGAGCGGAAATATTGTGTAATATTCTAGAATAAATTGTGGCAGAATGTTGCACTTTTTCACGCTGAATCATTTTATAATTTTATATTTGTTTATTGCTTGCTGCTGAGATTTGATATTCATTTATTGCATTTGGGTTTCATTATTATTAGTAAATGTTATTATTTTTTTTTCTTATCAGGGTAGCGTAATAAAACGACGTCAGCAGACACTCGAATATATACATACATAAGTACATACACATGTATGTACATTTAATCATACAATTTTTATAGATTACATATAGTTCCGTAAAACATTTGTTTGAGCTCAAAAGCAATTCCTAGTGGACAATCAACAGATGAACAGAGTTTCCCCCTCTCATTTTAATTGTATATACAAAAGTGGGGAAGTAGCCCATTTACTGTGACGGAAATGCAAATGAATTTCAGTAAATTTAATACAATTTTCATGCCATTCCCCGCCATGTGTCTCCCCACTCCAAGTTTGGGAACTATACATAATTCTCAAGTTACAGAATGAAAAATAATCCGTAAATATTCAGCAGCAGCCCCTACACAGAAAATACGCACAGAAAAGATACAACGCATGAATGTATCTTGAAATGTGTCAAGTTGATTGGACAATTGGTTTAAGGAAAAGTATTAAATATTTAAATATTTTAGTTATTTAGTGGCGAAATATATAATTAGTTTAAACAATTTAAAGACCATTTGACGAAGGGAAAGAGCAGGAGCGCATGCAGATGTTGCACATGCGAGGCAATTGAAATGCCAAAACTATTTGCTGCACACCAATTTGTAGTGTATCTATAATATACAGAACCGACTATCTGTGTATCTCTATCTACACTTGCATATCAGCGTATCCACGTATCCACGTACGTATCTACGTATCTGGCAATCAGCTGCTGTTGCTGCTCGCTGTGGCAGGGGCATTTCAATTGCTGCCACTCTGATATTCACGCACAAATGCCTCGAATGCTTTTGATATTTTTAAATTCAAATAAAATTAAATGCAATGCCACAGTGCACTGAACTGCAGCTAGCAAAGCAAAGCAACGCAAAGCAATGCAAAGCAAAAAAAGAGTGCAGCACTGCACCCACGGGGCATATGGACTGGTGCAGATACCACAATCCGTGGATATTCTCGTGTAATTAATCGCGGATAATTCAATAATCATATTTGTGTGGTTCATTGAACTTGACGCATCTCATTTCCACTCGTACAAAATGCGAATGCGAAATGCCAAAAGCTCAGAACCGAATAAATCAGACGAGTTGGCTGCGAAATGAAAAGCGGCGGAAAATAAGTAGAAAAACAAATCGCAAAATAAAATAAAATGCGCGTTTCTATTCCCCCTGCTTACCCCTCTCTCTCTCTCTTTGACACTCTTCCTAAGTATACATATATATATGCATATATAGCTGTATATTCGAACAATCAGCGGTGAATGGGTTGGCAAATGATTCGTCATCGTCATCGACTTGGCCCCCCGCCTCAAACAATGGGGCACTGATAAAATTAGTAACAATGTGACACACAAAGCAGCAGATTGAGATACACGTACGAGTACGTGTAACACAACAAAGAGTTTTGCAAACTTTTAATTGCCAAACAAAAAATGGTCTAAAATGTCTGATACGAGTAATTAAGTTTTAATTTTTGTATTACAAAAGCAGTTCGATTTCAATACGGAACAATGGAAATTTCCCAGATAAATGCAGAGGCTCTTTTCTGTTTCTGAGTCAAATATATGCCTGTCCTTTAAGAAAAAGAGCTCCTTCAAGGAGAGCAAAGCATCAGGTGGGTTAACAATTAATTCTGACAGACTCTTGACGAATGAGGCTCCCAAAAAGTTTCATTGCGATTGCAGAAACTATCTTTACTTCGCTTGTGTTTCGTGGGTAATTACCATAAAATGTATAGAAACGCACGGGGAATTGGGGAGCAGTTTGCGCTTTTGTTGTGTCTTTTGTAAGTGCAGGCGTATTACGTATACGCCGAGTGCTGGGCTGTGCTCCCAATACTTTGACAGTTTTATCGTTGGCCATTTGGGCCATTAGACAGCTTGACACCAGGCACACTTGCAACTTCCCCTTTTCCCCCCCTTAGTGGGGCAGCAGCAACAACAGCTGCACCTGTCGCTGTTTCCGCGTTGAGAGCTTTCTTGGCAACAGTTGTTGCTTTGTTGCACTTCAATAAAAACAAAAGCAAAAGCAAAAATAAAAACCAAACAGAACGACAAAAAAAAAGCGAGTGGTGCGCGATGGTAAGGGAATCTATTTTTGGGGATAGTGCGAACGGTAAAGAATCTCAGAGATCGTTGTGGATGTAGTAGATGAGGCGGGAGATCAGATTGGTGCAGGCCTGCACACGGTGCATGGGCATCTCCATCGCCTCCGTCTCCTCCGCCTCGTTGGCGGGCAGCGTAATGATGCCCAGCGAGAAGATCTTCAGGCCGCAGTGATGGGCCACAATCACCTCGTGGACGATGGAAATGCCCACAGCATCGACGCCCATCCGAAGCAGCACCTGCCCCTCGGCGTTCGTCTTGTAGGTGGGGCCACTCAGGCAGGCGAAGACGCCCTTTTGGAGGACATCCTCGAGGCCCAAGGCAACGCCAATCTCCAGGCTCTTGTCGAGCAGGTGGCTGTCGTAGGCGCGGGTCATCTTCAGCTTGCGAACGCCGAAGCGCGGATCGTGGGCCCCCGTCAGCGGTGTCCTGTCCAACCATCCCAGCATGTTAATGTGGTCCTTGATGAGCACAATGTCGCCCACGGCATACTGGGGATTCACTGCCGCCGCGGCGCACGTCAGCAGGATGTGCTGGACGCCGCACATCTTCATTACGCGCACGGGCAGGACGCTGCTGGCCAGCTGCCAGCCCTCGTACGTGTGAAAGCGATCCTGCATGGCCATCACGGTGGCCCCCATTACGGTGCCCACGATCAGGTGGTTGCAATGACCCTCCAGGGGGGACACCGGAAAACGGGGTATATCCTCGAACGGTATGAGCACCGGATCCTCAATAATGTCGATAAGCTGGCGCAGGTACTGGCCGCATATAATCCCGATCTTGGGACGCATGTGGCACACTTTCATGATGTGCTGGGCCATCTCCTCGATCTCCCCGTACGCGTACAGCTGGCTCTCCGGCGTGCAGATCACTGGTTTGGGCCTTCTCTTGGCCTCCTCCTCGTCCATTCGCTGCTGCTTCAGGGCCTGCAGCCTCCGGGCAATGGGCGACTTTCCCGAACAGCACTCGGGGCTGCACATGGTGTCAGGACAGGGGGGGGGAGTCGCGCGGCACGCACACCAAATGTACTTTAATTTGTATTAGAATCAGTCACGAATAAAAGAAAATGTGAGTAGTGGGGCAGGGATGGTTTGATATGGCAATAACAGAATGTCAAAGGTGCAGGCTGCAGGCTGACGAGGAAGGAGGTTTGGTCGCCGACCCTCCCCCGTACATTCATATTCATTCTTAATGATGTCCGCACAGCAAGGCAGAAAAGCAAATGAAAGGCCCACCATGACGCCTGTCATTTTGCGTAGGATGTCTAGGGTGGGTCTAGGGTGTCTGCAGTTATTTGGAATCAATTCCCATTCAGAGCGTATTGTGTGAATTTTCGGTTGCCCCAAACAACCTTTGTCTATGCTCACTGACGTACATCCACCACAATGGACATGGACACGGAGATGCAGGTGGAAAATCGAAAAAGCAAACAACCTGACAATGCAAAAGCAAAATGAAGTATACGAACGTAATCAATGACATGAAAATTAGTTTTCAACTGTTTATGATATTAACGCTGCGTATACGTGATGGCAATGCTCATACGCAGTGGCGTACACAGACACATTGCCACACTGAGGCCCCCACTGACAGCAACAGATACAGCAACAAATTAGATATTGTGCAATATGTGTAATGAGTTAACCGGCAATACAAATTCCGAATTGATAATTATAATTATAATTAAAACTGACACTTGCAGTCCCCAACCCCGCCACAGCAGTTGTGCACTCACAGTTAGAGTAAAATATACATATAACAATAGAGGAAACAACAGACGAACAGAAGAGTAATGGCAGTTTGTCTGTAATGGTACGAGTAGTCGCGGTAATTGGTAATTCGATCACGATGTTTGATTGACAAATAGATTCTTACTTCCGATCTGAATACAGTTTGCCCCTTGAGCAGCCACCCACAACAATAGCTTGCTTGACTTTGAGCAAATCACTGAAGCAGTCAGCAGCCAGCATTCCGCATTCAGCATTCAAATCATTCACAACACTAACGCAATATTCTGTATGGCTGTGGCGTTGCCTTTAATAATAATAAAACAATTATCAATAGGAAAGGAAACTGTGTAACATTGTTAATGTCATTTGAGTGCGCACACAAATGTTTAAGTTACAAAATGTGACCCCCAAACCCCCAACCGCTACAACACTCCAACACTGTCACGCGTCACGTTTGATGACAATGTTGATGCCGCGCGAAAGCAATAGCAATGGATGGCAACCGCAAAAGAATATCGAGACACATCCAGTGCGAAGTGAACGGGGAAACTCTATCACTTGCCCCAGCCCCGCACCACCGCAGTTGCAGCTACATACAAAATTTGTGGTGTGTATTTGATTTGTTGTGTGTCTGCTGTTGTGTCTGCAGCCGCTTATTTGTTTGCCACTTTGCGTCTGCATGCCAAAAATGCGTGTACACGTCTGTTGTTTACACTTGCAATTAATTTCTGGATACATGTATATATTTTTTTGTATTTTATTTTTGCGACTGTTCGTTACCTTGCCCCAGGAAGAGGCAATCGAGCACTGGCAGAAACACGTTTCCCATACTCGTAAATTCATTCGCATTTACCCTTGCCAGGCACTCCACTCTACCCTCTAGAAAGCAGGGTATTACGGCTTGGAATATAGTGCCTGGCCTGTGTCTGAAGAAACATAACACATGGCAGTTTAATGTGCCCTGAAAGTGTATCTATATCTTCGGCCATCGATTTAATATTTAAATTATTCTTTTTTTTTTGCTTGTTTTTGGATGTTTGTTTTTGAAAAAAAAAACCAAACGAAATATTGAATATTTTGACTGGCATTTGAATGCTAATTGAAGTTTGCCAAAAATATATATACTGTTGCTGTGGGAATATTGTGGGTTGATATTGATAAGCGGGTTATTATTTGGGACATTGTTTACTGATGATTAATGCTAATTCAAGGCGTATCTTCCTCTATTTTAGTTGCTGATTAAAGGCCCGCTAAGTGCTCTCAACATAGTGGAATAGTGGCAAAGTGTGTGGAAAACGCTTCCTCTTCAAAGTCGACAAATGAAAACCAACAACAACAACAACAATAGCAACAGCAACAGCAATCGCTTAAGCAACCTGTTGGGCCAAGCAGCAACAGCAGCAGCAACAATTGTCAATCAGAGTGGCCGTCAGAACCGCACTCGGGATAATCAGAGTCTTTTGCGGATACAAAGCTACACGTACAAGTGTCTGAATCACAATCCGCGACGCGAGATACTGACCTGAAATCCCCCAATCATATAAAACAGCTCCAGGCAGACACACGACTCGTGGTGTCCCGCCAAAAAAAGAGCATATTGATTGTGTTTTCACTTTGTATTTTATTTGCGTTGCAAAAGACTTGCATTTGCAGTTGCAGTGGTGGCTGTAGTAGCTTTAATTGCCATCAACCACAGTGAAAACCAAACCAGAGAGAGATACATAGATAAATAGAGAGAGAGAGAGATCAAGAGACCCTGAAACTGAATCTGAATTGCAGCCAGCCACAACCAAAACAAAAACGTAAAACCAAAATCTGGTTTGACTCGATTCAACGATACGCTACAATTCACTGACGAGCCTCCCCAGTGCGTTTCGATAGCTGCTCCACTTTCGTGGAGCTCTGTTACTGGCTCTGTCTCTGTCTCTGACTTTGGCTCTGACTCTGCCACTGGCACTCAATCTGGCCCGGTCCGTCCCGATAAAGGCAATAAACAAAAGACGTTACAACGGACGGATCGAGAGAGCTGTTGGCTGTTGCTGAGCCGCAAACTGGTTATTGGTATATTTATTTGTTGATCCAGGCTGCAGCTTGAAGTTTGTAGTTGGACTCATGTACTACGCTGTTGATTATTACGCGGATATGGGACAAATCTCACAAGATGTAAGTACACACAAGCTGCATATCCCCTCTAAATATATTGCACTATACCTAATCAAAATATTGATATTTTTCTTGTATGTTATACAATAAAACGCATTTACCTGTTGCTCGTTGCCAGAACGTTTGTCGATACGTTTGTCTAGTTTTTATACACTTGTTTACCGATTCAGAGGGTAAACAGAACAGCACAGCACAGCACAGCTCAAAAATAACAAACACTTTTTGACCATTAAATGATGTATAGTTTCAAACAATTTAACACATCTTGCACAGTTTTCTGATTTAATTTACGGCAACTACCTGATGGCAGTTGCAGCATTTCTATTGCATTTCTCTTGCATACAGAATTTGGGGGTCGTGATCTCTTGTCGAGTTTCTTTATTTTAATTATTTGATATTTCGCATGAATTCCAATTTGAATGACAGTCGATGGTCGAGGGAAATTTAATATCCTTAGGGCTATGCAGCATCAGGTGCATCTGTTTTGTTGTCGTCTGCGGCCAACAGACGGAACCAATTAAAAGTGACTCCTCGCATTGTTGCCAAATGAAATGCACCACAATTGAATACCACCTGAAATAAAATAAAATAATTATGTATCAAGAGCAGAATGAATGTGTATCTCTACGGTAGATTAAATCATGAATCTACTGCCAAGTAATGCGATATTATTGTATGTTGCAGGACACATGGCTTTTATTTTTGCTTCAAATTCGAATAATTGCATATTCAGAATTCAGAATTAATTGGCAAATGAATTGCTATTAAAATATAGCTTAATTTATGGAAACGAAAGGTCCTTGTTGCTTGTTCAGTCTTTGTACAATTAGGGACTTCGTTAAATTGCTAAATTAAATGAATGCGCACACACATGCAAATGCGGCTTTGATGTGTAAATGAAAAAATATTATGATAATGAAACATATGCTTTGTAAAGTTGCACTTTCCGAAACTTTCCATGCCCCAACCACCCACAAAACATAATTGAGACCAGGCAGTCGGACAGGGCAGGAGCATGTTAATTTGATTTAGCCGCCGAGCGTAAAATTAACTAGGAAATGCGGTGAAAAACCCACCTGGCAGCAGCAGCAGCGGCAGCAGGACGATAAATAAACGAACTCAACTTTGGCAATGGAATAGAACGGAATGCTAACGGCTTGCTGCTTTTTCGCAGAGTTATAGAGTCAAATTGTACAAACATACATACATACATATGCATGCATGTATTTGTCGTGTGTGTCCATAGCCCCGTGGCTTGTGGCTTGTGGATTGTTAGTCTGGTTTATTTAATTAGCAGCATAGCAACTAAATACCAAAAAAATTAAAACTATTTGCCATCAGGTTGTGTGCTTGGTGTTTGGTGTTGGTGTTGGTGTGTTGTTGCTGTGTGCTAAAGCTTCTCCCTCGATAAGCAACCCAACTCTATTTTGATAAGCAGCCCGGTCCCCGTCCGTCATGGAATAGTTTCCACAGCCCTTAGCTGCTTTTGGCACTTCTTTTCCATGCGAAAGATAACACACAAAAAACAACTTAAGCAGAAACAGAAAAGTACTACTACAGTACTACAGTATAGCTGACGATTTGGTTTGTTTTGTTCATAATAAAATATAATAAAAATGCTGCAAATATCTTTCTGGGTCATCTAATCAGGCCTCAAAATGTAAGCAAATGTCGAGCTAATTGCGACTTGAATTTAATTGAAATCGAGAGCAGCAGCAGCAGCAGTAGAAACAGAAACAATGCGTAACAAAGAATCGGAGCCAACAGATGGATGCCAGGCCTGTTGGGGGGCGGTTGTCGGGTGACTATCTATAGTGCATACATATGCAAATATGTGTAAGTACTATGCATGGAATGTGCTTTGGAAGAGAGCATATTTGATAACTTATTGTGGCTGTCATTGCTACCCCAATTCGAATGCGATGTGCGGCAGTTGGGTGAAGTTTTGGGTTACCACAGAGTTCCCATTTACCCAAAAGTACAATTATATATTGTCTGTTCACTTAGGAATGGAATTACAGACTTGAAACAAGATTGCACTCATCAATGATGGAATGCGGCTGCACAATTTCACTCAAAGAAAAACAAACATAATAAATAATTGCAATTGCCAGCAGCCAACAGATAGGGTGAACCCCATGGCGATACGAGGGCTGGCAGAAATAGCCAACAGGCAGGCAGCGGGTATCGGCCAAGAGCTATCGGCCATCAGCAACAGGCAAAAGGCAAAAGCCAACAGGCAACAGGCAAAAGAGTCAAAAGAAAAGAATTTTATTTACGCAATAAATATAAATTGTATAAAAATACATTACCAGCAGGGCAGCGGGAGTGGCAGGGGCGGCAGGGTGGTGCTGGTGGGTTGTTGTTTGATTCCTGGGGACAACGTCAGTCCGTCATTCAGTCAGTCAGTCATTGTGGCATGAGAGCAGTATCAAAATAAACAGATGTGATGTGTACGCGTTTCTGAGTCCGCCGCCTGGCAAGAGTCCAAAAAGGCTTTTCGTCTTTCGAGTGAGTGACGGCGGACGGAGCCCACTAACTGAATGAGTGAATTACTGAGTTAATGACTGATTGAAGCAGTGCAGGAGTGACGGCTCTCGCCGTTGAGTGATTGATGGATCCACTAACTGAATTACAGAACGAAATGCATAATGGTAGCAGTGATTGAATGAGTGAGTGAATGCTTCAGTTTGATATGCAATGAAATTATCAGCAGCATTCCTATTTTCCATCCAACGAAAAGGCGGAAGTCGAACAGATGTACATACTATAGTACTTGTATTTTCATAGAATCATTCCGCATCGAATGAATACAATGTCCTATCGCGTTATTCATTCTGAATGGAATATCTTAATTCTATGAAATTTGTTTTTCTTTTTTATCGTCGCTGTGCTTATAAATTTCCCCTCAAGCTTATAAATGTCAGCAAAATATTTCCATTCCCATTGTATTTATAAAATTAATAAATATAACTCGAAACAAATATAAAAATACAGATTCATAGGACATACAGTACATATAGTTTTTTATAGTTCGTTGACCTTGTGGATGGCTATATATAGAATTTGTCAGATCATTTGCCAGTTTTCCAGCGAATTGCATTGTCCGCAAAAGAGAGAGAGAGAGAGAGACACACACAGAGTGTCTTATCAGTGGGCGGTTATCAGTGGAAGGCAGTAAACTATATGCATACATATATATATGTAAGTGCTACAGAGAGACGTGCCGACACTTGATATATGTACACACATATAGTATATGGACATACAATATCTTACAGTGGATGGACTGGGATGGGTGTTTTGTTCACCTAATAATTTGTCATGCTTTTGCTGTTGCTGTTTTATTTTTTGCGGCACAGCACGGCTTTTTATCAGCAGACAAAGTGTCGCTCTGAGTGCCAGACAACTTGAAGTTTGGATAGAGGAAGGCCGTCTGCACCCACCCCACTCACACCACTCACTCACCACTCACACACACACAGATAATATTGAGGTTGGTCAATGTATTGTGTGTGTGTGTGTGGGGGTGGAGGTGGGATTTGTTTATAGATTTGATAAATGGCCGCTAAAAGTGATGTGGAAAACATCTCAAGCGCAGGAGGAGCATTCACAATCTGCTCTTGAAATTAATTGATTATTATTGACATTGTTCTAGAATTAATAGGGAACAGCATTCCCCAATCAAGAGAATGAGGAAATTTAAGGTAGAGGTAAAAAGGTAGAAAGAAAATCCAAGTGAAATTTCATAAATTTCTACCCTGCAGGGATGTAATTCCCCTCTTTATATCGCCGTCCCTGACCATCCGCAGACTATACACCATAACACCCTCCCCATCCCCATCCCCATGCACTTCATGCAAATGATAATGGACTGATGGACTGACGGGAGCGTGCACCAGCCCAGCTCTGGGAGTTGGTTGTTGGTCTGTCTGGCCATAAAATGTCAATCAATAAATAAAAACAGAGTGCAAAATTGTATGATTTTGTTTGCATATCAAGCAAAATATTTTCATTGTTGTTTTCCCCTTTACCGACGCCCAGGCCCCCCGCGCGCGTATCGTGATATGTATTAAAAAAATAAATAAAATAAAATTAAGTGTGTAAAAAGTTTCGAACAATTTTATGATTTAATTAACAGCAAACATTGTGTGTTTGTGTCAATAATCAGTAATAATTTGTTATTGTTATTCACAGAGTAAATAGTACGAGTACGTGTACGAGTACGAGAGAACATACTACATAGTAGATCTAATTAAATATTCGCCAATGCAAGTGCAAAACTGGAATACGAGTACATACATTTGTACATACACATATGTATGTATGCAATTGTATTTTACTATGTAAATCCATAGTTTCTATAAATGTATATGCGAATGGAGGTAGTGATAGTGTGTGTGCCTATAGGAAAAATAGTTTATCACGTCTAGACATGTCTTTATTATTATCTACACATACAGGCACATGGCACACGCTTGCACAATTGCTGTTTTGCCTTTTTTATACAGTTTTATTTGTTTTTTTCTCACTTGTGTGTGTTTTGCGCTAGTGTGGCTGTAGTAAGTACTCGAGCTGGCACTCCTCGAGTGTGACCATATTATAAGCTTGCGTATTCCTCTTGATAATCCCTCAATTGAGTCAACTTTCTCTTTTCTTTTAATAATGATGTTAGCCCAGTATTCAGTGTTCAGTATTGCCAGGCTAGACCTGGCTTCTTTTTCCTCTTAACCGATCTAACATTTAATCACATATGTATGTAGATCTATGAGATTTTTATATTCGAGAACATTCTGCATAAATAAATACTACCCACAATTTGCCTATCGCTGCTTTGGCTTCCAGCTCCAGGGGTATTTCTCTCCATCCATCATCCATCATCCAGTAACTCCCACTTTTGTTATGGATGTGAATGTAAGTGTATTCCCCGCTTCGCTGTGCACTGTAACTGATTTTCGCTTTACTTTCTTGTCGTTTTGTTTTGTTTTGTTCGCGACGTTGTTTTTGTTTTTCGTGTGCTTTTCTACAACACCTGACGTTTTTTCCACTTTACTTGTTTACCTACTTATTGGGTTGTGTCTCCCCCCCTTCTCTGTGGCGAGCCAAACCCCTATCTTCCATATCTTCATCCCCCCCTACGCCACTTATAAGTCTATCCCTCTGCTTGCCTATCTATCCCTGTCCCTGGCACTCTCTCTCTGCTCTGCTCTGCTCTGGTCTGTTCTGTTCTCTTCTTTTCTATCCATGGCATTCTACCATTTATGCTAATTTATTTGCCTGTTTACCAGCTTTTGTTTTAATCTGTTTGTGGGCCGTGTGTTGCTGTGTGTTGACACTGTATTTGAATATGGGTGTGAGTGTACGAGCTTATGAGTGTACGAGTGTTCGAATATGAGTATTCAAGTATGTGAGAGGAGTGTGTTGAGTGATCCACGCTAGCGTGGATGGAAAACAATGATACATATTTCAGAGCTAAATTACACCAAAAATGTATTGTTATTCTCGCTTCTGCTCTGCTCTGCTCTGCTATCCACTGCTTTGCGTTGCGTTGCGTTGCGTTAATTATGTTAATTTATTAATTTTGTCTTAGTTTTTGCTCTGAGCCACGCCTTTGTCTCGCTTTGTTCCCTAGGAAATCAACATATGCTTACGAAAATTAATTGCCTGAAATACATACACATGTACATACATAAAAGCGTAAAGAGTTGCGTTGCTCGTGCATCCGGAAGAGAGGGAGAGGGAGTGGGAGTGGGAGAGAGTGCTGTGGTGTGCATTGTATACCCTGTACAAAGCAGCACCCAACCGCACCACCCTAATATCGTTCTAAGCTATCCAAATTTCTTGTGTTTGTGTCTATAAAATCAACTGCAGGTATGCAATTACCTGCATCTGATTTCCATGAATAGCTTTCATGATATTCCTGACGCTTCTAATCCAGTGGGTGGATGGAGCTTCCATAAGTCTTTGTATAATTTCCAAATTATCCAATTAATTTTGTGCATTAATTGTGCACTTAGAATCGTTTACAATGGGGCGGAGCGGAGCCCATCCGTGGGCTCATTAAAGGGTTTAAATTCTGATGATTTTGAGTGCGTACAAAAGATGTATGTATGTTAGATGCATTTGAAAGTGGAAGTGGAATAAATATCAAATATCACGTATACGCCGCATTGAGGGCTAAAAAGTTTCGTGCTAATGGTGTATACCATCGCATACATAAATATATACCTGTGTACATATGTATGTATGTGTGTGTATGCAGATGATGGTGGAGTGTGAGAGTAGCCACAGAGCTGCACATCGTCCATATGCCCATTATTAAACTTGGCCTAAGCCCCCTGCCCCTGGCAGGAATGGGGGAGTGGAGTGGGGCCTGGTGCCTGGGACTGGGTCGTGTGCCTTGTGTGGTTTGTGACTGCTGTATGCCAAAGACGAAACTAGTTTGATTTTCCAAACGGGTTTCTAACCCATCCCCGATCCCCCATCTCCATCACCAACCTCTTGCCTTGAGTCTGTGGTGTGCGTGGGTGTGGGTGTGTGTGTGTGTGTGTGTGGGTGTGGATTATTGTCCATAATTTCCATGGCAGAACATTGGTCATGATCATCATGTTGATAGAAGTTAACAAGTGCAATTAAAATGTGTTATAATTAACTCACTCTCTCTCTCTCTCTCTCTGTCTGTCTCTCTCTCTTTCTCTCTAATGTGTACTAATCCGAATTAAAACTGATTTAACCAATCAGTTTTTAAACGTAAATCACATTGATTTGTGGCCATAGCTCTGATTTATATATTTTGCTTAGCATTTGCTATACCCGCGACAGCTACTAGCAACATAATTTACACATTCAGTCGAAGTATCTCTGAACATTCGGTGGGATTAATTATGTATGTGAAAGCGATGACATTTATTTGTCAGCTGATTTACATATCTCTCACTCTCACAGTTTTGTGAGTCGTTTGGCGGGCTATTCATTTGATTCATTCGATGGAATAATTATGAAATTAGCAGCGCCTTTGACACTGGTTCGTATGGGCGTGTGGGCGTGCCTTAAGCCAGTGACTTTGAGCGGTGTCGAGTGGGTGGAGTGGCGGGGGCTGGCCTAAGGTTAACTTGGGGCTAAACTTGATTATGCAAATATCGGAACAACCATTTTTGGTCTCAGCAACTATTCCCTCAGAATGGTTCATCGAATGCAACGACACATACATACAAATACTGAGTGTGTACGCACTGGCTACTTTTTTTATGGGTAGAGATTGTGCTATCAAGAAATTAAAATAGAAATACTAGAGGCGATGTCATTGAACGTTTAATAACATCGCCCCAGTTTGTGGCCACAAAACAACAACAGGAAAATAAACTAATAAAAACACCAACCTACCAGCACCAGCACCAGCGCATTGATTATATTATGGAAGAATGGGCCCAAGAGATTTGCCAACCATCGAGGAGCTGCAGCAAAGTGCGTGCTCTTCGTGCGATAGTTTGGAGCATGTTTAAGCTGTTTGCAATTAGTTTGCGGAGTCATCTGGCAGCTTCTGTCTTCTGCTTCCTACCTTTAGCCTGACCGTTTTGTTGCATTGTTAAGGTATTAAATACGAAGAGCTGCAATATAAATCCTCCAACCCTAATACCCCATTCGATCCTTTGGTACCCGTAGTAGGAGCAATAGCAGAGGCACAACAGAATTCCCATGGCAACCGGCTTATTGATTCCGGCAATTGCGTGCATCAATGGTGCATCCATTGCAATGCTATTTAATTCTTTGAAGGATTCTTTCATCGGAACAGCATCCACCCTCCCCAACGTTGGCCTAAGGGGTGAGCTTCCTATCAACAATGGAAGCTAGATAGAAATCTATGCAAGTGAACTACAGAAAGAGATTTCATTAGAGGGTCTATTAAAATTCCACTGAAATGAACTCAAATTATGTTTGTTTGTTTTTTTTTTTTCCTTGGAATCGAGTACAATTAGTTGCTGTCCCTTGGCAACCTTGATGCTGCTGTTGCTACTGCTGCTGTTGCTGCTGCTCCTTCTGCTTACCTGTCTGTATATTTCACAGAATTTTGGGCTTTGTATTAACGAATCCTTAAAGAGCCTGCAACAGCAGAAGGAAATACAGAATCAAATTAGTCAGGCAACAATTTTCCACCCTGAACTTTCATTTAAATTCATTTTGTGGCAGCAACAACCAAGCAAAGAAGCAACAAGTCCTGTGTATGTATTTGTGGCAAACCTAATTGCAACAGATTTCCGCAGGAAAACTCTCCCAGACCCAGACTTTACAGCAAAACTTTTTCGCCACTCTCTTTCGTTCTCAAGTTTTCCACTTATGTTGTGATAATTTATCGTGATTCTCTTTACTCCACAGTGTTCCACAGCAGCCACAACAGACATTGATATGGATGATCTCGACGATTTGGATCAAGTGACGCAGGTGATCGGCTACCATCCACACTTCCACGATCATTTCCTTCGCACCCAGAACTTTATTATGAAGGGCGACGGACCACTGCCCAACGACTACAGATACTATCTGGCCATAATTGTGAGTACATACATTCATGCATATGTATATATATTTTTCATGTGTTGTGCGAGTATGCCAATGATTCAATTATCGCCGAAAAACACTACACTGTGCATCTGCATCTGCATCCAGTGCCAGTGCCAGTGGCAGTGCCATCTATAATTGGGTTTTGGCTGCAGCATAATCTGGTTCTCATCGCCTTGCCCTGCGGACTTGACTCGATTTGAGGAAAGACCATTGTATGGTCGTCTATTGTTTGGGATATCTTGTTATAGGTCCAGCGGCATATCCATTTATTCGTGGCACGTACAAGGCTGTCAGAAATAAAACTACATGCATATGTGCTTGCGTGGCCTCTACCCCACCTTCTCTTTTGTTTTGCGCTGCATATCCTGCTCCATTCTGAGCCCTAGCAGCGGCAACAGATTTCAGATTGGTTGCTAACGGAGTTGGGAATTAGGATACGATAAATGGATACGGATGCTGGTACTGGTACTGGCCCCTGGCAATTTTAATCACATTTACTGCAGGTTCTGTTAGCAGCTCACACATCCACCAACGGTTGATGCCCCATCAGCATCAATGCCAATCAGCTGCCAATGCAACATTTCGGCTGGCATATCAACTTGCAATGAAATATGTACCTTTTTTTCCACGGTTTTGAGCTCTTCAGCTCTAGTCCTCTTTTCGCCATAACACAATTAGAACTAGGCGTCTGGCAACAGTAATAAAATATGCCTGACGGACAAGCATTAAATGGCAAATGCGTAGAATGTGGAGTGCATCCGTAGGTATAAATAGTTCTAGTTAGTAGCGACAGGTGGGCGACAGTGCATGGAGTACACTTTTCTGAACTATCTACATGGCCTCCCTTAATTGAATGTGGTGGCAGGCAGCTCCCAAAGGACAACGCTACGGATTGGTAAAAAATTTTCGGGCTATTCATATCCATGTATTTGCATAGATGTTGGGTATATTAAAAATGATTTTAATTTTGAATAGAAGGAAGGGACTTAACTTTGTACGAGGACAAAAAGAGATTCAAACAAGTATCACCTTTTGGAGCCCTTCTTCCCCCTTTTGTGTAATTGAATAGTTTGCAATCTTAATAGATATTTTCTGCTGTAATGAAAGGCTTTAGTAGAATAGAAATGTGTAATTCAAATTGATTTATGGATGCATTCGATTGCACTCCACGCAACCAAAGTGAAATCGAGGGCGTCCCAAACGGACTTTGAACCCCAACCAACCCAAAATCGCTTTCAATATGGAAAAGCAAAAGCAAAATAAATACGAGCACTATTACAGATTACAGAAAATGCATTAGGCAATTATTTGGCCAATTTTTTTGGATCCATAAACTATAGTGTTCCCACACATTATCTGGTTCTCTGGCTCTCTGATCGGTTCTGAATATACAGAGATTTTTAATTAATGGTTCTAGCTGTGCGTGTGCCTATAAAAATAAACATAAATTCGATAAATTATGTATCTACATACATAAACATACATAGCTACGTAGCTATATATTTATGTGTGTGTCATATCGGAGGACTTTGGCATTTGGCATTCCTCTGAGCAAATAATAAAGACATTCGTTCAACTCATGTCGGAAAATTGCAAACGATGTGACGATGAGTGTTAGTGTGTGTGTGTGTGTGTTGGTTTCTACGCATCGTTGGCCCCAAAGACTAGGGATTGTTGGAGGGGGGGTGGAGAGGTGTACGCGAGTTATTTAAGATTTACGATGCCATGTCGCGGGGCACTGTGCCATGATTATTAGGCTTCTGCTCCACACAAGGAGGCACCACCACCACCACCACCAGCCAAATTAATGACAATAACAACAACAGATCGTAGGGAAAAACAAGAATTGAGAGTACAACAATGGAATGACGGCTCTACGCTGCTCTGAATGTTTGAATATTTGTCTCATTTCGGGTCACACACAATACACACACACACACAAAGGCAGACGATTTTAAATATTTTTAGCACATTCAGGTGTTCACGATGATGATGATGATGATGATGAGGAGATCTCCCAGGTCCCGCACCCTGGGAGATCTTTGATTGTGGGTCACTTGGATTGTTGTTTTTTCTATTTTCCGTTGGTTTAGGTCTCTCCACCGAATGTTGAAACGGCGGTGGGGGCTGGGGGGGGAGATCGGAGGCCAAGGCTACCTTAAAGATATCAAAACAAATGACGTAATGCGTAGAAAAATGTTACCTGAATAGATCCGCTGATCCGCTGATCCTCCGAGCTGATCTGATCTGAACTCTTTTCAGGCTGCTGCACGACATCAGTGCCCGTATTTGGTGAAGCGCTACGAGAAGGAGTTCATCAATCAGGGCGGAAGCGGCGAGTGGCTGCGCGGATTGAACCACATCCCCGCCAAACTACGTGCCATATACGATATAAATAAAATATTAGCCCATCGCCCCTGGCTATTGCGCAAGGAGCATATTGAGGTAAGGATATGGACATGGGCATGGACATGGACATGCCACCCAACTAAATATTAAATGAATTTTCTTCCTTTTTGGCGATTTGTGCTGCACAGCTTTTGACAAAGGGAAAAAATAGCTGGTCCCTATCGGAGGTGGTGCACGCCATGGTCTTGCTATCACATTTCCATTCACTATCTTCATTTGTGTTCTCCTGCGGCCTCACACAAAAGCTGGATGGCCTGTCTAGTCCCAAACTGAAGAGTGCTCCTGCTGCGGTGGGGGCACCAGCACCATTGCAGCCCGTTGCCAGTGCGGTAAGCTCCGTGCGCCAGACCACAACCACTCCCATCCATCAGAAAACAGTTTTGGGTGAGATATCGCTGAACAACGCCAGTGGTTGTGGCACAAAGCCGGATTACAATAGCCAAAATGCTGCAAGAAACAATGGAAATGCAGCCGCACCAGCGCCAGCACCTGGAGCTGTTTCTGGTGATGGCGGGGGTGGTGGTGGTGGTGGTGGTGGTGCAGCGGCCCTCAACGGATATTTGGGTGAGTAATAAGCTGGCTGGCCATGTGCTCTGTGAAAACTAATCCGCTTGAATTGCAGCCACGGCCCAGCAGCTGCCCCAGCAGCACGGCATCAGTGTGGAGGCCCTGATGGAACGCATGAAGGTGCTCTCCCAGAATCAGGACGAGTGCAGCGAGGCGGAGCTGAGCAGCCGATTCAAGAATGTGGAGATGCAGACCGCCGAATTGGCGGCCGTGACGCCGGAGCCAGCGGTGGCCCTGCCACCTAACATCTCTCACTATGTGGACGATGCGAATTTCATTTATCAGGACTTTGCCCGTCGCGGAGCGGAGAATGTGAATACGTTTCGCATACAGGATTACTCCTGGGAGGATCACGGCTACTCGCTAGTCGATGGGTACGTAGTGGGGTAAAAGTCAATTCCACGCCCTCGAAGCTGTCTTTCGCTCCACTCCGTAGGCTGTACAATGATGTGGGAACGTTTTTGGATGAGAAGTTTCGCTCGGCCTACAATCTCACGTACTGCACCATGGGCGGGATCAAGAACGTGGACACCTCCAAGTTCCGACGAGCCATCTGGAACTATATTCAGTGCATCTACGGCATACGCCACGATGACTACGACTATGGGGAGGTGAATCAGGTAAGATTTATCTAACTCTCTCTCGTTGAACTGTTATTGAATGATACTCAATGAAAAAATATGTTCTCTTAGCTGCTTGTTCGTCCGCTGAAAATGTTTATTAAGACAGCCTGTTGCTTTCCCGAGCGTATTACCACCAAGGATTATGATAGTGTGCTTGTCGAGCTGCAGGACAGTGAAAAGGTGTGTGGAGAGCATATACTCGTAGTAGTAAATTTATCAGTTAATTATATCGATATCTCCCCCCGCCAATAGGTTCATGTGAATCTGATGATAATGGAAGCCCGTAATCAGGCCGAGTTACTCTATGCTCTGCGCGAGATAATGCGCTATATGACTTGATCTCATTAAGTGAATAACTCTAAATACGTATACTACACACACACAAAACAAACACATAAGCACATACACATACACATGCGCGCATAAACAAATACAAACAAATGCAAACATGAAACATTTTGTTATTTTGAAAGTGCATAAAAAAAATGCAGCGAAAGGAACAGAAAGGGCCCCGCAAGCAGAATTATCGATGGAAAAAATAATAGAAATAGCTGCAGGCGCAGCCGCAGCCGCAGCAGCAGCAGAACAATGATTTGTGCAATAAAAAATCAACTTACACGTACTCCAATTGGAAATCAACTCTCAACTGGCATTAAATAAATGATTGTGGGATATTTTGATCCATCAACAGTAGCATGCCAATGGCAGTGGTCTCTCCACATGAGACATACATGCATATAATATTCAGAAAAGCCAAAAACCAAAAATTAATTGAAAAGAAAAACTCAGAGCTCAGGCAAGAGCCCTTCCATCTGTCTATCTGTCAGTCTGTTTACCCTTTCGTTTCGTGCATGTGCAAGCAATAATCACTGTACATATGTATTATGATTTGTTTAATTATTTTAGTGAAATAAATACAATTTTTATTTGAATTATATACAAATATTGGTTTTCTTTTATTCAAACCCAAACTATCCCAACCCATCTGACTGATTTACTCTTAGTTTTAGTTCCACCCAAAGACAGAAACTAATTGGTGAAACCAATTTACGTGTAAGAGCTTTTCTTGTAGAGATAATAAATACATATATACCATATATAGATGTCTATTTTTATGGCGCCAAATATACCAATATCAATATATGTATACCTATATACCATATACCTAACTTGACTGTTATGTGTCTGTCGCATCAAAAACATTTGAGGGGCATTCAATGTCTAAAATATAGACAATATTTATGTATTGTATATCTGAATGTATTTATCGAGTTGAAACTACACACAGAGTTATTTGTAAGCTAAGAATTTAACCGAAATACACGAATTTACATTTATTGTATGTACACTCAACACAACACAACACAACAAATAATCTAGATTAAGTGATATTCAAACAGTATTGACACTAAATAATCCGCTAAGAGTTTGGGAGGTATACGATGCTCTTTAATATTAATACACTTACATATGCAAATATCTTTACTCTTGCCTCTATCCAATATCTATGCTTGCTCACATCTATTGGGTTGTAATAATTGTCTTACTGTACTGTACTTGAGAGGGATACTCTCCTAAACTAAAGATTCGCTTCACAGTTCCTCTTTACTACGAGTATTATATATCTATATATATACTGGTACTTACACATACAAATGTACTATGCTACATTCAAACATTCCTTACATAAGACACTCTATATACTGACTGGGAGGGATACTATAGTACACTTACATACACAAACCTCTTTACTATTGCTTCAATTGCAAATGGGAAATATTCATTGGGTTTTGTCAGAAGTACACAATTAATACAAGATTCGTTTTGGATGAGTACCTTTTTGCATTTATGGATATTCGATTTGTTTTGTGAATATTAAAAACCATATGCAGGTTTCCCACAAAATCCACACGAATTAGTATAGTCTAGAAAACATAAGGTAAAAAGGAGAAAGACAGGCTAAGGAATGGATGGAGAGTCTGAACAGAGCTGAGTTCAAGAATCAAGATTTGCTGAACGTTGACGTGGAGTTGGAGGGACTACAAGGAATGCAAAAACATGTATACTAAATATTTGTAGATTAAGTAAATAGTGTATACCTAAACCGAAAGGTATGCCGCGAAACAGGCTGAAACAATCCTGCTAACAGAGTAACTTAGTAAGTTGTTCGGGCTTCACCAAGCGGCGCCAGACAGACAGTCCAAATACAGCGAGTTTGACCCAAATTGTACATAATATCAAACGAGCTATGGAGAGATTCAAAGATGTGATTTATGCAAATATATATACAAAACAAAATGTATTCCTTTGCATATATACAAGTACATGAAATGAGTATATATATTTGCGATAGTTATAGTTTATTGCCTACCCATGTACGGCATAGCTATATATAAGGTTTGTGTGTGTGTTTCAATGTATTTAATGTACCCGGTATTCGTAGTGGATGCATAAATATCGGCCGGAATGAAGCGAATTCGATTTCGATTCCGATTCCGATTTAATACACAAAATACACTTGCATAATTTCGTCCGTTTTGTCTGTCCAGATTAAATCTGATTATGGGAGATGTGGTCAAATCCAGTGTCCGAACCTATCTCCGAGCCCATCTTCGTAACGAGAAATAAAGTCCCCAAGCTGTCACCGCCATCCCTGAGTGTTTTTAATTTAATATTACAATTTTAATCGCTATAAACCACACAATCTTTATACTACAGAACAATAAATCCGAGCACTGGGTATCCAATAGTCAGAATACTCGACTATATAGACTATTTTGATTTTGTTGTTGTAGTTTGCATTAATGGAACGGCAGTGCAACTGACAGGTGAATTTTATTCTAATTTCTACACATACATACATTTATGTACTATATTTTACAATGCTCAACAGAAGGCTGTAAACACACTAGAGTTGAAGTTACACGAATTTAATACCAATACAACCATACAACCAACTGCAATAAAGCGTTTGCAATGCAATTGCAAATCCAGCTGGAAAGAGTCCAAAAGAAAAATACACTTTAGGCAAACATTTCAAGGTGTATTTTATCTTGCTAGATGTAGGAATATCTAAGAATTAATGAGGTGTACACTTTGCTCAAGTGAAGTAAAGTAAAGTAAACTAAAGTAAAAGAAGGTAAAATCAGAAGAGAACTGATTGAAATCAGCACCTTGTAGCACATATACTAAACATATACAAAAAAAAAAACTTAAATACATAAGTCTTTGAGTTGAAGTATTTGATAAAATAATACCTTTATCCATACAACCATGCTACCTTTTCAGCATCGATTGGGTTCACAGTTATGAAGAGCACCACTGGTAGGAATCAAGATGATTGACAAACAAAAGCAAACTAGATTTTAATTGGGACATCTCCCTATATGAATAACCGGCTATATAAGTGTCTATGTGTCCTATAAAATAGGTTGGGCCTCCTCCATGGAGTACAGTCCATCTACATACATGCATACATATATAATTATATACAAAACATAAGCTGCGCAGTTATATGTACACATACACATATATAGATGTATTTACACACACACAGAACACACAAGAAATTTAAATAACTTTGTATGGATGTATACTTTAATATCAATATTCAATAATCAATGTTTGAAACCTCTTGATGTCGTTGAATAAAAACTCCTCTACCCCCCTCCCAGACGAAAAGTGTTTCTGTTGTGTTGGTGTGGTCCGTCCGGTGGCAATTACATAAATAATATTTCAGTAATACACTGCTTTGATTTCGTTTAATATATTGTTGTATATACACGTTTTATTTAATTAGAAGTATAATTTATAATCGTACAATTTCAATAATGCTTTCTCCTTTACAATTAATTCTCATTTATGTATGTTTTATGTATTTACTTAGAGATTGATTACACAATTGCTTTTTGTTAATATTTAATAAGATTGTTTGGTTAAACTAAAATTGAGTTGAATAAATGTTTAGTTTGGGGTGTATAAAGGAATTAATTATGGTTAAAATACAATAAGTTCACTTCTGATATGGCGACAAAGATATTAGGAAAACTCTACAAAATTGCTTTTAATTATTTCATTTCGATTTAATACACATATTGGTCCAACGCAGATAATAATAATCATTAATCAATTCGCTAATACATCGCAAAGCTTTCTATGTCACATTTACACATACATTTCCAATGATTGTTTGGCGCTGATTTAGGTTTATAATGAAAAACAAGCCGAAGCCTATCCCTCCATCCATCCTTCTATCATCTATCATTTATCTCATCGAATGCAAACACGAATTCTCAGACCTTCGACCCACCTCTCTGGGCTGGATGGAGTCCTCGCTGAGAAGTGCGATTCGTTCGTTCGTTCCGCCGGGATTCGTTTTGGGTGGCGATTAGTTTACAATTGGTAAATCATACATATATATTATTGTTATTGCAATGTTCAACATTTAGGCACAAAATATATTGCTTCTCAATTGGGTATACCATAATAGTTATTATTGCATAGTCGATAGTGGGTTCTGAGGACACCGTCTTTTCCATCTTCGCCATTGTCGTCGTCTTCTCCTCGCAATAGTCTCGCAACAGTTAAAAAACAAAATAATAATAATACGTAATATGTCTGCGCTTTCGTTTGCTTGTTAGGAATCATTGTTCGAAGATTGACACGTTGTTTATGTGGATGCCACACGCTTCGTGGGCGAATTGCTCAGCATTGCCGTCTCCTTGGACCGCTCATGTTCGTCCTGGAAGAATATCTTGGTGATGACCACGTCGCCGGTGCTCAGGGTCTGCGACTCGGCATCCACCAGCTTCACCACTCGCTTGTCCATCGTTCGCAGAATGGGCGTGACACTGCGCTCGCCTTGGCAATTGCAATTCCTGTTGCTGTTTGGGGTATAGAGTTTAAGGGATTATTCCTGCATTATCCTGATTCTCTGCTAAGAAGAGACTCACTTTCTGGACTTTTCGCGTATGATTTGCAAATTGTCTGTGGTCGCAATGCTCGAGCCCAACTGTTCCTGGATCGAATTGGAAGCCAGTATCTGAAAGAAATGTGTGTTTCTTTGAATTAGTTTACAACTACGACGGGAGCTGCGAATCACCCACCTGATCGCATGGCAACGAGGTGGCTGTCGTCAGTATGGCCTCCAGCTTATCGATGCGCGCAATGCGATCCATCGACTTGTTCTGCAGTATTTCCTCCAGCATCTGCATGGATTCCGTCAGGCTGGGTGGCTCCGAGCTGAAGCGTGGCGAAAAGGTGCCCGAGAGCGAATTGTCCGATGGCACAGAGTCCAAGCTGGGAAACATTTCGTTTTCATTGGGTTCCGCCTCGTCTTCAGAGTCACTTTGATCTCTGCAGGAGTAAGTATTAGTTCAGCTTGGTTTTATGCATTTATTTCTATGTCGACACTTACTTGCTGGGGTTGCCGGCAGATTCCATTTTCTCCAGCTTCTTGGCCACCTTGTAGTAGCCCTTGAGTCGCTCCTTTTCGTCCTCCGTCAGGTCCATGTAACTGTTGATCCATAGAGACCGTGATTAGCTCTTGATGGATGGATGGAAACAGAAGGATTACTCACCGCAGCAGACGAATTTCACGGTTCGAGAGCACAATGCTCTTGCTGGTCTGTGCCAGCTTCAGCTTCAGATCGGACACCTCGGTGCTGACCTTGCGCTGCTTCTTGCGAATCTTCACCTCATTGGGCTTGATCTGCAGGAGGATTTGCTCGGTGCACAGCTCGGAGAAGAGCTGCCTGTTCTCGGGCTTGATCTGCCGCGCCAGACTGCCAAAGAGCTGATCGTGAATCAGGACCAGTACATCGCCAGCGGCATACAGCATCATTTCGCGGGTGAGCGGCCGCTTGGCCCAGAATTTCTGGTCCCGCCTGTAGATCTGCTTCAGCTGGTCCTTGATGGGATTGCAGGGGGCATTGTACTGTTCGCACAGCGAGTTGAGCGATATGTATTTGGCCTTGTAGACCTGCTTCCCGTTCTCCTGGTACTGCAGGATCGCGTGCGCCGCCTGTGTGTCAAACACGTTGCGCAGCAGGATGCCGAACTGCAGATACAGATTGGCCGCATCGTTCCGACAGTCGTGTATGACCTTGATGACCTGCTCGTGCTCCAGCACGGTCTTCAGTCCACCATCCGTGACCATGGCGGGGCACGATTGGACATCGAAGAGGAAGGCCTCGCCCCGCGCCGTTCCAATCTCAATTAGCGTGATCTCGCCCTTTAGCCCCAGATTGATGCCCTCGCAGTCGAGGGAGACCACAATGCCCTCGTTCTTGGCCGCGTACTTGAGTAGGATGTCGGTGACGAACACCGACTGCTTCACATTGGCTATCACCGTCGTGTTCTGCAGCACCTTGATCTTCCACGTGTCGCCGACAAAGTAGCTATGACTAGGTGAGTGATTGGCATTGGTGGTTGGGTTGGAGTTGGCGCTGGCGCTGGCGCTGGAGCTAGAGCTGGAGGTGGTATTCGGATTGTTCGCTGTGCTCGCATTGGCATTGCTGGAGTTGGAGTTTGAATTGGATGTGGAATGGGAATTGGGATGGGAGTTGCTGGAATGCAGGGGACTGGCGTGCGGAGAACTTTGGTTGGCCAGCGACTGTTTGTCCTTCTCCAGGTTCTCCGCCAGCGTGCGTATGACCAGAGTATTTATGCGTTGCTTCAGCGTTTGGTTGACGCTGTTCACCCTCTCCGTGGGATTCGTTGAGGCTGCAGGCGACGGCTGCTGTGGCTGCTGCTGTTGTTGCTGTTGCTGTGTGGTATTGTGGGTGGGTCCACCTCCGATGGGGCCATAGCAGATGTTCCCACTGGGATAGTTGTTCTCGCAGAGATTCTCCAACTTCAGCTCCGACATGGGCACATAGCTGTCGAAGCCAGAGCTCGGCTCCGACTTGGGCTGCCCAAAGCCCTGCTGCCCCGGCCCCTGGCCCTGCATCACATTCGACACGGGTGCGTTCAGCTTGAAATTGGGCGAGGCTATGCTATTGTTGTTGTTGATGCTACTGCTAATGGCATTATTGTTGCTGCTGGCATATCCATTGCTGCGCAGGGCCGTAGACTGCAATCGCTGCTGCACGGAACTGAGTGGACCTCCACCTCCTCCACCGCCACCGGCACTCACATCCACCCGGCGAATTGGATTCGAATTGCTGCCATTGTTGTTGTTGTTGTTGTTCAGGGCATTAAACTGTTCCCTGGTCTGGGCCTGGGCCTGCTGGATGTGCGTGTCACTGAGCTTTGGCTTCTGCAGCAGCGTGACTAGATTGGCCTGTATGTGAAAGCAGTCGCCGAAGAGCTTCAGGAAGGAGCTCAGGTCGCCCGGCGTCTTGAACATGCGCAGCCACTGATCCTCCGGAAAGTTGGTGGTCAGCAAATGGAACAGCTGGTCCACCAGCAGCGGCCCCTTGATCTCGATGCACTGGGCAAAGAAGTCGAGCATCTGCTGGGTGCCGCGCGTATCGATGTTCGACTGCGGCAGATGGAGCCGATCCCTGGCCGGCAGATCAGTCATATTCTCGCAGCCCACCAGCATCACAAAGTCATCGATCACCTTGAACGTGTCCGTGTGCTTGGTCAGAAAGTCCGTAAACTCCTTGATATGTTGACCTTCATAGAGGGCAAAGTGGAGTTAGACGATTGATTGGACATATTTTTGCTATCTGCGAGTACACTTACCTGATATGTGACGCACTTGGGGCGAGGCCTGCGACCGATGGCCGAGCAGACTCCGCACTGGCACCTCTGCCGCGGCCCCATACTGCAGCATCTTGTTCTTGAAGTAGTCTTTAGCCTCTTGAATGTAGTCGCGCTTGCCGCCGCCACCTCCGTCGTCCGCATTGCTGTGCTGATAGGCATTCACCTGCACATAGTCGCCATCCACCAGGAATATTGATGGGTATTGGGCGAGAAATTTCTTCAGACCTGCCAAAAAGGGATGTCAATTACAATTAGTTGGATGCCATTAGTGGTAGCTGATGGGTAGCGGTGGGTGGGTTGCCTGCCATTGTGGAAAATTGGTTAATGCAGTAAAAGTGTTGCAGCACCAGCAGCAGACCCAGCAGCAACGCAAACTTAATTAATTTTCTTGGCCTTTCAATGTGTCAACTCTGTAATTAAGTCAAGACAGAGAGTCGCTTGTAACTGAGTAAGTACTTATTGTGGTTGATTAATTCCCTGGTATACCCCGTCCTGCCTCGTTGTTTTCGTTGCCTCTTTTGTTGCACGACTGATAGTGGTTTTCCCTCTCTCTCCATAGACAACCACGCATGGCAGGGAGCTGCATTAACGAGGGAATTGTAAGTTTTACCTCCCCCCAGTCCATTTTCATATCGTTGAAGTTACATGTGCCTGGATTCCCATAATTAACAAAACATTGTTGTAATCGCATCATCAAATGACAAACATACATTCATCTCCATATATGAATACGAATACGAATACTGGAATGAATATTCATGTGTCTATCCTGTTGCTGGGCGTGGGGTGGGGGTTTGAAAAGTTGGCAAAAGTTGTTGCTCGAATTAAAGTTAGTTTACAAATACAAATTACATATGCAATGGATGGGGGGAGGGTGGCAACTGCTAAGGATAACAGGCGGGCCCTACACAGTGCGAATGTGAGTGTATCCTTTCACTTAGTGCATCATTTTGGGCAGTTGGTCAATCAATCGGTTAACCCTGTGAGGGTTACATCAATCTATCAGACTACTCGCTCCCCCTTGATGTTGTTGCTGTTGTTGTTGTTGGAAAGCAGTCTCCCCACCGTGGAGCTGCACTAATGCAAGTTATGATGATGGGGTCAGGTCACCAAAATTTATTCCAAGTGTAGGATCCAACCAAATGAACAGTGTATGCACTCAAGCCATGCAAAGTGAACCCGACCGAGCGCACCATTTATTTGATGAATCAGGTCATAGTTGCTGACTGACTGACTGACTGCCACACTGTAAGGCCCAAAACGGGACGCGATGCGACCCAACCCTCCTCCATCATCATCCGGTATGGTATGATGGTAGGAATGTTGTGATGACTGCCGCTCCACTCTCCATATGTCTGTCTATCCCCCAGCTACAGCCCCAGTCCCAGCTCCACAACCATTCTCTATTGTTTGCGTAATCTGACGTGACAGCAAGGCAAACGCCACGCAGCGCTGAATAGATCAGAGAGCACTCACTACAGAGGGTAGGGTACTGCACTGCTCCATTGCGTGTGTTGGCAGTCACAGATTCAGCCTCATTGTTGGCTGGAACTTGTTTATAATGCGAGGCATAGATTAATTCAATTGCATTTGACATACTCGTACCGCTCGTACATAACTCCGTGCGAGACAAACTCGAAGCGAGCACTGATTAATCGAATCGGATGGGCATTATGCAAGGGGATTGTCTACGGATTTGGCGAGTCAATCAAAATAAAATGTAATCCCTTAACAAACATCTTGGCTCACCATTTTCCACCCACTTTCCTCCACCGACTAAGGGCTGGCTGCCCAATGAGCCACAAAGGCTGACAAATGGCTGGAAAGAGTCACCGTCACCCCCATTCCAACCTATGCTGAGAGAAATCCTAACGCATTAAGTTCGAGCATCGTGGCAACATGTGCATAATTCAATTTTATGTTTACTTAGAGAAATTGAAATTGGTGGCCAGTGGTTGAAAAAAAAAAACACACACACAGAAAAGGTATCCGAAGGGCACAACTGACGCGCCACAAATCGAAGTTCATAAAAGTTGTAAGCCACAAAAACAAAAAACAAAAAAAAAACATTTCAATATTAATATTTATCGAAGGCCAGGAGGACCTAACCCCAATATGTAATATGCATAGCTATATGTACGACTATCTGCACGACTTACATATACACAAAATATATATATATATATAGTAGATATGTATGAATGTGCCATGGCAAAATATTATACCAAGTACTTGGCTGGGCTGGTCCAATATTTGTCTGTTTGTGTGCTTAGCCGCATTTCTTGGCAAACAAACATTTTTGGCTCTCTTAGTGGAGCGCAGGTGGCAGGTGTCAGGGGGTGGTTGTGGCGGTGGCGGTGGTGCCACATTTTACGGCTCGACCCACTTGGACACATTTTTTTTTTTTATATTCTTGCCATGGCAATTTTCAAATGCACCGAGGACACTCGCTATAAATTTATGTGTATTTATGGTACTCCGCTTATTGAGGAATACGGAAATGTTTCCCCACGTTTTGGCCACCGAGATGTTGTAAATTCGAATGTGAGCGAATACACACAGGTAGCACTGTTGCATGATGGGGGGTAAAAGGGTTATGTCTGCCCATAAATTCAAGATTTTATGCCTCCCAAAGCAAAAAGGGGCAGGAGAAATGACACAACTGCGCGATGGCAATAGGTGAAGTTTTGCAGCTCAAATTTCTTAAATTTCCTCTTGGCGGGGGGTAACTCACTTCATTGTGGAATCATTAGCGGCGCTTTTCCTGCTGCTGCTGCTACTGCGGCTGTCAAACAGTTCTCAATCAATTAGAAGCCAAATGGGCACAAAAGTTCACCAAAAATATAATGAACAGCAAATTCATTTTTGGCTTAAACAAATCGTTGTGCTTTTTGCAATTAATGTCAGCTGTGAAGACCAACAAAAATCAATGCCTCCTGTGCTCTCTTTGCCGAAAGCAGTTACCAATTTGCCTCGAAGGAAAAGTTAACAATAACATAAAAGCCTTGGGTGCCTCGGAACGCACAAAATGTTGACACGCAATGCCGTCTGAAAGAGGGGGGAGGGGTTAAGGAACATTGAGCACCGGCTGGCGGCAAGGCGTTAAAGGATTTCCCAGTCCAGTCCCGTCGCCCCCCCTTTTAGCAGCCGTTCGCATAAAATCGTTAAATTTACGAGAATGTCTCTCTCACCCACGCACACTTTGTTTCTCTCTCGCTCTCTCTCTCTCCCTCCCTTTTCGATGCCGAAAATTGAAATGTGTAACGGTGGAATGCACGGTTCCTTTGCGGAAGCTTCAGCCACAGGTCAATCAGCTAATCATTCATTTTATGGTCAATCGATTGGGTTGGGGAGATTAGCTTATTGCAATTTATGAGATTCATCCAGATATTGGCACCCCATAATTATTCACTTATGTATGTATGTTTATTCGCGCATTTCAACAGCAGATATTGTGTTTTTGTGTTTCGTTTACTTTGACAACATTTTGGTTTGGAAATCGATTGCTCAACAAAAAACCAAAACAACAAAATAGTTGCGAACGAACCTTCGCTAGTCCCGTTAAGGCTTGGCATGTGAAGTGCGTGCATGTGTGTGATACACACACGTCTGTGTGTACGAGAGAACGAGAGAGGGCTAGATGAGGGCTAGAGATGGGGCCAAAGCTACACCTGGCGCGTGCCTTTCCATTTCGTGCGTGAGAGCATAAATGCGGATCTATAATAAAAGCTGGAAAAAATGAGAGAAAAAAACATAGCTTGGGGGCGCTTTAAATATCCAAATAGATCTTCCCTCTTCGATCAAAGGAATGACCAAAAAGGTAGCAAAAGGTACTGGTATTTAGTCTTCCTTCGTTCCCATGCGTGACTTTGTGTTGGGTACGTGCCATGCAAACCACGACACGCGCCCATCTCTAGTGTGTGAGCCATACGTGTGTGTGCAATTAAAGATAGCCGTTGGTTGGGTTGGCTCTCTGCTGCTGCTGCTGCTGCGGCTTCCCCCCCTCGCTCTGCTGGAGGCAGCTTAAAATGGCCAAACGATAAAGAGAGCTAAATGGTCATGTTTTTGTGTTTGTCCAAATGATTTGCACCGCAAAAAAAAAAAAACAATCACAACTTTGGGTTTTGTTGGTTTTGTTTGGGTGTTGAATTAGCAGTGAAATTTAAGTTCCCAGATAAACGAGGGCAAAGCTCTTGAAACCAAACTTAAAGAAGACCAAGTTACTGTTTCGGTTCCATCAGGAATGGTTAAATTTCTTTCTATTGGTTAGAAAATTGCTTTTGACGTTAATTTCCCCAAAAATTTTGGTCGAAAACCCTCATCAATCCGATGGGGAATATGCATACGGACACACACACACACACAGACATCGCCATATATTATTGAAGCAACAAATGGATGGGGGATGGGGGATGGGATATCCATGCAATTTTATTGAAATTCAATTGAACATTTTTGTCACGTAATCGACACTTTTCTATTACAACGTTTCCTTTCCGTCTCTACATCTCCCACCCCCCATCACAATCCCCACCATCAATGGCAGACCGCAAAAACTACATAATGGAACGACTCGATGGGTTACTGCGGTGAGGTGGTGGCATACACAAGGGTATACGGTATAAGCAGCAGCCCTTGCGGCTTTAACGGTTTATAAGTTGCACAAACAACACGTTGACAAAAATGAAGCAGCATAATATATGTTTATAGGGTTTTAGGTCGTACCCAGGAGAGTAAACAGGAGTTTATGGGGAGAAAATTGGTTTTCCACTGACCTAAGAGAACTCCTTATCACCCATTTGATAGGGAATTAGAAGTATCAGCCAAAGGATAACTGACGCTATTCTATTTATAAGCCAAACCTTGATATTTCGTATCTAATATCTCCTTGTTCTCGGCTCTGATTTGCGTGTCTGTCGGATATTTCCCATAGGTTTCTCCAGCGTTTCTTTTTTGCGTCTATTGCGTTCTGGGTTAAAAGCAACATTTAAGCCAAAGCTTAAAGTATTTTAGCGCCAAATTACTTGCCAAATGTTGCTTGCTTTGGGGGCAAACACGAGTTGTCTTGTCGCGAGTCTTGTCCGTGGAACGAGCAGACAGTCACGTCACGCACATGTGTAGGAAATCAGCAAATGCGATAAACATTTTGTCAAATGTTTGTTTTTCTGTTGCGCTGCAATTAATGCAGTCACAAAGTGTGACATTCATGTTGGGCCATGAAGAAAGAACTGTGAAGAAGTGGCAAACGGGCAAAATTGATTCCACAGAAGGAATGGGAAATTATTTATCTTCAATAATATTTAAACTTTATTTCCGATTAGTAACACTTGGTTGAAGACTATTTCGTACAGAATTCAACTAAAATTCAGACACATTTTAGAGCTTTAAGGCTGAGTGAACGATAACGATAATCCGTTAAGCTTCGCCCAGAATTTCCCTATGTAAATTCCCACACTACTCCCATGAATGTATTCATCTTCAGCTCTCAATTTGTTTACAAGGCATTTAATCTGTTCATGTGTTAAGAACCAATGTAAACAAATGTTTGCCATTTCCTGTTCCCACATTTGGATGTGGCCCTGCCACCACTTCAAACATTCATCTTCGGAGTGCCCACATAAATATCTGAAAGCAAAGGGAAAGTGCATTGCACCTTTACCAAGTAATTTGCCTCAAGTGGAACGGCACCTATCTTTAGAAACTGAAAGTTGTGTGTTGTTGTGTCTATTCTTGGAGATTCTCCGCGAAGCATGCATTTTGATAAATAGCATGAAGAGTGAGAATCTTCACGTGTTGAATTGTCAATGGAAAACCAAATGTCGAGAGTAGTGTGGAGCCATATGTATTGCGTTTTGGGATTTTGGGAGAATCTTTACCCAGTACTCGGGGAGTTCAAGGGCATATTGAATTTATCGAAATTCTTTATCCATATTTATTTATTATGTTTCTACCCTATCTATGTACCTACCAATCATCTCCATCGTATCTTGATTGAAGCCATAAATTGCAGTGCCAAAATATGACTATTATGACTAGCGGGTATTGTTTAGTCGGCATATCGACTATTGCAGTTTTACTATTAGTTTTTTAGGCCTCCAAAGCATGCGGGCCCTTGAGAGCATTTGTAAATTAATCCACACAAGAGCGCGTATGGTAGAGAAAGAAAGGAGGGAGAAGAACTGAGGGAAGGAAGGGCAAAGCAAACGTGCATAAGAGTGGAAATGGAATAGAGCAAAAACCGACAACAACACGTGCATTATCGATTGCAGTGTCGCGTCTGCAATAAAAAGCTGCAACTGAAAAATCATTGGCATGTTTTTGTGGTTTTGTGCATTGGCGCAGCTTCAGTCGAGAGATGGAAAAGGAGACAGAGACAATGTCTCCCCTCTGGCAGTGGCAGTGCCAGTGCCAATGACATGTGCACTTGGCCGCCAAGCACTTGGTAATACAAACAACAACAACAACAGCAGCAACAACAAAAGCAATCATTGGCAATGACAAACATTGGCCCGCAGGTGCACAATGTGTATTGAATGTTCATATAGCCGTACAAATGTGACATGTCCAGTATTAGTTTTCAGCAAACAAGTTTCATGTTTCATGCTGGGACCTGTACTGGCCAATGGAAATGGGCAAATATCATAGAAAGCAACGGATTGAATTCCCTCGAACAGCGAAGAAATATCTTCGATCATGGATGTAGGCGGAAACTAATCAGAAAAGTGTCTGGTTAGGCTGGTTCCACTGTAGTTGGATCTGCATTGATTTCCACTCAATAAATTTCGGCTAAGCGGTGTTCTACTGTAGTTTGGGGAGCACTCACCCGATTGACTGCCGCCGGCAATTTGCCGCATCTCCTTGGTGAACTCCTTGTTGCCGAACTGACACGACAGATCGTGCACGGTGCGGGGCTCCCCCTTGTCGAGGAGGCGCTCCAGGAAGAACAGCAGCGTCATATTGCGTGCCATCTCGTACTCCATGGACTCCATTGTCGCTCGCCTGGGTCCTGTCCTGTCTGGGCTCGGTGGTCGCTAGTCGGTGGGTCTGTGGCTATCTCCTGAATTAGTGATAAGCAAATATAGTACGTCACGTAGCGTTGAGTTCAGTTGAGTTGCGTTGCTTATCTGCAATTGAGGAACGGTAGGTAAAGAGCGTAAGAAAGGGGCAGAGAAAACACTTATGCAATGTGCCAAGTAAACGGTGAAACAACAATAGGAGATAGAAGAAAGAAAGAATGAATCAACAACAGCAACCGCAGACACATATTAGACTTTTGAGGTTTGTTTCGTTTCGTTTTCGCTTATTTTTCGTTGCGTCTTTTATTTATTTAATTCATTTGCACTTTGCCACTTGAGCCGTTCGCCTCTGTCTCTCCCTCTCTTTAAGTCTCTCCCTATTCCACATGATGTTGCTCGCCGCATTTTATGTTATTGCTTTGCAGCGGCAGCCTTGCACTTTGGGCCTTTGGTGGGGAGTGGGAGGAGGAGTGGCAGGGATGCAGGCGGCAGTGGCATAAAATTTATTTTCTCTTCGGTTTGCGTCTTGAATAATTGAAAAACCACACACACACTTGAGCACATACACTGTCACACGTACAGAGCCTCGCCAAATGCCTTATCCTTGCGGCATATCCTTTTTATCCTTGCGCACCGCTCGAAGTTCCACAAACAAATGACGGCAGCGCTGCTCGCGTCTCTGCTGGCAGCCAACATAAACACAGGCGAATTCGAACAGCTGATTGGAGCATGGCGAAGGGGAGCAGGCGCGGCGAATTCAATCAGTGTTGGCTGCAGATTAGCGGGTTTTTTATTAGAATTTCTGTGGGAACTTAGCGCTGGCATCGCTGGCATCAGCGACGAGGTCTATGTATACAATATCATGTTCTTTTTCCCCATTTGTTGCTGGCCAACCAAGGCATGCGAAAAGAAATGCCAGCACTGCAGAACAGGTGATTGACACAGAAATTTTGCAGCGGAAATGGAAAATGCCATGCAACTGCCACTCTCTCTCAAGAGGCATTCCCCGGCTCTTCTTTTTCTCTCTTTTAATAATCCCAATCATAACCTGCTGCCTATTGTCCATGCCTGTGTGTGTGTTTGTGTGTTATATTCTATTGATAAGCAAAAACCGTTGACAACGATATGTATTGGGAACACAAAGGCAGCAACAACATTCCAAAGCATTCAGGTATGCGTGTCGTGTGTGTCAGGTAGCTAGGCTGTGAGCGTGTGTGAGTGCGTGCTCAATGGTCGCTCTGTGGTGTTGGTGGCCAAACAAGAAACTTCAGACTCTTATTAGACCGAGCCGCTCTAGCCGCTCTTATTGGTGAAAAGAGATGGCAAGTGCCGAGGCCCCCACCCGCCCGAATGAAAGAAAATATTTTTGCAAAAATGAAAAGGCAAAAAAATTACACGACACTCGAAATATGCAAAGCAAAAGAAACAGCCAAAAGAGAAAGATAGACAGCGGGAAGAGCACGAGAATGCAGGAATGTGAAAATATGAAAGAAAGAAAAGATCGCCCGCCAGGCGAAATGTCAATTATTTGTAATATTCGTTATATTCGTACCGTACCTGTAGCTGTTGGCGTTTTATTTGTTCAGTTAATTATTGTTGGTTTCTTATTTGCTTAAGTGCACTTGTAATCTATATTTATAAACCAGACTTATGGGTTATACGCGATACAGATCCTCGCGTTGGGGATTTTCTCAAAGATCTGATCTGATCAGATCTCTATCTCTAGCTCTGTCTCGCTCACGCTCACTCTTTTGATCGACTCGCAGGGCTTTTGTTAATTGAATAAAGCATTAATTAACATTTTTTTTGGCGTTATTAACAGACACACACTCTCGGAAACTGCGACGAAAGCAGCAACTTGTTGTTGTTTTTGTTGTTTTTCAAACACACACCACACGATTAGCTGGGCAGGTAGAATTATATTGGTGTGAGTGGGTTGTCGGTGTAAGGCACTGGGGAACGTTGTAAAAAGCGTGTATAACCACTTGTTGCACTTCTTTAAGGCACTGCCAACAGCGGACACCACTGTCACCGGAGTTTGGCCAACTCCGCGCAAATTAAAGGCAAAAAACACACCGTTTGCGTGGTCAAAAGAGGCTTGGGGGCTTTTTTGGAGCAGCAGAGCAGCGATGACAACAGCGCGAACGCGGAGGTGGAGCACAGTGTGACCGCGCCGATGACGATAAAATACCATCCAGACAAAAAATTAATACCATTAAATACCATTTCAGTTTCGAGAAATACCATTTAAATACCATAAGAAAACCAGGGCAATCCTGCGACCAAACGAGACTTAACCCACTTAACAGCCGTCTATTTAAAAGGTTGAGCACCCTTTGTTAAACCGCGGAAAATAAAACTGTGTGTATATTCTTCTTGTAGATATATCCTCCTTTTTACTTACAAACCAAAAATTACCACCGACATCTTTCACCTGAAATGCGTAAAATATGTTAAAGTTACATAAATTTGTGGGACTATTAAATACCCCCCTGGTCCAACAATGGGATAAAGTTATTTTTTATTGATTGAAATCGTATTCCATGATTTTGAAATTCAGTTTAATATTACTAGCTAGTTAGCACTCTCAGTCCTAAACAAATAATTTCATCCAATAGATACATCAATTTTCTACAAGATTGGCTAGTATCAGAACTATTTTTTATTGTATTATTTACATAATAAGGTTCAAACAAAAACGGCCAAACCGTAAAACGTAAATGTTGACTAAAAGTGACGTCATTGTTGCTGGTCAAGCAAGATAAATCTATGGGTATGGACATTTTTATACCCTATTTCCTTTAATTAACGTTAAACTTGTTGTTCCCAGCTGGTTTGAAACAATCCACTATCCCAAGGTATGCAGATGGTCATAAATGTTATCGCGGTGCAATATATATGTTGATTAACATTAACATTTGGAAAGTTTTAACATTTCGGTATTTTTCTATGTGCGATATTTTTGAGCTGCCAGATCAACCGAATATGGTGCGGGAAAGAATTTGCCTTGTGTGCTGCCAGACCAGCAGAAAAGGACGCTGGGCTGTTATTTCTGTGCGCATTTAAAAGAAATGAGAAGTTTTATTTAGATCGGGAAAATAAATGAAACATAAGCGATATACAATAATATGAAAACATTAATGTAACAATAGCCAATAGTCTTTCACCTTATTTTATTTACCGTTGTCATTGGCAGCAGGCAAAATGCAACCAAGGTTTCCTGGAGTTTTTTCAACAACAGTTAACATTCCAAAGCGAAACCATCCATTTCAAATGGAAACCATTGAATTTCTCAACCTTACCAGCCGGCGAAATCTGAAATCGCAAATCGGTTGGCAGGTGGCACAGCGGATGCGGCAATGGTCAGAGGATTTGGACAACCGCCGCGTGCAGCTCTATGTGCAGCTGCAGGGCGATGCACTGAGGGTGGACGAGGAGGTGGCAGAGCTTCTGCGGGCACGCGCCGACGAGGCGGAAAGGAAACGCCACGAGTGGATTCACATGGAGCGTCTAAAGCGGGAGGAGGCCGAGCAGGAGCTGCTGAAAGTGAAGCAACAACAGCGGGAAATGTAAGTCGCCGTCACATCCCAGGCACCCAGGCACCCTTTTTGGCAATTATCTCTCCTTGCAGCGAGAACTCCGAGGCGCATCGTCACATGCAAACCAAACAAATCCTGTTGGAGAGCAAGCAGGCACAGCTCCAGCAGATTGAGGATCGACGGGCTCTTAAGCGTCGCCAGGCCTGCGTGGAGATCCTCTGGCAGCGGGTGTGGCAGCGTCTGGACGAGAGCCGGGCCCGGCAGGAGCAGTACGAGCAGCAGCTGCGACGCCTCATCGAGGGCCAGTGTCAGGCTGAGAATCTGGCCAGGGATCAGCAGCAGAAGGCTCAGCTCTGTCAGCAAGTGCTCGCCGAGCAGCACGCCTGCTCCGAGGCGTAAGTAGACGGATCTTTAAAGCCATCCAGATTGTCATCTTTGCACCTCGCTTAGCCTGGATGTGGCTGCCGTTAATGATGCGAGGAGGAAGGAAATGGAAGTGCAGCAGCATCAGGCCAATCGTCGCAAACAATTCACTGATCTTCAGGATCAAATCCAGCTGAATCTGAAGCTTGCCGCCAGCCAGGCAGAGGCCAACCACCGCGAGGATGTCGGCTACAACATACGCGAGGATCGACAGATTTACGAGGAGCTCATGCAGAAACACTGCGCCAGGGTGAGTCGACGTCCCAGTCGGCGTTCTGTGGGTGCCACTCATCCATGGTAACTTTTGTTTCAGGCGCGCAATCGTGATTGGCACCAGCAATACATGACGCACACGGCCGCGGAGCGTGCTGCCCGTCGCCAGAGTGAGCAAGAGCGGGAACGGGATTACCTGGGCACTGGGTGTGTGCTCGGCCAGCAGCAGAAGCAGCCATATGGCAGAGCAGTTCGCTGAGCCATCACCATTGATGCATACACATGTCACGCTTCATATTTGGATACCGATTATTGCAAATATATTTACGACTGATATAAATCTGACAGGCCATGGCTGGCATCGATAAGGAAAACCGTATCACGCACTGGCGGCATAAAAACCACAATAATGCCCGCCATCAATGCGGATGACAGACAACTGGCAGGTGGTAGGCAGTCGGGCGGAGAGAGGTAGCGGGTGCCAGCTTGGCCCGTGGCCAGCGGGCAGTATGCAAATGCCATCGATCGATAAAGGCAGAAAAGTGTTGCTCGAGCAACGACTTTGACAATATTTCTGACACCCCAATGGGTGCCAGGACCTGCAGCTACTGCAGTCCCAGTCCCTCCCTGTCTCCCTGTCTGCTTGCCTACCTTGGGGGCATGTTTTATAATTGAACGCTTCCGTTGTCCATTTCTTGCTTGTCTCGACTTGTTGCCGCTAATTAGAGTTGATCGCTGGCCATGCTCCAGCTTCAGCTTCAGCTCCAGCTGCCGCGATGCAGACTCTTAATGCAAACAGACGACTAACCGCTGTGTTTATTCAATTAAAATTTGCACAGCGCAGATTGTTCGGCATCAGCAAATTGCTGGCAATTTTCATTTCAATGTACTTTGTCCAGCATGGGCAGCCCCATTATAGATCTTACAGATAAAAATGTTTGCTTAAAATTGATAAGCAATTTCATTGGGATTAGTCTTCATCAAAGTAATCTGTGCCCATCTATGCCTGGCCTGCATAATGGCTGGAATTCATGGCCTTAACATCAGCATATCTATTGCGTGCTCATGTTAACTGTCCAAACAACAAACATTGGCACTTTGTAGTGGCCGAGAGATAATGTAAGCATCGGCAAACAGGCCAGTGTCGGTCTTCTGCTTACCAACACGATCCCATACATCACACAGATCCCAGCCAGGCGGCCTGTGAACGCAAAGAAACGATGCATAGCGAAGCGGTCTGATTTCAAAGAGAGGTGTCAAAGTGGGCTCAGCCTCAGCCTTAGCCTCAGCCTCAGCCTGGCCGTAGTCGTCCTCCTCCTGCTGTGAGCCCATTCAGCCATGTCATTAGCTGCAACATGCCAAAAGGGGTGGCTGCCCCGGCTGCCAAGGCTTCATTATTTATGTGACACTTGGGATCGTGACAACATTTGCCAACTGCTGGGAAACTAAACCCATTCGAATGGAAATATCTTAAGCAACGCCATGAACAATCCAACAAAAGCAGTTACGAGTTAAGGAATGGATTGTGGAGGGGAGGAAACTTTTCTAATATTCGCATAAATTTAATTCACTCCGCCACGCCCCTCGCAGCGTTCGCTTGGGAATAAGTTTGGGATGCCAGTTTTATCGGGCGGGGGATCTGCAAAAGCGCGGCCAAGATTTATAGATTTCCGCTTTGGGGCAGACACACATCGCGTCTCGGAGCCCCGACTGCAACTCATTAATAAACGTTTAGGGCCGTCGCGAAACAGCCTTAGCCTCTAATTGCCAAACGCCTCCAGAGCCAGGACGGACAGCGATCAGAGGAACAAGGACTAGACGTAGACCAAGACATACTTCGATGAGAGTGAGGACCAGCAGCAGCACCAGCACCAGCACCAGGACCACGACAAATCAAATAAATAATTGTTCACGTAGGCGACCCAGGACATGTCGGTTGGGTCTGCCCTGGGCCCACCTATTGTGCGGTTGCACACGTTGCACGTCCAGCAAAGGCTGCGGTCAGCGCTGATTGAAATACCCACGCCTGCCCACGTCCTGGCCTCCTGCGGTCCGTCCTCCTACTCCCACTCCCCCGCCTGCCTGCTGCCTCTCTTGGGCAGTGTACGTGCTGGACAAATTCGACGCCTTTTATGCTCGGCTCCGAACACTAGAGAAATGAATTGTGGCCTTTGCCTGGCGGCGGAGGAGGAAAATGTTGTTACAGCAATGCAGATGCAGCCTGGCCATGCAACTCGTTTTGGCAGCTAGAACAAGTGGCAGAAGAGAAACTCAACCAGCTGATGACCTGTAAAATATGGAAATTCCTAGTAGGAGATTTCTTATATTAAATTATCTATAAAGAAAGGGACACTAAAACGATGATGCAAAGGCTCCTAGCAGTCCTTGAACAATTCTTCCAAAATATGTAGGAAGGGGAGAGTAAATCGGTCATCATCATTCTATCAGTCACAAAATCCTCCCCAATGCAATATACACCTCTCTCTGGGATATGTAGGTAACCAGCGCTAGTCCATGTAATAATTCTTGTTCCCTCCCCTTTGTACCTTCCCCCAAAAACGAAGCATAATACCTTTATGCCTTTTGTTTCTTTTCGATGCTGTAATTTTCATGCTTCAAAATGAATTTCGCGCCTGAATTCGCCTCATGCCTATTTTATGGCATGAAAAGTCGAAAATTGCAAACCCGCTGGCTCTGGCTGGCCAAACATCTATTTTTCACAGCCCTAACTTCGGATCTGCCTCACACTCTCTCTTGCTATAAGTTTGTGCATCTGTGGGGCAATTGTGGGGCAACATTCGGTGTCAAACGTTGGCTGTCTTTTATCCATAAAGTTGAAACCATTGACAGACACGCGTAGAACCCCAATCTGTTCCCACATCCAAAATCATCAAAACAAAAAGAAAATAGAAAGGAAAAAGAATTGACAGCAGATGCGGGCAATTGAAAATTGGGGAAATTGGGGAATCGGGTTTGGGGGAACCAAATGCAATTACTGCGATAAAAGCTGAATAAAAATGGTGTTAATTGCTGAAAGGCTTGCATAGAAATTCGGTAGAATGCAGCACTCCAGCGAATGACGATGTTCTGGGTGTATGTTTTACAGCCGCATCAATCTCCTGGCTGTCGGAGTGGCCTGAGTGCTGATAGCCGGAATGGTTCCACATCACATATATATATATATATATATATACATATATAGTAGATGGAGATGCAGTACGGAAGAGCAGTTCCTAATGCAAAGTGAGTGAGTGGCACTTGGCTGTCCAACTGCCTGATTGAGTGATGCATCAAGGCAGCAGCAGCTCCTTGTACAACTCCTGCTCTTCCTGCACCTTCTCTCCATTCACTTGTTGAGTGGCCCGGGCGATAAATTCGTTTAATATGTAAATAATATGCAAATTGATCGGGCATCGTGGATCGGGGAGATCGAAGATCGTTGGTGAAGGGGGGGGCAAATGCCACAGGGTAATTAAAAACCACAAATTGCTGACTAGCGCAGACGACTCTGCCACTGCCACAACCAATCTCTAATTAGCCATAGATCAGAGATCTACAAACTGGAACTGGCCAGCTTTCGACTATTATATCTGGCGCCTACCAGCTCCAATATCTTTACGTCTCGAGCAAAAACAGCAGTGCAAATCGGGTTTCCATACACCATTCGTGGTGGTAATTAATCTACACCCGTCAAGGACACTTCCTTGCGTAATTTGATTTAAATTGCTTGTTTTGGCAAGAAATCAATGATTAAAGTATGCAATTGCAAAACTTGAATTGGGGAGTGTCTCATGATAAATAAATTGATTAAAGATTGAAAGAGCAAAGCTACAAACTACATCTATGATGGAGCACTTTGCTTTCTCCAAAAAACCCCCCCAAGCATGTACAATCGATCAATCAACGACTCATTCGTAGAGGGGGAGAGAACATCAGTTTTTGTTTTGTCAGAAATCCAAACGATAATTGACGACTTGGTTTCCATTCATTCAGTATCATCGTAGAGTACTAAAACCATTACTCAGAACACGCCGAATAAATTGTCATCAATTTCACTAACCAATTAAGGGAAGTTCAAATATTGTATAATGTTAAAACATATTCGACTGAAATTTATTAAGTAAAAATGGTTGAAACGTGCACTCAGGGACAGAGACATACATATATGTAGGATAAATATGTGCTTATATGCTAGCGATGGTCAATATTTGAGACAAAGTTAAAACTGAACTTCCAGCAGATGAAACATCTTCTAAAGCGATCGCAGGCCAGTGCGGTGGGTTGCGGGGGGGTGGGTTTGTAACCGGCACCCTCAAAAGAATCGTCCAGCCTACCACATGGTCGAGGTCTGCAAAATAGTAAGAATTAAATACCACTTTATCCATGGGCACATCTCGTTAAAGCTCACCACAACAATGGCATAGGTAATGCCAATGCCGGCTCCCGCCAGCACATCGGAGCAATGATGCTTGTAGTCGGAGACGCGCGTGAGGCACGTGTACCAGGCGAACAGGAGCAGCAGGAACTGCAGCAAGTGTCGCACCATCCTGAGCCTGGGCCAATGCATGCGGCGCTGCAAGTAGAGCTTTAAGCAGAAATAAGATTAGAAATTAGAGGATGGTACTCCAGCAGTTTATCGCATAGGACCTACCACTATGTAGAGCATCGCATAGCAGGAGAAACTGGCATGTCCACTGGGGAACGATAGACTCATATCCCTGATCCCCTTCGCATTCATGTCCGCTGCCCCACAGGTGAACTCTTCGATGTAGCGTCCGGCATTCATGGGATGACTACAATTGCTACCATCCCAAAGAACGGGCTGGCAGAGCTATAAGAACAGGAACAAACAGAGCTCAGTAAACGTAACCCTTGAGAGGAGCGCAGCTCTCCCTCCTGCTTACAGTGAAAAAATGCGGTCTCAGTCTTCCGATTGCATACTTGGCTACGTTCGCCGTCAGCTGCTCGACGCCGAGGCCAAAGATGAAGATGCCAATCTTCCGGTAGCACTCCAGCAGCCAGTAGGACAGCTCCAGGTGACAGATATGATAGCCACTGCCAGTTCTGGCCATTTGGCTCTTAAAAGGCCCATGCAAACGCTTGTCCTGGCCCCTGAAAAACTCCACCAGAATTATCTGGGGGAAAGTACGTTGAATTAGTCATCAAAGCAACCAAAATAAAGGTGCCCTTGACTCACCAGAACAACGGGCAGGGCGCCACACATGAGGTACAGCATCCAGCTGCGTATGGTGGAGTGCTTGTAGGGATGCTTCAGAGACGAGTCGTTGCAGAAGAAGCCGCGCTTGAAGGGCTCGCCCCAGAAGGAGAGCCCCAGCATAGGCAGACCCACTGGAAAATACAACGAAAATCAGGGCATGGCTCTCAGATATTCAGATATCAGTTATTCTGCCCCATGGAATTTGAGATATTTCCCATTGCAATGGGTGGCCCAGTGGTGTCCAATTCATGGAAGCAAGGTCTGCTGATCCAGCCTTAATTGGACTTGGGTAAACAACACAGACCATGGTGAATGATGGTGATGATGGTGATGATGTTGCTGATGACTATTGTGGCTGCGGCTGCTGCTGCTTTTTCTGACGATTATTATATATGGAAACGAGTACAATACAATCAAATTCTCCCCCTGCAAAACGAGAGCTTGCCACAAATTGAATAAAATAAATCAGACCAAACTCGATGCGCGAATAAATACTCGCGTACATTTTTTGTGTTTTTGTTTTTCGTACGAGTATCTATTTATTTGTGGACCGTTCAGATCGTTTTTTGGGTTTCGCTTGGTCGAAAACTGCCTGTTCATTATTGAAAACATTGAAATACTAATACAACCACAAAGGAACACCACACCATCAATAAACACTGCTGGAAGCATTTAAAAACAATTCCGCATCAGAACCTCAAGAGGAAACAATGCGGCGCTTGTTCACCTTAGATACAGTAGATATTTATATACACAAATACAGTACACCAGATGGAAGCCCATCCTCTGGAACCCCATCATCATAGGCGGCCGCGCGTGATGCATTCAAAAGTGGAATGGGTTCATGACTTGCAAGTGCAAGAGATCAATTGCTGCCACATGATAAGAGATCATAAAACGTGTGAATGGCGGCAGACCACCACCCTGGGGCAGTGAATGCACAGTGTGATGGTGATATAGCTGCCTCCATCAAAATTGATTTATTCAGAACTTAGATTAGAAAAGAAAACAATTCTTCACTGGAAATGGGAGCAATTCGAATGGGTTTTTCTTTTTGAAAGAATACTTTTTTATTTCGAAAAGTTTAAAGTTCTCTCTTAAATTGGGGTACACTGAGCATCCCTACTGGAACTCATTTTGATGCATTTATTCCCCGAAATCGATGCACAAAGAATGCTCGGAACTGTGGATCTACTTTTCTGAAAACTAAAGTTTAATCTAATCCTAGGAAACTCACCTACCAATATTGCCTCTTACCCATCAATAACCACTCTTTGTTATATACATACATACATATGTACATATGAGTATTTCTAAATTTCTTCTACTTTCCTGCTCTGAGAACCCCCTTATAATAGTTTATATTCGATGCCGTTCCCCCAACTTACCGCAGCTCAGCATACACAAGTCCAGCAGAATGCGTCCAAGAATCTTCTTTGGACCTCGCAGGGGCCTTTTGCCGGTGACAATGGATCCTGGGCCGGTTACTAGTCCAGTTCCCAGGCCTGGTCCCGGTCCCAGTCCCAGTCCCGAGCTTCCAACGAATGTCGGCAGCTGTAAATCAAGTTTTACATTGTTGTTGTTGTTTAGGTTGTGGGAATTGGATGTCGATGTGGCTGTGGCGGCGGCAGCGGCGGCGGCTGCTATGATGCTGGCTGCCGTTGGAGATGATGGCTCCTCTCCGCTGCTGCTCTGGCTCTCGAAGCGCTGCAGTGGCGTCGTGTCACAGACGCTTCCCGGACGCAGGCTGCTCATTCTGGAGTGCAGTTTATCAGCAGGCGATATCGGAGGGTTTAGCTAAAGCGGGAGCACTGGGAGTGGGGGGGAGTGAGCTTGAACCTGGCCTCAATTTATGGCTCTATTGCACCTGGACACCGTCTTGGTGGTCATCTTATCAGCGGCAGACACACACTCCGCACACTGGGACACAAATATTTGAATAATCCTCGACCCGGGGATTTCTTCGAGTATGTGCTAATGGACTGGGATGGAACGGGACGCTCCTCTGTTTGTCTTGGGTAAGAGTTTCCTTGGTGTTCGTATCGCGTATCGGCAATAATTCAGTTGGGTCTTACAAAGTAAGTCACTATCTGTGATAAGAGTCGACGGTGACGGTGGCGGCAGTGGCTCGATTTTTGGGTTGCACCAACAAATTGATAATGTAAAGTCGGCGTTTTCTTAGCGGCTCCTTGGGAGGGGGAGTTGGTGGGCAAAGGGAATTGCGCAAGAAGCGATAAACGATGAGCGATTGCAATCGACCAAATCCGAGTCAAAACTTTGGACAAATATTGCTGGCGGCGCACAAAGCCAAATGCGTTGGGTGTGCGCGCGTAAAAATCTGTTCCACTATTTGCACTTGCATTCGATTGTTGTTTGTTTGTTTGTCTGCACTTTATTTCTCTCCGAAGATTTATGTACGTATATCGACGCTGTTCTTGTTGCTACTTTTCTATGCGTTGTGTCGCGCGCTCTCCTTCGCATGCGCAGCGACGCGAATTCCGACAAACAAAAACTCACGAAAACGTACCGTTAACCGAAATGCAAGCGACATGCACCACCCGAATCGCTCGACGGAAAGAAATGGAATGAAACTGCTAAAGCAGGCAGCCCACCAGCGCCACAGCCACAGCAACAGCATGGAAACGAGTCGGCAAGTGAGTCGCGACACTAAAATACCTCTTAATTAGTCAGTCCTATGATTTACATAATGTAACCTATAGACTATACATATATTCTATACATTAAGGACTAAATTAGTATCGGAGCTGATGAGTGCCGCCAGCTCCTCTGGCTTTTTGGTATCTTCGAAAAAGATTAGTATGTTGGTTGATGCGGACTCTCTCAATTATAATGAGAGATAGGATAAACATATAGAGAAAGAGAGGGAGCTACAAGAAACCCTTCTTCTGGCTGTTACATACGTATACACAAGTCTAATATACTCCAATATCGCAGTACAGGGTATAACAACAGAAGTAATGGTAGCGCTAGCGCTCTTTTGTTTTCTTTTGCTCTCTCTCTCTGATCATTGCACTATTTTGGAATGAAACATTGGAGGGGAATTCTGGAAGAAATTTGGGGGTTGGAGGGTAAATGCCAATGTGTTTCATATGTAGGTAAGTGTAATGCTTGTTGTATTGATACATTCCACTAGAAAACGAGTAAATACTTGTAAAAGACATTTAATTTATCAAACAAAGTTTAGACATGTATAAAAGTTCTTTAAGTTCAGCATGAGCGATAGAAAGGAATCTTCGCGCGGTAATACCTTGAGGAAATTCCCACCTTTGCGATATCTAATACTGTATAACTTGTAAGGATGTGGGCTAATGAGGTTATGAGCTTTCAATGGTTATACGCTTCCCATAGTCGCAAATTTAGATAAAAGGGATAAGTTATAAAAAATGTATATAAGAACTGAACTATAGCTCTAGGTGTGATTAAAGTCCTCTTTCCTAGAAAACACAACCCATGAGACCATTAATGGAAGCTCCTCTATAAATTACCTTCGACCTCCTCCCCTTACTGTATTCCATTTCCATAACGTTTCGTTGCGATAACAGAGAGAATTCTCTGCGCTCTTCTGTCTGTCGCAATTCTCGTTCCGCCTGCGACTGAAACACTGGAAACTGGCAACTGGCAAACGGCAATCTTATCTCCTCCACACATTCACTCGCCTTTTTTCTGCTTTCGTGCTCGGATGTATTTCTATGTACCGCTAACTGTGACAAAGATCCCCGCTACGAATCGGTCATATATAATAAAAGTGCTCTTGTTTAATTGATGGCAAATAAAATTGCTTGAAATAAGTTTAAAAGGCAGACCTAACGATGACGCCGCAAACAAGGCTTGCTTAACCAAAATCAACATTTTTCAATTTATTTACGTTTCTTTGGCAAAGGTAAATTAATTATAGAAAAATTTACAAAGAAAGTGTTTATTTGTGGAGGCGAATTATTCAGGGAGCGGATGGATATGGCCATATTTGTTATCTCTCGTTTTTATTGATTTGCTTGGCCGACAAACACACCAACCAAAGTGTCTGTGGAGCCTCCAAAAATTGACGGTCACATAAACAAATGCAAACCGAATGAATGCGTATCGAGTGCCTCAGTGGGTGAGTGTCTGGGAATTCATAAATTATGCAGGTGAAAAAAAAACAAACGGGTAGGGCAGGGGGAAAGGAAATTCGCTCATCGATTGCGTGGGGGTTTCTTTTGTTTGGTTTAAAATCGATTTTCGCCATAGTGTTCCTGCCCATTCTTTTGCGTATTTGCTCTTCGGAAATACATTTCATGGGCCTGTTCCATGCGGAAATAAACAGAATCACCTCATCCCCGCTACTCGACAAGCTCGCGGCACTCACATCGATAGCTTATCAATTATTGAAACGCAAAAGGGAATGCAATTTTGATTACCCAAACATGCCGACGCACTGGGAATTTGTTTTGTGCGGCTTTTCATGGTGCCTGGTCTTTATTTATTAGCTAATTAATCCCATGAATGCCTCACGTTCGATCAGAGTTTTCCTCCCAGCCACCCCCACTGGCACATGGCAGATCGTGGCATGGGAAACTGCATTGGCAATGGGCCAAAGTACAAGCCATTACAAGATGCAGCCGAAAAGCATTCAATACAATTCAGTATGAAATATTTGGCATTGCTTGCTGTCCATCAACTAACCCTCTCATATTACGGTTACCAATGCCAGTCATTTCCTACCAATCTAATTTGCCACCTCACCGTATTTTGTCGACTGCCACCTTCCCCGGTATTCAATTTCGTTGTCAGGCGCGTGTAAATGTTGGCCAACTTCTGCTGATCTAAGCCCGAATAAAAGTGCATTCAAAAATATTCATTAACAGAGCAAATAAACATGCACTTTACATACAGCGGTGGGTCCGGTGGGTTGTTTGGTATCTGGTATCGATTTTCCTTCCGTCGACGCGTCGACAGGTTGTCTGCAAAGTACAGCCTGAATTTGAAACCCCATACCATGGCTGATTGTATATTGAAAATTGGCGCTCTTTTTGGATGATATTCCGATCGAAATGCTCATCATATACACTTGTTGGCCACCCGGCGCCGAGTTTATATACATATTTCTTCTGTTGTTTATGTAAATTATGAATATTATTACACTTACCGATATTTACGATTATCTTGATTTTTAAATTATTTTTCCATTTTGGATAAACAGGCGGCGCTGCTGCAGCTTGACCTTAATACGCTCCATGTGCTGTCTGAAATATTCCAAAACTGATATCCGAATGAAGGAGGGGGAGAGAGGGGGTCTTGGAGGAGGGGCGAATGGCTCAGCTTGTGGTCGTTGCCCGAGATCGGTTAATCGTTCAACTTGTATATGCAAATGAGCAGGGGAGAAGGAGAGTGAGAGTGGGAGGCAAAGGCGAAGGCGAGACCTTCAACTGTCTCTCCTTCGCGTTGATCTTGTAATCCTCGGGGAACATGACATATCCTTTGATATGCTAAACGCGTGAAATTAATTGCACTGTGGAGTGCTTTAAAACACTGACTGAAAGATCATTGAATAATGTAAATACCCGTAAGTCGAAAGATTTACAAGATTTGGCAGATTGATGAACAATTGATTAACCATTTGGAAAGGAAAAGTTCTTTTGAAGCAATTTATATACTCGCATGAAAGTCCGCCTATGAAAGATTTAGTAGAATTTCTATTTCCAAATCTTCAATCCGTAAGTTCCGATGAATGCCGTAAATAAATCGCAACCAGAACATTGCATCAGTCAGGTGCTGTACCAACCCATTGATCGTAAATTAGAGCCAAGAGTGAACAGATCTTGAAATACTCAAAATATTCAGTGTTTTGTATACAAAAATTAACTCCAAATAATCGGGATTTCATGCTAAACTATGAATATATTCACTTTACAACCCCTTTCATTTTGTTTAATAAAACATGGGTTAAACCCTTTTTGCATTTAATCATGACTAAATCGTAAGGAATTTACCAAACTAAATTAGTTTGTCATAAAAACATTTTGTCACATTTTATGACACAGCTCTAAAACCCTTTTCGCCCCGCTCTTTGTTGTCATAAACACCAGCGATAAAGTGTAGAAATGAACATTTGCCGAAAAATAAAAGCAAGATTAATCGAGCATTAATGGGTCAACAATTTTAAAGGGGGGACCACATCGACGCCTCTGCCATCTACAGGGTATTTTTAGCCCCGACTAATGGGATTTTGTATTTCCGGGGAGTTGACAATTAAAGAAAATAATCGCAAACAGAAAGATCTCAAGTGCGTGGAAGCACGCTCCCGGCCAGGTCAGATGATATCGATGAATTTAAACGAGTATTCCTCACGTCTGTTGTTGTACTTTTAATTAAGATGCTGCTTTGTCATTCCCCCCAGGAGGGAGAACATTCATCAGCCAACCAGTTGATTCTAGTGGGGAGCATCCATAGAATAGTGCTCCAGAAGGCACCAGAGTGGGCAGAAATCCTCTGCTATCTATAAATAAATAGTCGTTGTCTGATCGAATGGAGGATTGCCATGGCTGCCTTGGACCGGCCATAATCGAAGCTGACAACTTCGATTCCTATCCTCTGCTCTCCTCTCCTCTTCCCGATGAGTGGGCACTGGCTCCTTCTGAACGGATCGTGCACAGTGGAGCATTGCTAAGAATCTGACAAGACGTTTGCCACTTGAGGTTTTGTCAAATTAAGGGGGCTTGTTGAACCTGAAGCAGTTTGCGTGCCCCTAGTTGGTCATTACAACGCCCCGTTGATGGCCGAGTTGATTGCACAAAATTATAGAAATTCACGAGGTTCTAGAAGAGATCGAAGGAATGGCAGAGCTCATGGTAAAGAGTGCCTACAGTGGAGACTCTGTTAAAGGGATATCTAAGATTGCAGGAATGCGGAGATGATGTTCGAACCAAAAGAGTGGAAGATTCTCAAGTCTTAAATTGAATAAAAATTTAAAGTTGATTGTTCATTTAAATAGACGTCACTTAACCCGTTTGAGAACCCGCTTGTGATTTCCATTCGAGTGTTAATAACTCATAAAGTTCTTCAATCAAGATGTGCACACACTCACACACATATGAATCAGAGTGGGTAAAAGGGAAAAGAAAGAATCGTCACAGCCTGTCTGTTTTATCGTTAGGGAATCCGCGCCGACGCATTACTCACGCAATGCCTCCATACTCCGGCGTCTCAGCCTCAGCTATTATTCAACATTTTATTATTATTCCCACAATATAAACATATACACATTTATCTCTTTTCATATTCTGCGTTCCAGAGGCTGACTATGACGTGAATTCAGAATTTTTACCTTCGCACGAAAGAGTCAAGTCAAAAGTGCCTTAAGCTCAAGTTCACTGTCAAGCAGCGCCAAAGAGAGCGAGCAAGAGAGAGCGAGAGAAAAGCTTGACGCAAGCTTTTGCATCAACCGATTTTACACCCAAAAGCACCAAAATGAGTAACGAATCTTCCGTTAGCGAGACAACACCGCTCCGGCGGCCGCCAAATGAATTGAGTGCCGAATCAGAAGCTAACGTGGCCAGCACCAGACAGTCGACGGTTGTGTCGGTGGCTAA